GTGGGTACAAGTAGGAAACCTAAAAGTGTTGTACCCTATATGAACTACCCCACTACAGCCTAGATAGACTATAGCATATAAGTTTGACAACTATCTACCGTGGTACCCTCCTTATTCGGCCGAGAGTGGTCGATTGCGTGAACCGGCACAATCACTCGGTGAGGGTCGTTTGGGTCGGGCGAGCGGCGTGACCTGTCAGTAGAGGGGCCGGCTGCTACTGACTCCCGGCGTTTCCTTGCTGCTTGGTATGTTTCTGCTGCTCAGCTTCCCCCTTTCCCTTAGCGTTTTCCGGGCATTCGCTTTTGCGGTGTCCCGGCCAATTGCACGCGAAGCAGCGCCCTTTGAACGGTGCGGCAGCGGCATTCGGGCAACGGCACGTATCGTAGCACTCTCGTTCGTCCCACAAGACCGATGTCCCCAGTTGCTGCCACTTCCGTAGGACCCCGGTCTCGGTCGGCGGAAGAAATCGAGTTTCTCCGCCATAGCGAGAATCTCTTGAAAGTCGGTGACGCCGCTGAGCTGGATTTCCTGAGCGATGTCGTGCTTCAGGTCGCCGATGTAGCGGTCGATGCGCTCAGATTCGTGCATGTAGCCCACTTGCTCACACAGCGCTAGAAACCCGCTGGTGCGGAGCTTCTGACGCGCTAGCATTCCATTGGACGGAACCGAGTTGGCGCCAAGTGCGGAGCTTCTGACGTGCCGCGATCGAAGCCGCGATTGGCTCAAATCGAGCACGCAGACCTGCGCACCACGCGTCCCACGTGCGATACTGGGGCACCTCCACGAAATACGACGGCACCCAGGGTTAGGTTTGTCCTTCCCATATCAGTAGAGTCGCGTAGTCCATTGGCTTCGTGACGATGACACGCCACCAATCCATGGCGGGTCTTCGCAGCAGCGACACGGCGTAGCAGATTTTCGCCGTATCCTCCGAGACGTAGTTGGCGTCGAAGAAAACGTTCAACGTGAACAGCCACGCCTAAACGGTAGGACCACCCCGTTGACTCGGGTCAAAGCATGGCGGACGCTGCAGCTTCAGCGGCATCGGCGACGGCAGTGTTGATTCGCCGGCCGGCACAGAAATCGTGACGCGGGGTTGACTCCTGGCCGCATTCGTCGCTTCGGGGTGTGTCGTGCCGTGGTCGTCATCTCCGTCGTTGCGGACGACGCCATCACTGCCCGCGATCGCAGGTTGCCTCACACTTCTGTGCTGCGATGTCTGTGGTGCAGGTTGTCCCGGAGTGCCAGGTTCTTGCGATTGTGCTTGCTGTGCTCGTGCGATGTCATTCTGCAGGGACGTGCGTTCTACCGTCAGCGCCGCGATTTCTTCATAGCATTCGTGCAGTTGCCGCAGTAGTTCGTTCAAACGGTCCTGCGTGAGCGTAGTGACGTCGATGTGTTCAGCCATGGCGAAGGGCGTTGGCTCAGCTTAGTCTATGCGTAGTCGTGGCTGCACGCGTTTACGAGAGAACGCGAGGACAGCGGCTACTAGGTGCTAAGGGGCGTGAATCCCTTCGAGTGAAAAAATCAGAAGTTGATTTCCTAGGGTGCGGGGATGCGCGGTCCGAAATATGGTGGCTCAGAATACCAAGTGTTACCGGTGCAATGAATCAAGGTAGCGAGGATTGCACTAGAGTGTTCAATGAGTACTAAGTATGAGCGAAGGCATGAGCGAATACTTCTACGCGAAGCATGCAAACGGCAACGCAGTGCGTGCGAGCTAGCTAGTGCTACGCTGGCGCGAGGTTCGGGCTAGTCCCGAAGCGTAGGCCGACTCGGCTGCTCCAGCAGTGCGAGGTTTGCTGAAACAGTGCGCGCGAATTTGGCGAAACCCCGTTAGCAGTAACGGGCGAACAACGGCTGCTGCTGTACACGATGTTGACGGTCGCGGTAAGGAATGTCAAGAAAATTCCTTACAGGTGTACATCAAGTACAACAAATGCACATCATGCTTAGTCTACAAAATTACCAGTTTTGTTTTGCATCGCGTCAAGCCTCATCACAACATTTCCTTTCCTCTGCCCACACCTGTATACTTCCACATGGTGGCTTTGTTCGACAGGCGCATCAAGCTGATGTGCCACAGGCTCGGGGATGGTGCACACATCGGAAAATTGAGGTTTGGGTTTCGGTGTGACATTCAAAATATCGTGGGTTTCACAGAAGCCACTCAGCGCGTTCACGAGACCTTCGCGGGCTACGTTTTGCTGCCCCGCATCACTGATCCGCGCATGATGCATTGGTGCTGTTCGCCAGCAAATCGTTTCTTCAACAGGAAACGATGGCATCAGCATCGCGACCGCATATGGAAACGGGGGCGGAACCCTCCTCCGAGGTTTGGGCGAAATGCCGCCCGAGAAACTACGCGCGCCCGAAAGGCGAAATTTCTCAACCGCATCGGGAAGGTCCATCCCCACCTTCCCCCCAATGGCGCGAAATTTGCTCATCCCTGACCCTTGTGCTGCCCGCTGACCAAAAATTGCTCAACGTGGGTAAAAAACGCAAATAAAACACACCCCGCTCAAACACAACCCCCGCTACCACGTGCTCATGCCCAGACACAACTCAAGTTATGCGCGGGGGGCATTTCGAAGGTGTGTTTGGGAGGGAAAAATGGGGGGTATACGAACCCCCCTTTGTTAAACTGCAGGCTTGTTCAAGGGTTACCCTCTGAACAGCAATGCGTCGGCTGTGCCACCGCTGTGCTTTGAAAAACGCGGCATGACGATGGCATGGCTAGGGGATGGCATTTTGCCTGGGAACGAAGTTTCGTCCCCGCTTCCAGATGCCGTCGAACTGTTAGATTTGGTGGAGAAAAGTGGGCGTTCGCCAGACCCCCACTTTGTTTGTTGGTTTGGACGGTAGGTGAGGTTCGGCACTTTTTTCACGGGCTGACCAAGCTGACGGAGGTTAACGAACTCTAACTGACGGGATCAGGAAGGCGAGACCCACCTTCCTGATCCCGTCGTTATCCCGTGGTTTTCGGATATAATGGTGCTGGCGAACAGCACCATTGTCTCGACGTTGCATCATGCGCGCATCAGCGATGCGCCAGATTGCTGGGAAATGCGGTTTCCTGGAACGTGACGACATTACAAAATACGGGGCCAAAAGAGACCGTTCGGCAGTCACCCGCAGACATTGAGGTTCGGCAGCGACGCGCTTATCTCGAGCCTTAATAACCTATCAACAGGTTATCACAGAAGGTTCGAGGGTTGTTGCTTCACTAGGCCAATCAGGGCTGATGCGCCTGCCGAACTAAGCCGGTGTCACGGCGCATTTCTTCGCACAACAGCAGCCAATCCGCCACAACCATAAAAACTTCCGCAAATCAAATCAATCACTCGAGCATGCTGACAAGCGTCGGGCGCAGACACACCCGATCACCCTTCCCCATTCCCCCCAGAGAGCACCAAGTTACTGTACCAGAGGCAAAGGGGGAGCTACAGCGCGGAGAGCTTAAAGCTTTCGTATACATTTGAAAGTGGGAGTTTCAGAAGTTTAGAAATTTGAAAACTGGTTACCCTATTACAGGTCATTTCCCTCGTCCCACAAGGGAGATGATCCCCCCGACACCCCGCACCATCTCCTCTGACTGCTGGTTCAAAACTTTTGAAACAACAAAAGGATACAAATTACCATGTTTCTCAGAACTAGGCCACTACGCACGATAGGCCGAAAACTACGTAGATAAGCAGATCGCGATTCAACAACCAGCGCAAAGAACCCCGTTTCCGACACAAACAGCGACGTAACTAGACGTATAGAGTCATTACGCGTCCGCACCAACGCCAGTTCCGCCCTCTCACACTCGCCTCTCCCGCATCACACGCGTTCGACATTGAAATAGCACTAGCCGCGCCCGCTAGCTTTCAAACGCGGCATCCCTCCACCTACCACTCTCGTCGCGCCGCATCAAACCGCTGCTTGTGGCCTAGCCGGCGCCGGTTCTAGTCACCTCGCCGAGCCGATCACAACGGACCTCCTTTCATTAGCCTCGCCTCGTTGTCCGTCGCGGCGTCGCATCGCCTCACCTCGCTGCCTCCTCACACCTCCTTGAACACGCACGCTGCATCTGAAACTGCCGAACAGCGGGATCTCGCACGATCACAGTCGCCTCCCGCTCGCGCAGCTTTGTTACCCCGTTTCCGCACTAGCCACGGCAGCCGCACTTGAGGTCGCGACGGACTGCCGAAACGGTCTCCTTGACCAGCCAATTCTTCTCCCCTTCCCAGCGCCTTCCCATCTCCCCTTTTCGCCTCCCTATTTCGCCTGCGTGGCTCCGTATCTCGCGTTAGTGCCTCCGAATTCCCACTTTCTGCCTTCCGATCTCCCTTTCTTGCCTCCCTGTTCCGATCTTCCCTTCCCTCTTTCCCCATTTCCCCTTGCCTTCCCGCATCCCCAATTCCCCTTTCCTCCACCGCAATTCCCCTTCCCGTGTCATGATTACCCCTTCCCGCCTCCCCGGTTTTCCTTCCCGCCGCGCATTTCCCCTTTCCGCCTCCCCGATTCCCATTCCCGCTCCCGGTATCCCCTTCACACATTTGCGTTTCCCCTTCCCGCACCCCATTTCCCCTTCCCGCCTCCCCGTTTCGCACTCCCGCTCTCCCACATTCGCGTTTCCCCTTCACGGTCCCCATTACCCCTTCCCACCTCCCCGTTTCCCCTTCCCGCTCCCCGTTTCCCCTTCCCGCTCCCCGTTTCCCCTTCTCGCTCCCCGTTTCCCCATCCCACCTTCCCGTTTCCCCTTCCCGCTCCCCATTATCCCTCCCCGCCTCCCCGTTTCCCCTTCTCGCCCCCTCGTTTTCCCTACCCGCCTCCCCGTCTCCCTCTCGTTTCTCCACCTTCTCCCTCTCGATTCCCCCCTTCCCCCTCTCGTCTACCCCCCTCCCCCCTCTCATGTCCCACCTTTCTCCTTCTCATTTTTCCCCATTCTCCGTCTCATCCCCCCCCCCCCCCCCCCCCTTCTCAAGCTCACCTACCCCCTTTCTCCCTCTTAGCTCCTCTCTTCCTACGCCCTGCTTCCCCCTTTACTCTCTCGTCCCTACACCCTTCATTCCCCTCTCCGCTCTCTGCCTTATACCCTTCTACCTCCTTTCCCCTCTCTGTCTTACACCCCTCTTGATTTATTCTCCACTCTGCCTTACTCCCTTCTTCCACCTTTCCCCTCTCTACTCCACACCCTTCTTCTCCCACCATGCGTTCTCCCCCTTATATCCTGCTAAACCCCATTTCCCTCTCTTCCCTACACCCTGCTTCCCCCTCTCTCTTCTCTGCCTTACGCCCTGCTTTCCCCTTTCCCCTATCTTCCCTACACCCTTCTTCCCTCTTTCTACCCGCGCTGCTTCCCTTTTTCCCTATCTCCCTTTCCCTCTTTCACCCTGCTTCTCCCGTACCCTGCGACGTGGTAAGGACGCGAGGCGACACATACGACGTCGTTTCGATTCTGGACGAGCTAGCTGGCGAGCTGGAAGGATTCTGGTAACCACACAACCGTCCGAACGGCTGGACGTCCGGACAAAACAAAGGAAAAATGTCACACGCCCTAAGGGCTGAGGCGCCGCAGCGGGTTCGGCGATAAAGGGCCATGGTGCGCATCGGGTGAGGCGCTAAGTGGGAAAGGCGCGCAGCGGGTGAGGAGCCAAGCGGGAGAGGCCTACCTAGCGAGTGTTGAGAGTGGCGGCGTGGCCAACGCATGAAACGCGCATCCGCTCAGTGAACACGGCCCCTAAATTATCAATCGCGTGACGGCTTACTCGAGTGCGGCGACCCAGCGTCGTGATGCAAACCGCTAGCCTCGGTTCCTCTATCTATGCTTCGGCTGGTGAGTCACTGCAAGGTTGGGTGACGGGGGAGTTTCCCGTGTTTGTAACCCTCAAAGGTGCAAGTTTTCGCAAAACCTCTCGCCACCCTCATTTGGTTTCGTTTGAGCGAATTTTTTTGGGATACTGTGCAACCGTGAACAGTACTTGCAAATGTATACGAAAGCTTTAAGGAAGGGAATCCCCCTTTTGCACTACCCTGGCTGCACCACACTTTCCCCAGAGAGTCCCGCGCGCGCAACCATGTCACGTTGTCATCACCGCGCGCGCAACCATGTCACGTTGTCATCACCGCGCGCGCAAACATGTCAACTTGACATCACCACGCGCGCGTCCTGCTCCGCGACTCTTTTATTTTAGTCACTGCTGCATCACTCACAACCCTTTTCGAGTTGTCCAAGAGCTCTTTGTCTGCAACGACTAGTAGCTTCCTTGCGATGCGACTCCGTTGCTCGAGCTTTTGAGCGTCAACGGCCGCTGTGTTCCCCGTGGCGGCGCGCGCATCCACGTGAACCAGTCGCCGAAAGCTTATATCTTTATTGGATTTTGCATCATGGCGTCCGCTATTCGCGTGCATGTGCAGCTCGGGCAAGTGGCAGAAAGTAAATCCGACTCGCCGTCGGCGGGATCGCAGTCGTTTTCCGGTGCTGCTAACGCTGTCGCATGCCTCGGCTTCCCCTCTCGCGAAAGTATGCGTTTCGTCGATTCGTTTCGGCACGGAATCCCGCTAAAACGGTCCCTCGCAGCCACTCGCAACAGAGCTGTGCGAAACGATCGACTTGTAGTTACCACTGCTAGCGATTCTTCCTCTCCCCTCGCAGTACCCAGCGACCGGCAAGTCGTTCCGTGTTTTCCCTCACGAAGCTTCCTAGCCGCATCCTTACCATCCAGCAGCGGAATGTCTCCGAATCTTCCAAACGGCTCCTGCTTTGGTCGGTCCGGATCGCTCCTCAACTCTAATCAACGGTCACAATTTCGCGTCTTCGCTCGTCACAGCAAGCGACCAGACGTCGGCAAGTCCCCCCCTCCCCCCTCGTGCGCCATCCTCCCCGAAACCGCAGCGGAAGCCGCCACCGCCGCCTCGACACTAGACGGCGACTCCCCGCGCGCAGCGGCCGTTGCGCGCGCTGTCGCCACTGCCGTAGAAACCGCTGACCGCGCCGCGCTTCCCAGCGGCGCAGAGCTAGCGGCGCAACTCCAGGAGCAGCCGGCGCAACAGGCGCAGCCGCCTCCGCTGATGAAAGTTTCCCCCGAGTCCCTGACATACCCGTCGGGGTTCTTGGGGGGTTTCGGGGATAACAACCCCTTGCCAGTGGATTCCAAGGGACACGTGGCGGGTGACGTGGCGGTGGATAAAGACGCGTATCTTAGGCAGATCCTGAGATCGCGGGTGTATGACGTGGCGATCGAGAGCGCTCTGGAGTTCGCGCCGAAGCTGAGCGAGAGGATCGGCAACCGGGTGTTCTTGAAGCGGGAGGACACCCAGCCGGTATTTTCGTTCAAGCTCCGAGGCGCGTACAACATGATGGCGCATCTGACGCCGCGGCAGCTGGCCAAGGGCGTCATCTGCTCGTCCGCGGGCAACCACGCGCAGGGGGTCGCACTCTCCGCCTCCCGACTCCACTGCAGGTGAGGCGACTTTTGCGGCCTTGTGAGCTGCTTTGACAAGTCTGGGTCGTGACTGTAATTTTCATGCGATTTTCTGTTTCTCGTGGTGTGTGTGTTTGTCTGTACGCATGTGACTGTACTCGTGCGGCTGTGCTCTTATCAATGTACGCGTGTGACTGTGCTTGTGCACTTCTCACCGCACGGATGTGACTTTACTCCTGCCCGTATCTCTCCGCGTGTGTGACTGTGCGCAGTGCCATTATAGCGATGCCAGTGACGACACCAGAGATCAAGTGGCGCGCAGTGCAGCGGCTGGGAGCAGAGGTAGTGCTGGTGGGGGACTCGTACGACGAGACACAGGTGAGTGAGATGAGGCGGGTGAGAGTTGGAGTTACATGTGAAACGAGCTGCTGGAAATGAGACGTAGGTGAGCGAGTGAGGGGAAGGTGAGGGGAAAGCACCGTTCTCCCCCTTTGATCACTAGTTTGTGATAGCGGGGCAAGGCACGGTGCACAAAGGAAAAAAATTTCCTGCCTTCGCACCTACCCTCCCTTCTTTCTCCCCCTTCCTCCTCTTTCGGATCTCAGGCGTATGCCAAGAGGCGAGCAAAAGAAGAAGGCCGTGTGCTCATCCCCCCATTGGACCACGAGTTGGTGATAGCGGGGCAGGGCACGGTGGGCATGGAGATGCTCCTTCCCGCCAGTGGAGCACGTGCTGCTTCCCTTGCCCTTACCCCCTCGTACTCCCCCCTCCCCCCTTCCTCTCCCTTACCCCCTCGTACTCCCCCCTCCCCCCTTCCTCTCCCTTACCCCCTCGTACTCCCCCCTCCCCCCTTCCTCTCCCTTACCCCCTCGTACTCCCCCCTCCCCCCTTCCTCTCCCTTACCCCCTCGTACTCCCCCCTCCCCCCTTCCTCTCCCTTACCCCCTCGTACTCCCCCCTCCCCCCTTCCTCTCCCTTACCCCCTCGTACTCCCCCCTCCCCCCTTCCTCTCCCTTACCCCCTCGTACTCCCCCCTCCCCCCTTCCTCTCCCTTACCCCCTCGTACTCCCCCCTCCCCCCTTCCTCTCCCTTACCCCCTCGTACTCCCCCCTCCCCCCTTCCTCTCCCTTACCCCCTCGTACTCCCCCCTCCCCCCTTCCTCTCCCTTACCCCCTCGTACTCCCCCCTCCCCCCTTCCTCTCCCTTACCCCCTCGTACTCCCCCCTCCCCCCTTCCTCTCCCTTACCCCAGTGGAGCACGTGCTTCTCTCCCTTACCCCATCTTACTCCCCCTCCCTCCCTTCCTCCCATCCCAATAGGCCTATGCCAAGAAGCGAGCAGAGGAGGAGGGACGCGTCTTTATTCCTCCCTTCGACCACGAGTTGGTGATAGCGGGGCAGGGCACCGTGGGCATGGAGATTCTCCGCCAGTGGAGCACGTGCGACCGCACGGGCGGCTGCGGGGGCGGTGCCGGCCAGTGGCGGTTTTTGGACTCTTCCTCAGAGGATGAACGGGAGGGGCATGGGAGCAACGGCAGCACGAATGGGGCTATAAATGGCTCAGCAGCAACAGCAGGAGCCGCATCTGCATTATCCTCCTCCTCCTCCTCCTCCTCCTCCTCCTCCTCCTCCTCCTCCTCCTCCTCCTCCTCCTCCTCCTCCTCCTCCTCCTCCTCCTCCTCCTCCTCCTCGTTATCATCATTATCAGCAGCAGCAGCAGCAGCCTCCCTACTATCCAGCGAATCTCCAGAGCAGAAGCAGATATCCCAAACAGCAGATCTGGCTGCTACCTCCCACTCCTCTCCCTTCTTCCCTCCTCCCCCAACTCCTGTGAACAACCTGACATCGTCACTATCAGCAATGCTATCGCAGTCAGCACTAGCAGCAGCAGGGGAGGGCGAGGGGCTGTGCCACATGGACCCCTCCAGTCTGCATGCGGTGTTTGTGCCGGTGGGGGGTGGTGGGCTCATTGCCGGGATTGCTGCTTACATCAAGGCGCTTCAGCCAGAGGTGCGTGCGGTGGGATACAGTAAGGTGTGGCACAACGCATTGCTGGGATTAGGTGGGATGCCATGGGATGCGGTGGGATGCGGTAGGATGCTGTGAAAGGGCAGCAGGGGAGGGCGAGGGGCTGTGCCACATGGACCCTTCGAGTTTGCACGCAGTGTTTGTGCCGGTGGGGGGTGGTGGATTGATTGCTGGGATTGCCACTTACATCAAGGCACTGCAACCAGAGATGAGTGCGATGGAATGCGGTGAAACGCGGTGTGATGCAATGATATGCGGTCGAATGAGGTGGGATGGTGTAGGATGCTGCGGTGAGCTGTCAGGGGGTGTCGTGAAGTGTGGTTAGAGGCTGTCAGCAGATTAAGGGCATTGTGCCGTATTTTGTTCATAGTTTTGAGACGTCTCAAAACTTGTGCCGTATTTTGTTCATAGTTTTGAGACGTCTCAAAACTTGTGCCGTATTTTGTTCATAGTTTTGAGACGTCTCAAAACTTGTGCCGTATTTTGTTCATAGTTTTGAGACGTCTCATAACTTGTGCCGTATTTTGTTCATAGTTTTGAGACGTCTCAAAACTTGTGCCGTATTTTGTTCATAGTTTTGAGACGTCTCAAAACTTGTGCCGTATTTTGTTCATAGTTTTGAGACGTCTCAAAACTTGTGCCGTATTTTGTTCATAGTTTTGAGACGTCTCAAAACTTGTGCCGTGTTTTGTTCATCCCAAACGTTATTCTCAGCATCTTCATTTGTCCTTTTCGTCCCCTACCTCCGCTCTCCTTCCCTCCCCTCGTCACCACCCCCCTCCTGTGCATGCCCACCAGGTGCGAGTGATTGGGGTGGAGCCTGCTGACGCTAACGCCATGGCACTCTCTCTATACCACGGCCGGTAAGAGTTGATCCACCCACATCCCACCTCTCACCACCCACATCCCACCTCTCACCACCCACATCCCACCTCTCACCACCCACATCCCACCTCTCACCACCCACATCCCACCTCTCACCACCCACATCCCACCTCTCACCACCCACATCCCACCTCTCACCACCCACACCCCACCTCTCACCACCCACATCCCACCTCTCACCACCCACATCCCACCTCTCACCACCCACATCCCACCTCTCACCACCCACATCCCACCTCTCACCACCCACATCCCACCTCTCACCACCCACATCCCACCTCTCACCACTCACATCCCACCTCTCACCACCCACACCCCACCTCTCACCACCCACACCCCACCTCTCACCACCCACACCCCACCTCTCACCACCCACACCCCACCTCTCACCACCCACACCCCACCTCTCACCACCCACCCCACCCTACCCCCTTTCCCAGTCGTGTGGAGCTCTCATTGTGTGGCACCTTTGCAGACGGAGTAGCGGTGCCGATGGTGGGGGAGGGAGGAGACCTTTCGTCTCTCCCAGCAGCTAGAGGACGGCTGGTGGTCTCTCATTCCTGTCTCTCGGGACGAGATCTGCGCCGCCATCAAAGACATGTTCGAGGACACGCGCAGCATCCTCATTCACAGTGTGGTTCTTGGCGCAGCTCTCCCCCACCTCCCTCGCCCCCTCCCTCGCCCCCTCCCTCCCCCCCTCCCTCTCCCTCTCCCCCCACCCCCAGCCCATTCGAACTGTCATCGTGTGGAACATTCGCGGATGGAGTGGCAGTGCGGAAGGTGGGGGAGGAGACCTTCCGTCTGTGCCAGCAGCTCATCGACGGGGTGGTGCTCGTCTCTCGGGACGAGATCTGTGCCGCCATCAAGGATATGTTGGAGGATACGCGCAGCATCCTGTGCTTCGAGGCACGCTTGCTCATTCGCAGTGCGGTTTCCCCAACACCCCCTTCCTCCCCCTTGCCCTGCCCCCTCCCTCCAGCCGTGAGGAGCTATCCTTCTGTGGCACATTCGCAGACGGAGTGGCAGTGCGGCAGGTGGGGGAGGAGACGTTCCGCCTGTGTCAGCAGCTGGTGGACGGCGTAGTCCTCGTCTCTTGAGTTGACCCATTCCCCGCAACACCCCCTACCTGTCCGCCCCCCTCCCCCAGCCGCGTGGAGCTCTCTTCTTGCGGCACCTTTGCGGATGGCGTAGCAGTGAGGACGGTGGGGGAGGAGACCTTCCGTCTGTGCCAGCAGCTGGTGGACGGAGTAGTCCTCGTGTCGCGGGATGAGATCTGTGCCGCAATCAAAGACATGTTTGAGGACACGCGCAGCATCCTGGAACCTGCGGGGGCGCTGGCACTGGCAGGGGCGAAGGCGTATTGCCGGCAGTATGGGCTGAAGGGCGAGGGCGTGGTGGCGGTGGCGAGTGGCGCCAACATGAACTTTGACCGCCTCCGGCTCGTGTCGGAACTGGCGGATTTGGGGGCGAGGCGAGAAGCAGTGCTAGCCACTACTCTGCCGGAAATCCCAGGGGCGTTCAAGCAGTTTGCGAAGCTGGTGAGTGGACGAGCTTGTGAGGTGGACGGGAGTGTGGGAGTGGCGCCAACATGAACTTTGACCGCCTCCGGCTGGTTTCGGAGCTGGCGGATCTGGGGGCGAGGAGGGAGGCTGTCTTAGCGACAACGCTCCCTGAAATCCCCGGGGCGTTCAAGCAGTTTGCCAAGCTGGTGAGTGGTTGAGGGGAGTGGGGAGTGGTAAGGGGCCAAGGCTTGCTTCTGTGGAGAGAACATGATCGGGCTCAGGCTGGTATCGGAGCTGGCGGATTTGGGGTCCAGGCGAGAGGCTGTGCTGGCGACGACGCTGTTGGAGATTTCCGGGGCTTCCCCCATCTACTCACCAGCTTGCCAAATTGTTGGGGATTTCCGGGGCCTTCAAGCAATTTGCCAAGCTGGTGAGTAGATGGGGGAAGGGAGTGATGAGGGGCTAGGGCAGGGCGCATCGCAGGCAGTATAGGCTGAAGGGGAAGGGGGTTCTGAAGAGATGGCTGATCCTTGTCGCCTTCGCCCTTGGTTCCTCTGCCATCGCTCCTTCTTCACTCACCTCCTATCACCCCTGCTTCACCTCACCCCCCATTACCACCGTGCTTGCTGCTTCAAGTCCGCCCTGCTTCTGAAGAGATGGCTGATCTGTTTCCCCATTGCCCCCCCTGCTTCACCCGTCACTCGCCGTGTTCCCACAGGTGGGACCCGGCATGAACATCACGGAGTTCAAGTATCGCTTCTGCTCCACTGATGCTGCCCACGTGCTCTACAGGTGCGTGTGGTGATGGCGGGTTGTGATGGTGTGTGATGGTGGGGTGGTATTTAGAGTAGGGTTCTGCGATTGGAGAGTTGCATGAGCTACCTACAGGGCTGGATGGCATAACACTGGATGGCATAACACTGGATGGCATAACACTGGATGGCATAACACTGGATGGCATAACACTGGATGGCATCACACTGGATGGCATAACACTGGATGGCATAACACTGGATGGCATAACACTGGATGGCATAACACTGGATGGCATAACACTGGATGGCATAACACTGGATGGCATAACACTGGATGGAATAACACTGGATGGCATAACACTGGATGGCATGGGACGACCACCTGCACTCTTTCCCGCCCGCTTTCTCCCCCGCCGCAACCCCCTCTCTTACTCTGCTTGTATAGCGTGGGAGTGCGCACAGATGATGACTTACAAGCAATGATCACAAGCCTTGGCATGGGAGACTTGCCAACGGTGGACATGATCGCTCGTCTCTATTTGTGTCCCTCAGCCGATTCTTACTCTCGTTCTCCCCCACCTTTCTCCTCCGCACCCCCCCCGCTCTCTCTCCTTGTTTAGTGTGGGAGTCCACACAGATGAAGACTTAGAGGCCATAATCGATCGCCTCGACACTGGTGACATGCTAACGGTGGACATGACAGACAACGATCTGGCCTAGGACCATCTGCGCCACCTTTCATTCCCCACTCCCCTTCTGCTTTCTCTCCCTTCGCAGCGTTGGAGTGCACACAGAGGAGGACCTGGAAGCCATGATCACGCGGCTGGAGGATGGCAGCATGCCAACGGTGGACATGACAGACAACGATCTGGCCAAGGACCATCTGCGCCACCTCGTGGGCGGGCGCTCGTCCCTCCCCAACGAGATTCTCTTCCGCTTCGTCTTCCCGGAGCGCCCCGGCGCGCTCGTCAAGTTCCTGGACCAGATCAGCCCGCGATGGAACATCACTCTGTTCCACTACCGCCGCACCGTGAGTGATCATAGAGGGTGGCTGTGGGTGGTGGTTGTCAGGCTTGGAGCGGGTGAGTGAGTGGCGGTTTAGTGCCGGTTCCCATACCCACAGCCCCATCACTCCTCTTGAAGTTCCTGGACCAGATCAGCCCGCGCTGGAACATCACTCTATTCCACTACTGCCGCACCGTGAGTGCCTCAATTTGAGCTGAGCTGTCTTTTGAGTATTCTGGCCAGCAATTAGTGGCTGGGTCTGAGCAGTAGAATTTTGTGCCTTCCAGCAGAGCAGAGCAGAGCAGAGCTGAGCAGAGCTGAGCAGAGCTGAGCTGAGCTGAGCAGAGCAGAGCAGAGCAGAGCAGAGCAGAGCAGAGCAGAGCAGAGCTGAGCAGAGCTGAGCTGAGCTGAGCTGAGCTGAGCAGAGCAGAGCAGAGCGGAGCAGAGCTGAGCAGAGCAGAGCAGAGCAGAGCAGAGCAGAGCTGAGCTGACTAATGACATGCCTTCTCTGCTTTCTTGTCCCTGTGTTTCCCCTTGCCGTGTCCCTTCCTTTACATCTGCAGGGGGAGATGATCGCGCACGTGCTGGTGGGGTTGCAGGTGATGCCTCACGAGGAGGCGGAGTTCAGAGCGGTGGCGGATGCGCTAGGGTACGAGTACAGTGATGAGCGCAACAACAAGGCGCTGCGCATCTTCATGCAATAGAGAGGATATTTTGCAGTCACCTCACCTGTTAATGATGCACTAGGGTACGAGTACAGTGACGAGAGGAACAAGGCCCTGCGCATCTTCATGCAATAGAGTGGTTGTTTGGCTAAATATACCGTCTAAGCGGTAGGAAGAATACATTCGCAATACATGCATGCGTTGGCAGGTACTCTTACAATAATGGAAAGAACAGGGCACTGAATGGGAATAACTGTGATTGACACCTGAGCAAATAGGTAGAGTTAACTCTCAACTTGACAAAACACATTCACAATCTCCTCCACCCATGAGTTGCGGAATGGAGATCCAAGTATCTACACAAATGACAAGCAAGTTGTTGACTTCAACTACAGTACATGGCACCTACAATACAATGTATAGACAGCATGTACTGTCATGCTCAGCAAGTACACTATTACGTTCACTTGCCGGTGTCACAATGCTGGAGTTCAATCCTCGATGGTAACTTCAAGCGGTCGTGACATCAGCAGCATGGGCTTCAGGGTGCCTGGCAGCCCACCAGTCAATGAACTTGAAATTAGCGTCCATGGAGCTGAACTTGTACAGCCCCAGCCCTATGTTGGCCGCCTCCTCTGTCACCGCCCAGCTCGTCACCGCTCCCACCACCAGCGTCAGGAAAGCACCTGGGATGTGTGTGATGAGGGGTCATGGAAAGGCATATTGATGATGAGTCAATGAAAAGTAGAGTATGAGTGGGTCGATCACAATGCAGAGAAAGCTCGGGATTGGGGGATGGAGTGATGAACATATTGACTAAAGAGGGGAAGTGTCGGAGAGAGGGGGGGACGGGGGAGGGAGGGAAGGAAGGAAGGAGGGACAGAGGAATCAGCTAGTGGGTAGGCAGAATTTGGAAGGGATGAGGGAGATCTGCAGCTGAGCTGTTGAGAAGAAATGAGAGACTTTGAAACGACGATCTCATTTCCACACTAAAAGTCGATACCATCATTTCTGTTGTATCGTTCGGCCTCCATGTGTACTCGCATTAGAGTCCACGAACACTCACACTTCTCCTCTCCCCAGCCCACCCACATCCCCTCCACCTCACCCCACCCACCCCCACCACTCACCGCCAGCGCTCCGCGAGTATCGGTAGCTGTACGCCGCGAGCGCCAGTCCCCCCACCGCCGCTCCGCCAGCCGCCATCAGCGACGCCTGGCGCGACAGCAGCACCTGCGCAAAGGGGGAGGGAGCGTGTGGAGCGATCGAGGAGGGAGCGCGTGGGGGGAGGGGGAGGGCGGGATAGAGATAGGTGCGGGAAATTAGGAGCGAGCTGAAGCACCACCCATCTGCAGAGGGCGTATGAGATCTAGTCACGGCGCACTTGTTGTAACACTTGTTGTAACTGAAACGCGTCTCTCTCTTTCCTGCCTGCGGTCAACCGCACCTGGTTGCCGTGAACGGGGTCCTCCTTAGCGAACGCCTCGATATCCGATTTAGTCCAGCGCGGCAGCGGCGTCTCGCGGCCCTGGCTGAGATCCAGGAGGCGGTTGACCGTGGGACAGCTCTTCGCGTCGCCCTCGCCGCTCTTCTTCATCCACCACGGCGTGTAGCCTGACGCCATGCTCGGTGTCTATAACGAGTCGTGACTAAAACGAGACGTGACTTAAGCGAGATAGATGGGATTGGATGTGGTGTGTTTGGTAGATGATGGTGGTTTCGGGTGGTGAGAGTCAAGCGGAAGGTGACGGCGGAAAGTGAAGAAGCGGAGACGAAGGCGGGCAACCGGTAACTCGTAACGGCCGAAAAGTACGGGCAAACTGTGAAAGGAGTTGTGACAGCTGCATGACTAACTTCGAGACTTTTCCGTGGAATTTCCTAAGTTGTGCAATGGAACCCTAAAATTTATTATTCCTCTCAACCCTACTGAACCGTCCTGGATCAGGGAATCTCCGTTGTTGAAGCGGAACCGGAGGGAGGCAGAGGGGTGCCCGAGTTCCGCAAGGTGGAGTGCGCGTGCGACTGCTTTCTGCGCTAGGCGCGCTTTGTCGGGCTGCCCCTAGCGATTGGGGAAGAGGGTGCTCCCTGATTGGTTGGGCCGGTTTGTTGGGTCCAGACGTGGCATGACGTGGAAGTGGGCAAAAAAAGCATATATATATTTCGTGGAAGACGGATGCCTAAGAAATATATATTCACGAATGCATGAGAGCTGTGTGTATTTGTAACAGATGCATAGTTTGCAGGTTGATGAGCGAGACAGCAGCGAGAATGAACTCTGATTTTGTCATCAAATTCTGACCCAAAGCTCCATTTGAAATCATTCTGCAGGTTTGATTGATGTTATCGTTGGCTCTGCTGGTTTTGTCTGTTGCCTCTCCTCATCGCACCGCATCTGATAGCTTAGCAGTTTTTCCCACTGCCTCGCAACAACTTAGTCTAAGACTGGAACCTACCTCGTACCTTATTTCGAACCCCCGGCTTGGCTTTTATCCTCCTATACGTATCTAGGCGCGCCGTTCAGTCAATTTCCTTAGCAGAGTCGGCGATTTATCTGTGCTTCGGTTGAGGCTACCTCCTGTCCCTAACGCAGTCGGACCAAAACTGTTCGTGAAACTTTTCGCCCGCATTTGCCGTCTTGTCGGTTTCCTCGTGCGACATCTACTACGCTGATCGGCGATCCAATGGCGGAGGGAAAGCAAGCGAAAGTGGAAGCAATCACCCTCAAAGTTGTCGCCCAGGTGAGTTTGGCTCACGAGGTATCTTCCAAACTTGCATTATCTTATACATTTGGTAGTAACGGTTCACGCACCCTAGAAGTTGCCGCCGCGGATGCTTGCGTGCATCAAAGGCCGTCCATTAGCCGACCTAGCATGCCTTTTTTTTTCCTACCTTTTTTTTCCGTCTATTGTTTCCGTCCGAGTGTAACGCTCTTGTTCTGCCTTCCCTTCGCTCCGACTTCCTCCCTGCTCGCCCCACAGGACGGAACAGAAGTGTCGTTCAAAGTAAAGCCGAAAACCAAGTTCAGCAAGGTAAGGCAAAGGATATTCAGCAAGTCAATGATGTGTGAAAGGCCTAAGGTCGACACGTAACCATGGTTCTTCCCATGCACTCCAGAACCTGATAGCAACTATAACAGCCAGAATGCACGACTGGCGTTTGTCTGTAGCTTTTCGCTCCACCGGAGGTGTTATGAGCATTACGACCCTTCACTTACGTTCAACCAAAACGTTCCACTTGTCCTTGGGATTGCGGTTGTTTAAACTTGTACATATTTCTCTCTCATCCGCTCTCCCCGTCCCCCCTGCCCCATATCTTACTGCAGTTATTCCAGGCGTACAGCGATAGAAAAGGGTTTAAGTTAGATACCATGCGGTTCCTATACCACGGGTGAGTGCCGTCCCCTGTACCACGCATGCCCTTACCTGTACCACGCGTGAGCGCCCTGGCCGATACCTTGTCTGTTGGCGATGGCTGTGTGGTTGGTGGGAAAGGTTGGCGATGTCGTGTGTAATGGAAACGGAGATTGAGTGTCGGTGCGCCTATGTTATGTCGGTCTATGTTCCGCCCATTCCTCCCCTCCATCCCCTTCAATCCCCTTCTCTCCCCGTCCCTCCCATTCCCTCCCCTTCGCTCCCCTTCCCTCCCCTTCCCTTTTCTTCCCTCCCCGTCCCTTTCCTTCCCTCCCCTCCCTATCCTTTCCTTCCCTCCCTATCCTTCCCTCCCGTTCCCTTCCCGCCATTCAACTCCTTTTACCTCCCGTTTGCTCCCTTTCCCTCCCTTCCCCTCCCTTACCCCCCTTGCGCTCATGCACACTCGTTCCCACTCATATTGCAACTCATGTTGCAACTCATGTTGCAACTCATGTTGCAACTCATATTGCAACTCATATTGCAACTCATGTTGCATCGTGCAGTGGTCGAGTCCTGGGAGACAACACACCTGCTGAGGTATGGGCTATTGCATAAGCCAGCAATTTCTCAACTTCTTGCGTGTTCGAGAATGGGGTTGGATGCGTTGCAGCGTATCGTGCACTTCCTCCAATCTCTCCTTACTGAGCTGAATAAGTTGCAGCTGATCCTGCCACTCTTCCCATCCTCACGTATCAAATGCCACTGCAGCACACTAATTCCTCTTAAGATTATTAAGCTGCACTCACATGATACTGCTCCACGCCCAACACCCGTTTTTTCTCCCCCATTTGTGTTTCTGCACCAACAACAGCTGGGCATTGAGAACAACGACCAGATCGAGGTGATGGTGGAGCAATTGGGAGGCGGCACGTGGTCCCAGCAGCAGTATCGGTACCTTTTCAGATGACAGATACGTGGACAAGGCTATGTCAGAGACAGGCTGACAAACTTTTGACAAAGACAGGCCCACGGGCTTTTCACCCCTTCTGCAGTTTTTTGTCAGATCAATTAGGTTGACAGGCAGGCTCACATTCCCTTCTAACCCGATGGTGGTCAGCGTTAGGAAATGGCACTGAATGAATGCTGACGGGTTGCCCGTCAGCGAAGTGCATCATACGGTAGTTAGCTTGTAAGGCATGCCACTTGTCTACCATTTATAGTGCAGATGTCTGGACCAATATTGTGCGAAGGAGACATCCACTCAAAAGGAATTGCACCACCTGCACCAGCTGACAGTTACTATGCTGCTGCATTATTGCAGGGAATGAATGAAGTGACAACTCCTGCCGTTGACAAGCCATCACTGTGAGAATCAACTGTAGACATCCCTAAAATAGGGTAACAGTTCGTAGATATTGAGTTGACTCATCAGATCAGACGCAACCTGCAGATGAAATGTGGCTTTTCCAGGATACAGCAGCACATGGTTGATCATGTGAGGTCAATGCAGCATCTCGGTGCCAGCCGCACTAAATTGGTCATGGGGGAAGCGGGGCAGGGGCAACCGCTAGGTACTAGCAGCAGTGGGGGCAGCAGAAGCACCAGCAGCAACAGCGGCAGCAGCACTAGCAGGGGGGGACGCTGGAGGGGGTTTGGGAGAGGCAGGGGCTCTTTCCTTGTCAATAGAGAATGGACATGGTTACAGGGTAACATTGCATGTTGCAATGCACTTTCCTGACACGAGCACCTCTAGGCACTGGCAGCAGCAGGGGCGGCAGGGGGGGATGCCGGTGGGAGCTTGGGAGCACCAGATTCCTTGCCGACCGAGGAGGAGAGGTAGAAGTTCCAGAAGATTGCACACACTGACATGAACGCCACTCGCGCCTCTAACGGGACAACTCTGTAAAGGGGATGGATGGGGGACAGAGAGAGGGTGAGAGAATGTGAGGGCGAGTGGGAGAAATGGGGACCAGGAGAAAGGGGGAGAATCTGGATAATGGGGAGGGAATGGATGTGAACAAGGCAGAGCTTGGGGTTTCAGGTTCAAGGTTTTAGGTTTAAGGTTCAAGGTTTTTATGTGCATAAGGTTTTGGAATCCGGGTTTGAAGTGGTGTTGAGAAAGTTTTTACAGTAAGATACAAGAGTGGCGGTGACACGAAGTGTTGGGGCAACATGAGAGGCTTACGCAAAGTTGAGGCTTGCAGCCGGAATCCAGAACTTCCACCCTGAAGTGATGAGGGAGGGATAGGAAGGGATAGGAGGGGATAGGAAGGGATAGGAGGGGATAGGAGGGGATAGGAGGGGATAGGAGGGGATAGGAGGGGATAGGAGGGGATAGGAGAAGGGGCAACGGGGGCAAGCAAAGGAGCGCATGGGACAGGACAGTGAGAACTTTTTGATTCGGTTTCAAAGAATCCAAAGCTCTCACGCGAATGAGGAGACGAGGATAAGATCTAATGTACTATTGATCGTTACAGAAATCCTGTGCTCGTCTAAACATTATATATCGACCTGGGAGCACATGCGTTATGCACAAATGATATTAAAGCTTACCATCAACAAGGGAGGGGAAGAAATCCCTGCGGTACTTGTCAGGGATGTCTTTGGCCTTGCCCATCCATGCCATGTTCCATGCAAACACCACCAGCAGCACACACGGCCCCAGCACCACCTGATTCGCTGTCACCTGGGGATGTGTTGAAGGGGGGGGGGGGGGGGTGGTAGGGGAGGACAAACGGGATGGGGGCCTGAGTTATGGTATGTGGGGGCGGGTACAAGGAGAGAGGGAGCAAGAGAAATTGCGGGTGGATGGGGACAAGGGGAGAGGGGCGGGTGGGAAAGAAATGTCCTTGGCCTTGCCCATCCACGCCATGTTCCATGCGAATACCAGCAGCAGCAGCACACACGGCCGCAGCACCACTTGATTCGCTGTCACCTGGTCGTATTGAGGGGGGAAAGCCAAGGGGAGAGGGTGGTTGAAGCATGCGCTTCCAAGCGAATACCACCACACACCTTTCTTATAACAAGTTTGAGCACCACAGGCCTTGAGCATGAAGTTGGTGAGTGTGGGTACAGGCAGCAGGCGGACAGTGAGCCACACGTGGACTCACGTGAGCCCACGTAAGCACTGATACCACACGTGGCTGCTGGGGCCGTGGAGCAGTGGCAAGCCATACTGCATTGTAAGCAGCCATAGTACGCTGCTTATGACGAGTACAACCACCACCCACCTTGAGCACGAAATTTGTGAGCGTGGGATCCGGCAGCAGGCAGTCAAGGCGCTGGTACCACACGTAGCTGCCTGGGCCGTACAGCAGGATAGCAGTAGGAACAGGGATGGTACTTTATTTTAACGAGTACAAACACCCACACACCTTGAGCACAAAGTTTGTCAGCGTGGGAGCCGGCAACAGGCGGTCAAGGCGCTGGTACCACACGTAGCTGCCTGGGCCGTACAGCAGGATAGCAGTAGGAACAGGGATGGTACTTTATTTTAACGAGTACAAACACCCACACACCTTGAGCACAAAGTTTGTCAGCGTGGGAGCCGGCAACAGGCGGTCAAGGCGCTGGTACCACACATAGCTGCCGGGGCCGTACAGCAGGAAGCAGCAGCCATGGGGATGCCACTTTCTTATAGCGAGTACAAGCTCCCACCCACCTTGAGCACGAAGTTGGTGAGAGTAGGTGCAGGCAACAGGCGGTCGAGGCGCTGGTACCACACGTAGCTGCCGGGGCCGTACAGCAGGAAGCCATATGAGGCCATGCGAAGAGCGCGGATAAAATCATGTTGCCACAGCTCCTTGTCTGCCACTCCCCGCAGCTGATGGCGCAATGGGGGGAAAGCACGGGGGGAGAGCGTGGGAGGGGTGGGGAGGAAGGGGTGAGTCAAAACCCATCCAGGAGCAGTAGAGCAGGAATCCATATGAAGCCATGCGCAGGGCATGAACAAAGTCATGCTGCCGCTACTCCCCGCAACTGATGGGGAGGGAGGAGGAGGAAGGGGGGATGGGAGGCCATGAGGCACTGCTGTAGAGCAGTAGAAGGCAGACCCGAAACCCTATTAAATCGCCCCCATTCCCACCGCAACCACTCCAAACGCACCCAGGACGACTCACTCTCTTTCTGCAGCATGGCGACGCCGCCTCTATCTCTTTCTCCTTGGCCTGCCGGTGTCGATACCACTCCACCAGCTGTTGAGGTGAGACGCCCCAAAAGGCAGCTTGGGAAAGGGATCAAACCAGCCCCACCACTCCCGCTCCCACCCAAGGCCACTAACTCTCTTTCTGCAGCACGGCGACGCGTCCTCTATCTCTTTCTCCTTGGCCTGCCGCCATCGGAAAACGACTGAGCCACCCCCACCGCTCCCACCCAAGGCGACTCACTCTCTTTCTGCAGCAGGGCGACGCCGCCTCTATCTCAATCTCCTTGGCCTGCCGGCGTCGATACCTCTCCACCAGCTGTGCGATTGTGTCACCCGTCAGGGCCAGCCCACTCGCCGTCACAGCTGCCTTCAGGGGGAATCTCTGTGCAGGGAGAGAACGACGGAAAGTTACCAGGAAAATGGGGGGTAAGGGGGAGCGAGAGGAGGGGGGGAGGGGGGTGGGAAGGTGGGGTGAAGGAAGGAAGGAATGTGAGCAATGAGGGACAACTCACTCGCTGTCACCACTGCCTTGAGGGGAACCTCTCTGGTTGAGGGGAAGGACATGGGAGGGACACGGAGAGAACGTGGTGCAATGTGAGCAATGTTAGCAGTGTGAGCAATGTGAGCAATGTGAGCAATGTGAGCAATGTGAGCAATGTGAGCAATGTGAGCAATGTGAGCAGTGTGAGCAATGTGAGCAATGTGAGCAGTGTGGGCAATGTTACAAATGTTAGCAATCTGAGTAAAATGTTAGCAATGTGATCAAATGTCAACGTCTTGAAAAAATCATCAACCCACCTCCAGCAACGACCCAGATTGGCCTTTCTTCTGTGAGGGTTCTTCCAACGGCTGAGATGCGTCCGATGCACTGCAGGCAAAACGGGCAGAAGTGGGTAGGTGGTAACAGCATCAATGAAAATGTGGGAGGACGCGTCAGTGGGGAGGTTGGATGCGGAATGAAATGATATACACTATCAGGAGAGGAGCCCCAAACCCAGACTCAAAAGACCCGAAACCAAAAACTGGAAGGTCAGTTTCGGTCCAACCTCAGAAGTTCTAGAGTGGTTTTCCTTTCCTTCTTTGATAAATACTCAGAAAACGACTCAACCTTCCTGCAGCTTAAGTAAGTGCGTGGTGGATCCTCACCTGGCTCTAAGGCGGTGCTTGCCATGCTGCCACGTGGCAGACAGAGACGAGAGCAGCGAGAGCGACAATCCTTGGGAGAGCGAGCAGGAGAGGGCCGCCAGTGGCCGAGCGCGGAGCGCGTCAGAGAGAGGGTTGACTCCGTTGACCCCGTTGAAGGGGTTGAACGGCAAACCGCCAGATGCGGCCATCTGGATTGGCTGGTTGGGAGTCGCCGATTGTAAGTGTTGGCGGGAGATTCTGTTTCGTGACTCTGCTTCGAGCTACCGTGATCGAGCCGGGTGAATCGTGGATAGTAGAATAAACCAGAATGCGACTGAGCCTTACGGTTGCCTGTGCTCCTGAACAATCAGAAAAGGGTGTCACGTCGACAGATTATTTAGTTGAAGCTGGAAATGGTTTCCGGGGAGAAGCTGAAGGACGGTATACTTGTGTTGTGACGCACGGGCTTCACAAGCTTGGTCGTTGATTCAGGACCCAGCAGTATCACAGTACCGTAGGTATTGAGTAGTACTAGGTCGGGTTGTGGCATCAGCCGAATGATCAGGTCTCCGTATTCCTAGGAAAGCTAAGAGCCTAGGAGGATTATCCTGACGACGTTGTGAAGCGAACTTCTTAGCGAAACTTTTCCAATTTTCGGTCACATTAAACATTATGGAGGTAAAGAGGAACACTAAGTAAACAAAAGGGTATTTCATTGGACTTCCATGATACACACAACAAAAATACGCTGTGAATGCTTTGGAAAGAAAGAGAGAGGATGTAATATTCCTCTAAAATCATGCCGACAAAGGCACCGAAGCCGCTAAAGGCGACGTTACAGCTGCTTTAACAGCTGCTTTACCTCCTCTTTGCCCGGAAATTGCACCATCCCCAGAATTGCAATCCATGCCTTCACCTTCCTCATTCATCACTCCACCACCCCCTCCCCTCCCTCCAGTCCGTTCCCTCTTATCTCTCATCCCTCCCCCATCTACCCCGTTCACCTTTCCCTTCCCATCCGCACACACCCCATTCTCTCCCTCCCTCCTCTCACCGCTCTCCTTCCCTTCCCTCACTCCACCCCCCTTAATCTCCCTACTCTCCCCCCGTTTCCTCTTATCCTCCACCTCCCCACCCCCTCGACCCACCGCCCCACCCGACCCTACCTCTGCACCCGAACCTCCTGCACCAGCCGAACCTAGCGGCCGCTCCGGCTCAGGTTCGGCGAGCCAGGAGTGGGCGAGGGCCTGGCGGGCAGTGGCGCGTCTCTCAGGGGCAAAGTCAAGCATGGGGGTGAGGAAGGAGGCGAGGGAGGTGGCTTCTGCTGGGGGGAGGTCGTACTTCTCTGTGAGCACTCGCTCTAGCGGCCAGAACTTGAGGCGCCTTATGTGCCTCAGCTCCCCGTTGCGGGAGAAAAAGTCCCGAGAGTACTTGCCGCCTAGGGCAATCTGGATAGGGGGAGGCGTGGCGGGGGAAGACAGGGGTGGAAGGGGGAGGGAGGGAATGTAGGGGAATGATTGATGGACATCCACTGCCTTGTGTGGCTCAGCCGCTCAGCTCACCAATGCGGGAGAAGCAGCTTCGAAAGACTCGCCTCCTAGAGCGATCCTCGATTTACTTTTGAGACTTCTCAACCGTCAGTTCAGATGCATCAGTGCAAAGAGCATGGGTGCAAAGAGGGTGTGCGGTGTGATGTGAATGCGGGTGTGATTCGAGTGCAGTGTGTGTGTGACTGACCTTCTTTGGAATCCGACCAATCAACTCCATCATGAGCGCCAGATGATCCTGCACACACCCCACACAGCAACGCAGCCACGACAACAGCGAAGAAAAAATATTGTGAGGAACGAATGGGGAATTGGGTTCCCTCTCACCCAAACAGAGAGATCCTGGCGAGGTAGGAGTTCAGTGAGAGAGAAGCATGGTTGACTCGTCAGCAGACGAGCTTGAAGAAAAATGCGTTGACAGCAGTCAACAAACCACGCAAGAACATCCCACCTCATCCCGGTCGAAGTCGTGCCCTGAGCGCGGGTCGAAGTGCACATCTCCAGTGACGAGCTCAAAGATGAGGCAGGCGAAGGACCACATGTGAACTAATCAAGGTCCATTCCTCCAAGCAAGAAGCATCCCACCTCATCCCGGTCAAAGTCATGTCCTGAGCGCGGGTCAAAGAGCACATCTCCAGTGACGAGCTCAAAGATGAGGCAGGCGAAGGACCATTAAACCAACCAAGTGAGAGCAGCATCTCACCTCATCCTGGTCGAAGTCATGTCCTGAGCGCGGGTCAAAGAGCACATCTCCAGTGACGAGCTCAAAGATGAGGCAGGCGAAGGACCATTAAACCAACCAAGTGAGAGCAGCATCTCACCTCATCCCGGTCGAAGTCATGTCCTGAGCGCGGGTCAAAGAGCACATCTCCAGTGACGAGCTCAAAGATGAGGCAGGCGAAGGACCATTAAACCAACCAAGTGAGAGCAGCATCTCACCTCATCCCGGTCGAAGTCATGTCCTGAGCGCGGGTCAAAGAGCACATCTCCAGTGACGAGCTCAAAGATGAGGCAGGCGAAGGACCACATGTCAGCGGAGGTGGAGTAGCGCGCCCCCAGCAGCACCTCGGGGCAGCGGTACTGACGCGTCTGAATGTCACTCGTGAACTGGGGGGAGAGGGGGAGATGGTGGAGGGGTGACAGGGGGAACAGAGGAAGAGAGGAACAAGCGGATGAAAAAAACCCCAGCAGCACTTCGGGGCAGCGCAGCGGTACTGGCGGTTCTTCTGAATGTCACTCATGAGCTGAAAGAGGAGGGGGGAAGGGGGGGGAGGGGGGAGGAGGGGCGACAGGGGGAACATAGGAAGAAAGGAACAAGTGGATTTCAAAACCCCCAGCAGCACCTCGCGGCAGCAGGCGTTCCCAAGGTCCACGATCTTGCAGCTCAGGTCCACCGGCGGCCTTTGTGACTTTTGAGTTGACTCAAGGTGAGGTGACTTTCGACTCAAGGTGACTTTAGAGTCGACTCAAACCATAACGCACCTGCTTGTACGTCCAGCAGGCATTCCCGAGGTCCACGATCTTGCAGCTCATATCCATCCCTGTCAGGTCCACCGGCCGTTTCCTCCTCCCTGCCACCTCTGCTGCCGTCTCTGCTTCCGCTTGTGCTGCTGCTGCTTCTGTTGTTGCTGCTGCTGTTCCTGCTGCCGCTCCTGCTGCTGCCGCTGTTGCTGCTAAAGCTTTCTCCCCTGCACTCTTCACCTGTATGCCACCATCAGTCCCTGCCACACCACCGCCACCACCAGCAGCAGAAGCGGTGCCAGTGGCAGCAACAGACGCAGCTAGGTCGGCCAGCCCAAGGTAATCCTCCATTGAAGACGAAGACGTGAATACCCCCTTCTGTGCTCCCTGTCCCGCTGCCAGCGGTGATACTACAGGTGCTGCTGCTGCTGCTGCTGCTGCTGCTGCTGCTGCTGTTGCCCCTGCCTCTCCACCCCCCCCTGCCCCTGCTTCGGCCCCTGTCTCCACCTCTTCACCTGGCCCTCTTGCCTTTCCGTTACCTTCGAGCCCTAGGAACTCTTTCAGCCCAGCTTCTAACGCGGACGACTCCCTCCCTCCCTCCACCGCCGTCCCTCCTGCCTCTTGGCTTTCTTCTTCAGCTTCTTCCGCTGGTTCTTCGTCAGTCCCGACGACGCCGGTGACGCCAACGCCCCCCCTTCCGCCGATCCCCCAGCCCCTCCCCCACGCCCTCCCCCAGCCCCCGCGCCATCCCCCCCACGCGGAACCGAAACCGGAGGGGGAGGCGGAGGCGGAGGCGGGGGACCCTCCATTCTCCCCCCAATCCCCAGCTGATCATCTATCGACCGCACCAGCAGCACGTTCTCGGGCTTTAAATCCGTATGTATAATCGACAGCTGCCTATGCAGATAGTCTAAGCCTGTGAGGATGTGGCGCGCGAGGTGCCTGACTGCGGGGAGGGGGAGCCCGCGGTAGCGGAAGCGGCGGATGAGCGAGAGGAGGTTCTCCCCTAGAGACTCGAAGACCATGCACACGTGCGAGCCGTGCGGGCCCGAGTGGCGGAAGTGGTCTAGTAGGCGCACCACGCACTTGTCGCTCCGCGGATCGCCGTCCGCCACCTGCCAGGAAGAAGAGGTGCGGGGGGGGGAGGAGGGGGCGGCGGAAGAAGGGGGGGGAGAAGAAAGGGGAAGAATAGATGGAGAGGGAGGGGATGGGGAGGAGAGGGGATTGGAATTGGGGAAACAAGGTATAAGAGGAGGTTCTCGCCCAGGGACTCGAAGACCATGCACACGTGCGAGCTGTGGGAGCCCGAGTGGCGGAACTGGTCCAGTAGGCGCACTACGCACTTCTCGTTCCGCGGATCGCCGTCCGCCACCTTCCAGGAGGGGAGGAACCGGAGAGAGAAGGGGAGCTGCTGAGGTGATAGATCGATACCCGAAGACCATGCACACGTGCGAGCCTTGAGTGACGACTGTACTAACTCGTTAGCAAACCAATCGGCATTGACCACCGTTAGGGTGACCCCGAAATATCCTTTCCTACCTGTCTGAGGAGCTGAACCTCGTCAAGAGCTGACTCGGTATAGTGCGACGCGCTCTTCTGCACCTTGAGAGCCACGTAGCGCTGCAGACAACCACGAAAGACGGAACGGGGACGTCACAAAGTGTGAAACGGGGAGAGGACAGTGTTCAGACAGAAGCCATTCCTGAGAATGGAGATGTCGGAAACGTAAAGAGAGGGACCAGCTCATTAGATCGTAATTCGTAAGCTTCAATTCACCGCATTGAATGTACTCTTCGACCCGTTACGTCTCCGTACTCTACTTCCTCACCTTGACCTCCTCAGATTGACAAATTCCAGGCACCTTGTCTGTTACATTTTCCTCGCCTCCACGCCATATTCATTCCATCCTCTCCATTCCCGCTTCATTTTTCCCTCTCGGTTTCATCTTATCGTTGCGCCGTACCTTCTCCGTTTCATCCCACGCAAGCCAGACGGTCGAGAAGTGACCCCATCCCAACTTCTTCACCACGCGATAACGACCGTTCCTGAACGAATCGCCGATCTTCACGGGGTGGTAACCACCTCGCTTGTAATCGTCAGTCCCTTCGTCTTCCGACTCCGAAAGATAGTCGCTATCGCTAGAACCCTCGTCAGCTGATTCCACTTCGTCACGGTCCCCGGTGTAACCCTTCTCGGGCTTATCGCCGCCGCCTCGGTGGTTCCTATGCTTCGCGTTGGAAGCCTTTCCCATCAGGGACTGTTAGAGGTAACGAAGCGGACAAATTGCGATCGGAGAGATTTACGGATAAGGAAGTGAATCGCTCGGAATGCAAGCCGTCCCTCGACTCGGCAAATCCACGACGCTGCTGCAAACCTGTACTTAGATAGCTGCGCGAACAGAGGCTCTGATTCCGTAAAATGCGCCCTCCTAGATGAGCAGAAAACCACTAGCCGATGCAGAGGTACGAGGACTCAACAGGCGTCACGTGTGAAACGAGCAGAACGTGGGAGGATTCAGAGATCGCCTGCCATAGAGGCTTTCAGCTGGATCTGGCCCTAATCCTGACGTATGAACTAAACAGTACGAGAACAAAGATACTGTTACTGCAAGAGTTCAAGGAAGCATTACGGAGTGGTCAAGAACGATGAACAAAACATTTAGGGAGGTAAACAAACAGTTTACCTCGGTTTGCGGACCTAATAGTACCCATCGTTGGCTGTGTGTGTGCTTATAAGGCTTGTAGTTCAGGGCCATGCCGTTGGCATGGCACTGGATCATGTCTTCTTTCCGCTGAATGGTTGACGCAAACGGCCACTGACGTACACGTACATGATGGCCATCGCGAAAGGGCACGCCAATTTGTGGCTGGGAAGTCCCATGGCTGATTGTCCAGCAAAGAAATGGTCCACTGCTGCAGAAGTAAGCTACAGTTTTGAAACCTATGACCACAGCACCATATCTTAATACATCTTCTACCAATAAATCCATTCACTAACCTAAGGTAACTACCCCTCAACTTATCACAGCAATCAGCCAATAATTATCTCCTTCTCTCCAGCATAGTTAGTTTGCTGTCATCTGCAATCACCTTCGGGCACTTGATATAGGCAATTTTATCAAAGGCACGGTTTTTTTTGCAATATTGTTTCTTTTCAGCATTGTTACGGGTGCAATGAATCGAGGTAGCGAGGATTGCACCAGAGTGTTCAATCAGTGCAAAATATGAGCGAAGGCATGCGCGAATACTTATACACGAAAATGTGCAAACGGTAACACGGTGCGTGCGAGCTAGCTAGTGCTACGTTGGCGCGAGGTTCAGGCTAGTCCCGAAGCGTAGGCCGACTCGACTGCTCTAGCAGTGCGAGGTTTGGTGAAACAGTGCGCGCGAAGTTGGCGAAGCCCCGTTAGCAGTAACGGGCTAACAACGGCTGCTGCTGTATGCGATGTGGACGGTCGCGGTAAGGAATAGCGAGAAAATTCCTTACAGTACCCCCCCCCCCCCCCCCCTCTCCCTCAAGAAGCCCCCTCCGCTACGCGAGTGCGTATATATCGCGAAAACCCCGGCTCCTCGGGTACACTTGCAGGGCAGGGTGGTTTTCGATGTTGGCTAGGGGCACCCAGCTATCCTCAGTTGGCGTGCGGTCCTTCTAGCGAACGATGAACTCGATCCTCTTGATGCCTGTCGGGTGGCGAATCTGATGGCTCTGAATTTTTTCAGGCTCGATGATCGGCTCCGATGCAGGGCGAGTCATGGATGGCGGGCGGTGACGAGGTAGTTGGCTCGTGCTTGGGATGTAAGGGCGAAGCAAGCTGACGTAGAATGATGGGCTGATGTACCAGTCTGTCGGCAACAGTAAGTGGGCGGTAACTGGGGTGATCATGTGGCTGATTTGAAATGGTCCACAGTAGCGCGGTCGTAATTTCGGTACGACAGGCAGTCTTAAGTTATGTGTGCGAGTAGTACGTAATCCTCTGACTGGTACGTGACTGGGCGGCGGTGGCGGTCAGCGTTGCGTTTAGCGATGACGTTGGCTTTCTTAATTGCTTCTGCGGCTCTGGTACGGGCAGCTTGCAGAATCTCGGCGAATTGCTGTGCTCGTGGCGTTGGGTAATCCGGACTCAGCGTCATGGGCACTGTTGGGTTTTGCCCGTAGTTCAGGTAAAACGGGGACTGCTGCGTCGTCGCTGACATGGCGTTGTTGTAGGCGAACTCGATCAGCGGCAGCTGCTGCTCCCAAGTTGTCGGGTCGTCGCACGTGGCCCAAATCAACTGCTCCATCGTCTGATTGGTCCGCTCCGTTTGACCGTTGGTCTCGGGGTGGTACGATGAAGTGAACTATAGCCTTATCCCGAACTGCTCCCAGAGGTTCTTCTAGAAATTGTTGGTAAACTTTGTGTCGCGGTCGCTGGTTATCGCGGCTGGTATCCCGTGCAGTCGAACGACGGCTGCGATGAACAGGCGAGCGGTTTCTTCTGCTGAGATCGATTTCTTGGATGTAGCGAAGTGATCCATTTTCGTCAGTCTATCAACGACGACGATAACCGCGTCGTTACCCCCAGGGCTCGAAGGTAACCCCTGTCAGAATGTTATATTTGTCTAGCCTGCAGTGGGGTACTCAATACTAATTACACCCTAATCTAGTGATTCTGACATGCTATCAGAGCAGGTCGACCCTTCTGGTTCGATCCTGTGCATGGGCCCACCATTATCTTCCGCTGCTGTCCTGCCTATCGCGCGCCTCGGGCGCGCGCTGTTTTCGTGCCTGCCGCGCGCTCGTGGCGCGCGGCATTTTTTCTTCCCGCCGCGCGCCACTAGCGCGCGGCGGTTTTCTACCCGTCGCGCCGCCCTGCAGAGCGCGCGACGCCCTGCCTGCCCGTCGTGCGCCCCGTGGCGCGCGACGGTGCCCTGCCCGTCGTGCGCCCCGAGGCGTGCGGCGGTTTCGTCGCCTGTCGCGGCGCACCGGGGGCCCGCGCACCGCCCCCCCCCCCCCCCCCCCCTTCCCGTCGCCTGTCGAGGCGACCTGGGGGGGGGGGCGCGCGTCGCCCCTTCTGTCGCCCGTCACGGCGCCCTGGGGGGCCGCGCGTCGGCCCCTCCCGTCTTCGTCGCGGCCCTGCCCTGCCCTGCCGTCCTGCTCCTGCCCTGTCCCGGCCCTGCCCTGCCCGGCCCTGCTTCGTCGCGGCCCTGCCCTGCTGCCGCCCCCACTGCGGCCCTGCCCTGCTGCCGCCCCTGCTGCGGCCCTGCCCTGTGTTGGGGTTTGGGGGTGGCGAGTATGGGGGTGATGGGTGTGTGCGGCCTCCCCTGCTCCTCCTCCTCCTCCGTCTCCCACTGCTGCAGCTGCCGCTGAGGGGGGTGGGTGTGTGGGAGCCGAAGGATTGGTGCTAGGGGGTGGAGTGTGAGTAGTGCTAGAGGTGCAGCAGGGGGTGGGTGAAAGGGGGGTGAGACAGTTAGAGGGAGGTTGGGCGGAGGCAGCCGTCGTGTCGCCAGCAGCGCCAGTAGTCCAGAGGCTGCGCCAGTCGCCCGTGAGTCCGTTGCTCTTGCCGCTCAGAGTTAGCCGCGGAGCCAGTTACTCCAGTAGTCCGGAGGCTACAATCTCCAGTAGCCACAGTGCGCGCCGCTCCTGTTGCCCGTGTTTTTGCAGCTTCACCCGTCGTCTCCTATCTCCTCTCCTCTCACAGTCCCTCCTCCTCCTCACTTACTGTCTGTGACTGCCTCTAGCTTTGCTTATATTTGTGAACTATAAACTGTTGCTTCTTGTACTTGTGCTCAGAATGTGTGGTGACATTGTGATCCACCTTGAGCTTGTTTTTTGTTTTGCTTTGCTTGTTGTGCTGATTACACCCCACTTTGGCTATGGGGGTGTGTCAGAATGTTATATTTGTCTAGCCTGCAGTGGGGTACTCAATAGTGAGTACAGCCCAATCTAGGGCTTGCTATATGTACTCAACTGCTTGCTAGTGAAACCCCTCTTCTCTGTTTCATTCCGTTCCTGATTCGGACAACCCCATGACGAAATCCATGGTAACTTGCTGCCAGGTGCGCTCGGGCGGTGGAATCGGCTGCAATTGACCCGCCTTTCTCTTTCGCGAGCTCTTCATCACCTGACACGTAGGACACGAGCCCACGTGGTGCTGTACGTTGGTCAACAGCTCCGACCAGTAGTAATACCGCTGCAGTTGCTGTCGCGTTTTTTCTACCCCGAAGTGGCCCGACGTAATCCTGTCGTGTGCCTCCTGCAGTAACAGTTCCCTCAGTAGTGAGTACGCGGGTACCCAAATGCGGTTGGTGTCTGTTTTTACGTAATAGACTCCCTTAGCTTCTGCCAGTTGCTGTGAATTTCCGGTCGTGAAAAATTGGTTGGTACTGTATCCATGGGTGAATAGGCCTGTTAACCGTGTGTTGCTTTGGGCGAGTAGGATGGTGTGGAGTTGGGCGGTAGGGCGTATGAGTGCGTCGGCGATGTTTGATGCGCCTTTTTTGTACGTGACTGTGTAGTGGAAGTTGGACTCCAGCAGATCTGTTGCGGGTTGAGATTCGGTTGGGCGCGGAGGTACTGTAGTGATCGGTGATTTGTCCGTAATGTCACGTCGACGCCAGTCAGGTAGCATCGCCACACTTTGAACGCGTGCACGATCGCCAGCATTTCGCGGTCGTGTATCGGGTAGTTGCGTTCGGGTGGGTGCAGCTTGCGGGACTCGTACGCGATTGGATGGAGGCAGTTCCCGAAGTCCTGCAACAGTACAGCTCCCACGACGATGTCACTTGCGTCGGCGAGGAGCTCAAACGGACGGTGCGGATCTGCGATGTGAAGCACGGGCGGCGACCACAAAATATTTTTGAGGGCCGAGAAGGCAGCTTGCTCTTTCTCCCCCCACATTTACTCAACCCCCTTCCTCAGCAGGTCGGTCAACGGAGCAGTCAACTTCGCCATGTCAAGGACGAATCGGCGCACGTAGTTGACGAACCCCAAAAAGCTCTGCAACTCTGTCAAGTTTGTCGGCGCGTGCCACCCTTGAATCGTCGCGATCTTCTTCGGGTCTATTTCCACTCCTTCAGCTGAAATGATGTGTCCCAAAAACTCCAGTCTGTCCTGTAAAAACTCACACTTAGATGCTTTCGTTAGTAGGCGGTTCTCACTCAGTATTTTAAAAACTGCTTCAATGTCCTGTAGGTGCTGTGCTCTGTCTGGGCTGTAAATCAGTATGTCGTCGAGGTACACGATGACGCACTTATCTAAAAGCGGGCGGAAGGCTTCGCTCATGGTCATTTGAAAGGTCGCAGGGGCGTTGGTTAGTCCGGAGGGCATGGCGGTGTATTCGAAGGATCCGTAGCGTGTTCGGAAAGCTGTTTCTGGGCAGTCGAGTGGGTTGACTCGGATCTGGTGGTAGCCTCCTCGAAGGTCAATTTTCGAGAAAACCCGGGCTGTGCGTAGTTGGTCGATCAGTTCGTCGGCTCGTGGGATGGGGTAATGGGATTTGATGGTAACCCTGTTCAGTGCACAGTAATCGATGCACATGCGAAAACCCCCATCCTTTTTCGGTGTGAACAGTATCGGTGCTACGAAGGGTGACGAACTCGGGCGGATGAATTCCTTCTCGAGCAGGTAATCTAGCTGCTTCCTTAGTTCGTCCAGTTCGGGTTGGGTCAGTCGGAACTGTCGCTGTACTGTCGGCTATGCCCCCAGATCTAACTCTATCCAGTGGTTGTGCGGTCGCTGAGGTGGCAGTCCTGTCAGCAGGTCATCCGGGAAAATCCCACTGTACTGCTTCAGTAGTGCTGCCAAGTCATCTGGTACGTCGTCTAGCAGTTTCTGTAAACCCCCCCCTTTGTCTGTTGCCTCGGCTTCCCGAATGTTGACCGCGTACACGTCAACTACTGCCGCTATGACGCATTTCATCGTGATCGCGTTGACACGCACCGATGAAGACTCAGGCGAGGCGTAGCGAGGTAAGGAGATGTTGTTACCGTTCACTTGCACGGTGCAATCACCCGTCGTCCAGTCTATTCGCGGATTGTGACGTTGCAGCCAATCACGGCCGAGTAAAACGTCGGTTTCGTCGAGGGTTGTCACGAGCATTTCCTGGCTAAACGTGAAGTTACCCCCGCATCGAATCCGAACCCGGTCTACGCGTTCCCGTATCGCCAGTAGCGTGCCGTGAACAAGTCTTGCATCGATCTCGGGTAAACATCTGTCCAGTGGCAATCTCCGTTTTTTTGCCGTGGCGGTGTTGATCAGGCTGTGGCTGGCTCCTCCGTCTACGAATATTTGAACAAAGTATGTCCCCATTAAGCAGTATGGGGCTGTCTACCGTAGTACCCTCCTTATTTGGCCGGGTGTGGTCGATTGCGTGAATTGGCACAATCACTTGGTGAGGGTCGGTTGGGTCGGGCGAGCGGCATGACCTGTCAGTAGAGGGCCCGTCTGCTACTGACTCCCAGTGTTTCCCTGCTGCTTGGTCTGATCTGCTGCTCAGCTTCCCCCTTTCCCTTAGCGTTTTCCGGGCATTCGCTCTTGCGGTGTCTCGGCCGATTGCACGCGAAGCAGCGCTCTTTGAACGGTGCGGCAACGGCATTCGCGGCGACGGCACGTATCGTGGCGCCCTCGTTCGTCCCACGATATCGATGTCCCTAGTTGCTGTTGCTTCCGTAGGACCCCGGCCTCGGTCGTCGAAAGAAGTCGAGCTTCTCCGCCATGGCGAGAATTTCCTGGAAGTCGGTGACGTCGCGGAGCTGAATTTCTTGGGCGATATGCTTCAGGCCGCTGATGTAGCGGTCGATGTGCTCGCTTTCGTGCATGTATCCCACTCGCTCACACAGCGCCATGAACCCGCTAGTGTAGTCTTGGACGGAACCGAGCTGGCGCCAAGTGCGGAGCTGCTGACGCGCCGCGATCGAAGCCGCAATTGGCTCAAATCGAGCGCGCAGACCTGCGCACCACGCGTCCCACGTGCGATATTGGGGCACCTCTACGAAATACGACGACGTCCAGGGTCCGGTTTGTCCTTCCCGTGTCGGTAGAGTCACGTAGTCCATCGGCTTCGTGACGATGACGCGCCACCAGTCCATGGCGGTTCCTCGCAGCAGCGACACGGCGTAGCGAATCTTCGCCGTATCCTCCGAGACGTAGTTGGCGTAAAAAAATACGTTAAACGTGAACAACTACGTTTGAACGGTAGGACCACCCCGTTGACTCGGGTTAAAGCATGGCGAACGCTGCAACTTCAGCGACATCGGTGACGACAATGCCGAATCATTGGTCTGTGCCGAGATCGTGACGTGAGGCTGGCTCCTGGCCGCATTCGTCGCTTCGGGGTGTGTCGTGCCGTGGTCGTCGTCTTCGTCGTGGCGGACAACGCTATCACTGGCCGTGCTCCCAGGTTGCCCTACATTTCCGTGCTGCGATGCCTATGGTGCATGTTGTCCCGGAGTGCCAGGTGCTTGTGATTGTGCTTGCTGTGCTCGTGCGACGTCATTTTGCAGGGACGTGCATTCGGCCATCAGTGCCACGATTTCTTTAGAGATGTCGTGGAGTTGTCGCAGCAGCTCGTTCAAACGGTCCTGCGTGAGCGTCGTGACGTCGATATGTTCAGCCATAACAAAGGGCGTCGACTCAGCTTAGTCTAGGCGCAGACGTGGCTGCACGCGTTTACGAGAGAACGCGAGGACAGCGGCTCCTAGGTGCTAAGGGGCGTGAGTCCCTTCGAGTGAAAAAACAAAAGTTGATTTCCTGGGGTGCGGAGATGTGCGGTCCGAAAGAAAGTGGCACCGATAACCAAATGTTACAGGTGCAATGAATCGAGGTAGCGAGGATTGTACTAGAGTGTTCAATGAGTACAAAATATGAGCGAAGGCATGAGCGAATACTTATACGCGAAAATTTGCAAACGGTAACGCGGTGCGTGCGAGCTAGCTAGTGCTACGCTGACGCGAGGTTCGGGCTAGTCACGAAGCGTAGGCCGACTCGGCTGCTCCAGCAGTGCGAGGTTTGGTGAAACAGTGCGCGCGAAGTTGGCGAAGCCCCGTTGGCAGTAACGGGCGAACAACGGCTGCTGCTGTACGCGATGTGGTCAGTCGCGGTAAGGAATAGCGATAAAATTCATTACAAGCATAAATCTGTACCAATATTTGTTGGGACCATCTCAAAGCTGGTCTGGGGGACTGTTAGCTTCACATCCAGGAAGCCTTCACATAGAGACTTGGTACTTAATGTGAAGAGCTTTTGGCGAGGATCGATACTCCTGGTGGACCTTCAGCTCAAATAATTCCATTACTTTCGGTTATTTTCGAATTGCGGAATTCCTCGGAGGGTGAGATGAAGTTTTACGTACAATACTACTCGTTCTGGGCGTTCTGACACAAACTGGGTGTGGATGAAGGGAAGAAATTGTAAGCAAGGTTTGGAAGATGGTGTAAGTGAGGTTTCTGAACACGCCCCTCGAGATTGACGCACCGCCAGTGCAACACTGTCAGCCTTGTTCTGACTTCTGACACGGTTTTTGGCGCACGGCAATATGATTTTGTGAGTCGATAGGCCAGTTTAGCTTACTGTTGGTTTTGCCTAATATTTCATTAGGCCAATCTGGTGGTCAGCGTATTTGCGTGCACAATCGTGATAGGCAGGTGGAGGAACCATGCAAACGCGATTGAGGAGTAAGCGATCCTTAGTGTCGGCCTTCGAGGAACCTTCGGACTCCGTCTCTACGAAGAAACGCGTTACGAAAAAATCTTTAAATGACTCAGAATCGTTGGCCGAGGTAGCTCCATCTGTCGCCTCACAAGCGGATAGTCAGCCGTGCAGCAGCCGGAATCGAAGAGCGGCCGCGACGAATTCGACGAATGCGACGGCTGCGACGAATGCGAAGAACGCGACTACTGCTGCCACTACTGCTAAAAACGCGAGGAGTCGCAAGGCCGCGAGCATTACCAGGAATTCGAAAAAAACTATCGTTGCGAAGGATGGCATCGTTGCGAGCTCTGTTGCATTCAGCTCGCCTGACGAGGTTAACACCAACAGGGTTGCCACCAGGAGGGTTACAACTAGAAGCAGAAGCGGGAGCAAAGACGGAAGCAAAGACATAAACCAATGCGAGGCGATTAACGTAAGGAGCAGCAGAAATGGAGGACCTACCACCGCTACCGAGAGCCGGGAGGTTGTCAATATGATGGTTATTACCAGCAGCAGCAGTCCCGAAGACGCAGATTCCGTGAATCATTCTCCGCATAATTCGGCCGAGAAGTTCTTCTCACCGCAGGTGGAGGTCAAAGCATCCGAGCCGGTTCATAAGGCTCTGTTCCGCTCGCCTGAAGAGCCGTGCGAGGCGGAGGAATTTCATTCGCCTGCTTCAGACGCGGCGTTTTCTGAGGCTGGGAATAAGCAGTTGCCTGGATTGAATTCAGTCGCACTTGAAGCACTGAAAGACGATTCTCCTGCGTCAGTTGTAGCCGTTTCGGAGGGTTCTAAGAATGGGACTTCGCCTGTTTCGGATGCAGCCGTTCTTGCAGAGTCTAAGAAGCATTCACCTGTTTCAGCAGCACCAGCCGCACCAGCAGCACTAGTAGCAGCAAAACCAACAGCAGCACCAGCAACAGCACCAGCCGCCGTCACTTGCTTACTTCTTGCCTCTGCTTCCATGCAAGCAGCAGCGAATGGATCCGTGACACGTGTACCAATAGACGTGGTCCTCGTGGCTGCAGGAGGTTCTTTCGCCCCAGCTCGGGCGCCTGTAGCGGATGTGATTGCACTGAGCGACGACAGTGACAATGATGGTGACGCTAGGCCACGGAGGCTGCGGAGGAGCGGCAGAGACGCGAGGGGGAGAAGAAGGGGTCATGCAGCTAGCAAGGCATTCGCTGCTGCGTGCAGCAGTGCTGCTCTTATCGTGTTGGACGATGATGAGGAGGAGGAGGAGGACGAGGAGAGGGAGAGGGAGAAGGAGAGGGAGAAGGAGAAGGAGAGGGAGAGGGAGAAGGAGAAGGAGAGGGAGAGGGAGAGAGAGAAGGAGAGGGAGAAGGAGAGGGAGAGGGTGAGGGAGAAGGAGAAGGAGAGGGAGAAAGAGGAAAAGGAGAAGGAGGAGAAGGAGAAGAAGGAGAAGGAAAACCAGGAGAAGACTGAGAAGGAGAAGGCAGAAAAGAGAGCAGCTGATGCGGTGACAAGCGTTGCAAAGGGGGGCATTGTGAAGCAGAGCGGTACTATAGTGGTTGACCGTAAGCCAAACTTTGGTGTAAATATTCGAGCATTTACTGCAGGAGCAGCACCAGTGGCAGCACCAGTGGCAGCACCAGTGGCAGCACCAGTGGCAGCATCAGCACAGGCCGTAGCATCTTTAGCAAATGGCGGCACCAGTAACAATCCTGAGGATGAGGAGGACGAGGAGGATGACGAGGATATAGAGGACCTTTTCACGTATGGGAATCTGTCTATGAATTTCACACGCCCCACACTTCCTTGCAAGCTTTCCAGGCCTGTGGGTGCCGCTGGTAATAATGCCACTGAGGAGATGGATAGAATGGAGGGTGGTGGTGGTAACCCTGTCAACCCCAGCCCGCTTTCCCCCCGCCTAACCTCCCCCCTTGGCTCGCCTGCTGCTCCATCTCGCGTAAACCCCCTCAGTCCCAGCAGCAAGGCGGGCAAGACGGGCTGCACAAGTCCCACAGGCAGCCCTCTTAGTCCGTCTTCCCAAGATCTGCTTAGTCCTGGCCGATCAGTTGCAGGAGCAGTGGAATCAGCAACAGCGGCAGCGGCAGCACGTAGTGAGCTTAGTAGATTTCGGCTGCACCAATCCAAGGGTCACCGGCGTGGGGCTCTCGCGTTCCTCGCCTCCGAACCTGCCTCAGGCTCGGGTTCAGGCTCGGTCAAGGCAGGCGAGGCAAACGCAGCTGTGATCTCCTCTACCGTGCCCCATGCCCCACATCCGTCTGCCATCCATAGCGCCATGCCAAGCCATCCAGCCTCCCATGGTGCTGCCATGCCAGGCCATGCAGCAGCGTGTGGGGACGCAGAGGCAGGGAAGAAGAGGGGCGATGAAGAGGAGGCGTGGGATGGGTGGGGGAAAGGGAGTGAGGATGGCGTGGCAGGTGACGCGGACGACCCTCAGCTGGAGCTGTATCGAAGGGAATTGAGGTGAGAGGATGGGTGATGGGCTGATATGCTGAGGTGAGGAGTCGGTGGGTGGTGGCGAGGTTAAGCAACCAAGTCATACAGTAACCTACAGGTTATAAAGATTGTATGTCCTCTCTGTTGCTGTACGCTTTGTGTGTTTTTCTTGCAGCCGTTTCAAGGAGCAGCAGGCGGAGCTGGCTCGAATGAGGGAGCAGCTATCAGACAGGGGGCTGAGGCAAGACGTGATGTCAGCATGCCCCGTGCCTTCACCAGAGCCACAGCCGAATAGGCCAAGTGGTCAAAACGAAATTCGCGGCCAGTTGGACGGAGCAGCAGCGGCGACAGCACCAGCAGGAACACAAGCAGCAGCAGCAGCCACAGAAGCAGCGTTGGCGGCGGCTGTGGAGGCAGCCAGAAAGGGGAGATCGAGAGGCAGCAGGAGAAGAACAACAACTGTGGACGTAATAAGAGAAGGGTGGGCTGCAGCAGTAGCAGTAGCCGGAGCAACAGCACCAGCACCAGCACCGGCAGCTGTTGCAGCACCAGCACCAGCAGTAACACCAGCTGTAGCACCAGCAGCGGTAGCAGCAGCAGGTGTTGCAGGGTGGAGAGGGGGAGTAGCAACAGCATCAGCAGTGAGGGTTACACATGTCAGTTACCCCTGTGCAACACCAGTAGCAGCAGCACCAACACCAGCAGCAGCAGCAGCAGCAGCAGCAGCTAGGGCAGCTACCCCTGCGAGTTACAGGATCGCAATGAAGCAAAGAACAGCAGCAGCAGCCGCCGCTGCTAGGGAAGCCACTCCCGCCAGTTACAGGACCCCAGTGCAGCAAAGAGCAGGATTCGCTGTTGCCAGTGGTGCTGCTGCAGGGAATGCAAGTGCCAGTGCTGGGCATATGGGAGGTGGGCACGTGAACGGGGGGCATGGGGCAGGAGGGGGAGAAGCAGCGGAACATGGGGAGGAGGGGGGAGGCGAGCGGATTCGGCTGCGGGTGACTGGGAGCCTGGGAGAGCACATGTTTCGACTGGCCAAGGTGGGACGAAAGTGTGCCTGTGTTGTGGCATAACTGTCATTTCACTACTTGAAAGTCCATTCCGTTTTCCAACCCTTCCCTCTCTTTCCTGCACTAAAAGGTGACAAGCTAGAAGAAGCTTTTTGCTGCCAGGGCAACAGGGCACCGAGCTGGGGGGGCACCAGTTGCAACTTGCCTCTTTCTGTCGTCGCCATGTGCTCGTCTTTCTCTCCCTCTCTTACTCTCTTCTCTCTTCCATCCCTGCCAGGGCGACAAGCTGGAGAAGCTGTTCACTGCATATGCCAACAAGGTGGGGGGGGCGCCAGTGGGCTCGTTCAAGTTTGTCTTTGATGGCGATGCGCTAAAGGGCGATTCAACACCGGCAGACCTGGACCTAGAGGATGAGGACCAGATAGAAGCTGTGCGGAAATAATTTTAGCAACATACGGTACTACTACCCAGGGCTGATTTTATCAGGGTAATTACCCTGATTTCAGGGTGATTTCAGGCTTTCCACTTGGTGGAGACTGAAATTTCAGAGTTATTGAATTTCCAGCCCTGATCCAATCAGAGTAATAGTTTAGCTATCCCTGATTTTGAGTACAGCGTAACAGACTAGGCTGTTAGTGGACCCTGACTTAACAGAGTATCGACTGTGTGGACCCTGACTTATCGAGAAGAAGTTTCTCGGAAGTTTCCTTTCGATGTCCCCGCCTTGGATTGATCGCAGTGATCCCCCCACATGTGCGTAATCCCCCCCCTTCCCGCTTTATCGAGATGAAGTTTCTTCGAAACTTCGTACTGATCGAAACTTCGAGACTTTATAGAGAGAGGGGATATTTTCCCCGACTAATCGAGAAGAAGTTTCTCGGAAGTTTCTTTCCGATGACCCCGCCTTGGATTGATCGCAGTGTTCCCCCCCACATGTGCGTAATCCCCCCCCCCTTCCCGCTTTATCGATACGAAGTTTCTTCGAAACTTCGTTCTGATCGAAACTTCGAGACTTTATGGAGAGTGAGGATATTTTCCCCGGTAACAAAGCGCGCGTTACTACTCTGATGTTCAGTTCTCGACCCTGAACAATCAGTGTTAACTACTTTACAACCCTGAGCAATCAGGGTACTGCTTTTCTGGAAAATGTGCACCCATAATAGAGGGGGAAAATTTTCCCCGGAATCAGGGAAGCTTAAAATGAAACGTCAGCCCTGCTACTACCCTGTCAGCACCAATGGGCTCGTTCAAGTATGTCTCATGGCGATGGGATAAGGTATTCGACACCTGCAGCTGGAGGACGAGGACCAGATTGAAGCTGTGTGGAGATGATATGGATGGTATTTCTTGACAGCAGATTCAGGCTAGAATGAACTTGGGAAATGAGATGAGAAGCATCTTGTATGCTTGCAGTGCACTGTTGAAGTGCTTTTCAGTGCATTCTTCTATCAACACTGTAAGACAGCTGGCGCTAGTGCAGGGAAGAATGGGACAGGTAATTTTTGCAGTGCATAGGTAGCTCACACGGAAAACAGCTGATACAGGAGAAAGAACGAACAAAACTTCTTAGGTGTGGTTCAAATCATTAGTAAGGTGTACAATGCGAGCGGACCAGAGCCCACTACCTACCAACACACAAAACAAACTGTTAGTTTCTACATCACCTTAGTATCCAGAGTGTCAGTACACAAGACCTTTAATAACACACGACCCTACACCCCGCCTTGCTTCTTCGACTCTTCAATCAGTTGCTTCACATAGTTCCGCACTATCTCCTCCCCCTCTTCACTCCTCTTGGTGCCACACTGGTGGCAGCTGTGACGGCGAGGGAAGTTGACGTTTTGGCACGAGGAGCAGGCCCAGTTGCCGTTCACTCCCACCACGGGGCGAGTGTGATTCAGCCCCCGCTGCGATTGCAGAGCTGCTGGATCGCCAAACTCCTGAAATGTTGAGTTCAGTGTGAAATAGATTGAACAGTGGGAGTTAACATGGGGCAGGCGGTGCTTAAGGCAGGCATTTGGCATGTATGAAGAATAAAAACGCCTTAGAGAAGAACAAAGAAGGGAAGGCACGAGAGAAGAAACAAGGCAACACAACAGGGAAATGGGGCCATGGTTCCAGGGTAAGAGGGCACATCAGTCTCATCAGATTACATTGTCATCCGCAGGCGCAACATGGACAAGGATAGCTCGTGAGCACACCCCATCCATGCACACTCGGTTCCCTGCCATTTGTGTTCCACATCCTCTGTGCCCTCGCATTTAGCCAGCATGAGCAATACTACAAATTGAACAGCATCCAACCATTCCTCAATCAGTCAAGTAATAGACTACAGACTCACCTCGCTCTGCTACTTGGACAGCTACAGGGGATAGGGTAGCAGGGGAGAGCTGACCAGGGATAGAGCGTGGGAGCATCAGCCTGAAGTTCATTAGTTTGTTTTTGTTGGCACAAGGGCGGCAGAGGCCCAGAGGACCATCTCTCGCCTTGCCGTAGTAGGTTGTCATCATTGCCCCCGTTACTAGCACATCTCGTTATATGAGACACAGCAATGACGCACAGATCACCTCAACAGAGAGGGAAGCTACAGGGACAGCTAAAGAGCACGAGAAGGGAAGGATGAAGATGAGACGATACGGAAGGGGGCATCAGCCTGAAGTTCATTAGTTTTGTGTATTTCGGCACAACGGCAGCATTTCTGCTGCCTTGCCATAGCGATTGTCCTCATCGCCCCCCGAACATTCACATTCAGCCAGAGCCAAATCTCTTCGAAGTGAACAGACAACAGACACAGGGGAAATACAGTGGCTCGTAACAGCAGTAATGCAAGAAGCACTCACCCTGAGGAAGTCACTCGGGCGATCCTTATAATCCTCGAAGCTGATATTAGCGGGGATGGGCTTCACAGACGGAGGTCTAGGCGCAGGCGCTGCTGCCATCGTCGCAAACTGCGGCATCCCGCCCATTTGCACGTATCCCCCTGGCGCAGGCTGGTAGAAATACGCCATTCCCGCTTGATCCCCTCCCACTGGACCTGCGGGCGCGTAACCATAAGCGGCTGCCGCCGCCATTGCCGCGTTATTTGCGGTGGCGGCGGAAGGATCTCCGCCGCCCCCGGGGATGTTCATGCGCGACTTCATGGTTTGGAGCCAGAGCGTGGCGGAGGCGAGGCACTCTCCCGCGTCAGCGATGGGGTCTGCTGACATGGCGAAGCTCGCTACAAGCTGCTCCGCTAACCGCTTGCCTTCGGCAGCCGCACTGGGGTAGAAAAGGCGAGGAAGGTAAGACGGGAAGAGCGAGTAGAGAAACAGGGAGAGCATGCGATCGAAAGAGGATGGGAGCGTGCGAGTGTGTTAGTAAGTGAAAGCGGGGGAACTCAGGAATGTGAGTAAGTGATGGCTTAAGACGGCGGCGAGATGTAGCAACCAGAAGATCAACTGATGGCGTACCGACGACCGGCTGCACCAGTGGCTAAACTCCGTTACTTACCTAAGCGTGGACCTTCGGCCTGCACCAGCACCATAACCGGGGTCAGCAGCCACCGTGTACTGGGAAGCAAGAGTCGCACCAGCACCAAAACCACCATCACCAGCACCAACACCAGCACCAGGACCATAACCAGCCGCCATAGCTGCAGCGTAGGGGTCATGCTGCAGTACCTGCACCTGAACCGGCGGACAAAGGATGCGGTGGTTTATCACCAGCAACGGTATACCCACGAAGCACAAGAACATCACGCACCGAGTTTAGGATCAACGGGAAACCGCACATGAGAGACGACTAAGAAAGCCACCAGATAAATACCAGAGACGACGGAATAAAATTATAATAATAAGTTTGGCAAGCACACCACGTAAGAAACCATTGCGACCTAGACCTGGACGTAGCACGTGTTTAGCAATTCCTTGAATCTTCTTACTCTGCCTTGATTGTAACCGCCATAGCCACCCGCATCGCCCGTTCGCTGGCCTCTCATTCGCTTGTTGTAATCCGCTACTATCGTGTCGCCTACAGCTCCCCGTTGCCTGCCGCATTTATGGCACTGCAAAGAAACAGCGTCTGATTTAGCTGGTCGTCATAAAGAATCAAAAGAAAAAGACAGGTGATGGCAGCTGCTACGCATGATCGCAAAAGACAACGGCAGGTGATGGCAGACCGTACCTCAGTGCGACGAGGGTAGTTAACATTGAGACAAGCCGAGTCTTCGCAAACCCAGTTCCCGTCTTCCAGTGGAACGGGTCGCTTGGATCCACTGCAAGAGACAAGTGTTGCACGGAAAATAATATCAATGCACATGCATGAACGAATTAGTTCAAAATGACGAATCTTGTGATTTCGTTACCTTGCCTGCCTCGGTTGTGGACCATAATCAGCCATCGCCACCCTATTGACAATCCCGAGGACTTGCCAACGTGAATTCGATCAGGGTCTGAACACACGAAACCCTTGGGCACGAGGTTTTCACAAGAGCAGAGGGATCTTCCCTGGTCGGCACAAGACTTCAGACTTGAGGGAAATGAGGGAAACTCATGGGCTTATGAAAGAGAGTTGGAGGGAGGGAGGGATGTCAAACCTAGGTTGTTGGAGTGGGAGGGATTGTTGGAGTGAATGAGTCCAAGAGCATTGGCTGCCTTGGGTGGTAGGGCTTATGTTACAATTTTTATAAGCAGCTGTGGTTGTAGTGTGAAGTCAATGCTGGTTCCGCTATTATAATCTGTATGTTCTTATGGAAGCATCCCGTTTGAGTGCTGTTGTCTTCGTCGTAAGGGAATCGTACAGGCGCGGCGAGAGATGCGCTTCGTGCACTTGTGGCTGGGAAGCTCGACTTCTACACCGCCAATTCTTGTGCGGTGTGGTCCCAACGCCATCCTTTCCCCACAACCGAATCATTGGTCCAAAACCGCCTACCTGGCGTCGCTGTTTCACTGCGACGCCACGTAGACTTACCAGAGGCTGCTAGAGGCACTTCCACGACATTGCACAAGGAGGATGTTTAGAAATGGACCACTCGGGCTTGGCGGGAAGCTCCTCGCTTGTACACGGTGGCAATCTGGTAAAATTGGCTGACAGGCACTTTGACTTTGGAGCATCGACGAGCATCCAGCTTGAACAGGCACAAATACAGCATTCCTTCAATTGAATTCTGCTCTTCCAAAAATCAGCTAGCTTCTCGGTCTCCATTCTCCGAACTTCCGTTCTGTCTCCCAACAGAAATTTGGCTGTCGTCTCGAACAATTAGCAGCCATGGATCCCGCTTCTGAAGCTGCCAGGACTGATCTTATGACACTGACCAGACATGTGTTGAATGAACAGTCCAAGTACCCAGAAGCTCGCGGAGATCTCACCATTTTGCTCAACCACATCGTCCTTGGCTGCAAATTCGTCTGCTCTGCAGTTAACAAGGTGCACAGTCACTCAGAAACGCACTCCGTCTGAATAGGCGCCTCGTTTCTCCCGAGCTGTTCCCAGTCTTGCTGATACAATTGAGCGTATCTTCATTGCAGGCTGGCCTCGCAAAACTCATCGGTTTGGCCGGTGAGACAAACGTACAAGGAGAAGAGCAGAAGAAGCTTGACATCCTGTCCAACGACGTGTTCGTGAAGGCCCTCGTCAGCAGCGGGCGAACGGTACGTTCCAGTGAGCAAACGATCGATGGGCCATGATTATTTTGGAATGCGAGATTGACTATGAATTTTGCATTCTTGCGTGCAGAACGTTCTCGTGTCAGAGGAGCTGGAAGATCCTATCTTTGTCGACAAAAAACATCGCGGAAGGTGATTTTCCTGCTGATGCTGGCTCTAACCGTGTTAATTTCTTGAGTTGTCTAACTGAGCATGCAAATTCCTTTCAGGTACATTGTGGTCTTCGACCCCCTCGATGGGTCGTCCAACATCGACTGCGGTGTGTCCATCGGAACAGTAAGTGCATGACTTGGTCTAATGTACTTTAGTAATCATACGTACTGACATGAATGAACGCAAAATCTCAATAGCCAGTAACAGATGGCCAGTAACCTCAATACCTCAATATGCAGAGCCGTTCACTGCTACTCATAAATTGTAAACCAGCATTAACCGGGATATCTTCCATCACTTACTGCAGATATTTGGCATCTATATGCTCCAAGCGGACAGTGATGGCGTCATTCCCGAAGGCACAATTGAGGATGTGCTGCAGCCTGGAACCAAGATGGTGGCAGCCGGGTACTGCATGTATGGAAGCTCGTGCACGGTAGGGCTATGGTTGTTGGGTTGGCCCTAACCTGCTGTACACGTTCGCAGTGGCTATCTCGTAGACTTTCATTTCGTGTTCTGGCACTGACAGTTTCCTACGGTGTGGTTCTGCAGCTTGTGCTGAGCACCGGTAATGGAGTCAACGGATTCACCCTCGATCCGTCTCTAGGAGAGTTCATCCTCACCCACCCTGACATTCAGGTGCGGAATTTTGGTGTGGGAAATGTGGCAAACGTGCACTGGAGCGCATTGTGCATCGAGCTCGTCTTATCAAGTGTTCCTCTCTCTCAGTTGAATTATTCCTTCGTACATGCTCCTGCAGATGCCCAAGACGGGGAAGATTTACTCTGTGAATGAAGGAAATGCAATGAACTGGGATGAGCCAACCAGAAAGTAAGTAAAAATCGCCATCTTATAGCACTTCCTTTCTTGGTGAATACGTGTGCTGCGTGTATAGGTGGTGTCTCCAATTTGAACTGTTGGTTTACAGGTTTGTGGAGTCCTGCAAGTTCCCAACTGATGGATCTGCACCCCGTTCCCTTCGCTACATTGGAAGGTGAGGCTGACAACTAAATGGCGCCCTTTTAGCTAGCCTTCAGTGGGGGTGCTAATTTCTTCTCATCGATTCTTTTAACTGCAGTATGGTGGCGGATGTGCACCGGACACTTCTGTATGGTGGAATTTTCTTGTACCCGGCTGATAAGAAGAGTCCCAATGGCAAACTGAGGTAAGAGGAGTGAAAAAAACATTCATTTAGTTGTCTCGTTGCCTTATTTGTTGCGTATAACTAATATCTACAACCCCTCTTTTCAACTGTTCAGGGTGCTATATGAAGTCTTCCCCATGTCTTTCTTGGTTGAGCAGGCAGGGGGTCAAGCTTTCACAGGAAAGCAACGTGTACGTATATACCAACAGCGAAATTCCTCTTGTTGCATCTAAACAATACAATAGGTGGCTAATTACCGTTTCTCATACTTGCAGGCCATGGATCTCATTCCCACCAAGATCCATGACAGGTCCCCAATCTTTTTGGGCAGTTATGATGATGTTGAGGCTATTAAGAATCTGTATGCCGCTCAAGCTTGAGCTTAGGTACATGTTTAATATATTGTTTTGTTGTACCTTCTGAGCCTCAAGCCATATAGTAAATGAAAAAGATGTTAATGAATGTATTATCTCAACAATGCTAGCTTACTTATATCGATTTATAAGCCACTTATATCGACCAAGCCGCGACCTGTCAGGCACTACTGTCAAGCATTGATACACACGTCGCCGAGCAAGCAGTGAGGCCCAGTCCCAGATTTGTGTTTTTTGAGAAGCTCCAGCCCATACTCGTATTTCACAAAACTTTGACGCCAACCTCGTGACTTGTTCATCTGCTCCGTGTTTTTTGTCCTGAGACAACACCACCTCTTCTTGATTTAGCATTTCGTCTGTCGGCTGTTAGCCGCACCTTTTCTGGAGCCATTGCTTCGTCAAAGCGATCCCCGACGTAGCGAGTTCTCCAGGTTATTCGTCATCATGAAGCGTGTCTAGGGTCGCCGTCCTCTCATCCGCATTCTGACAACTGAATATCGTGTCATCGTTTTTGAATGGTAGCGGGTCCGAATTCGGGGAAGCGGAGAGCTTACCATCGTGGTGCCATGGGAGCGATGCGGACGCCGTCAAAGAAAGCGCCAGCAGGCCTCTTTCGTTTCGGCCTCAGATTTGTGATCCTCCTTTTCGTCGTCGTTATGGTAGTCTTCATCGCGGAGACCGGAAAACTCGCAGACAGACAACGAAAGTCGGAGTTTGAAGAGCGTAAGCCTCTTAGTTTCCAGTCTAAAGACATGCTCCCTGCCGCTGGCCACATTTGCCACGTTTTCGGCGTCAATCCTGATTTCCGTGGATTGCTATTGTACGACTTCATGAAAAATATGCGTGCGCTTCTCTTTAAGACTTCATGGATCGCTTTCTATAATAATAAGCGCCTCGGTCTCAACCGTCCATTCGTAATTCCTCTCGATCTCCGTTTCGCTTCGGTTCGCGTTCGTAGTTCCCTCTCAGGTCTCTTCCACATTTACTTCGCGTTATTATTTCCCTCTCGATCGTCATTCACCTTCATTCCTCGTTCTAGTCCCTCCCATCCATCGCCGAGGCAGTGCGAGAGCAGTCGCTGCGGAAAATCCTGAGGCAGCACGAGATGGAGATCCAGGCAGCCATTGACAAGAACATTGGCTGGTTCTCTCACTACCTCTCCAGACTCCGTCTGTCGTCTCGTGCTGGGGCTGGAAGAGGTGGGTTTGTGTTTTGCCAGGTGCGCGGGTAATGAAAGAAGCTTTAGGGTGCTATTGACGGCAGCAAGGGTTTAGTACTGAATTTTCAGGTCCCAAGCGTCATCCCGTGCTAGAGCTGATTATTTGAAGTTTACCCCATTGGAATGGGTGATTTGCAAATGCACCCTGAAATTCTGTTCAGGCGTGCTTTTTCTGCTCATTTGTTACCTGCCCGAGCTCGCCATTTTACTCATGACGGACAACTTCGCCGTCTGTATGCTGTTCCTGCCTGTTTGTGTGCGTATGGGTCCCCCTGTCTGTTTGTGCGACCAGACGAGGACGACGACGATGACACTAGCAGCGTGTCTTCGCACTCCGCCTCCGCTACAGACACCCTCGCTACTGGCACGTCTGGAGGGGACGTGCATGGCGGGGAAGCAGCAGGAGGGGGAGGCGCTGGGGGAATGGCGGGTGGTGCGGGGGAGAATGGGAAAGGCGGTGGCGAGGGGCAAGGAGGGAAGCGGAAGAAAGGGAAGGAGCAGGACCTGTCGAATGTGGGCAATATGGACATGCCCATGCACAAAGTGCACGGGGTCTTGGAACGTGAGTGTCTGGAAAACCACGTGTAGCGAGGTTGTTTTTGAGACGTCTCAAAAACAACCTCGCCAGAGTGGAGAAAGACGCACGCGTCCTGCTGCGTCATGCGTCTGGACGCTGCGTCCAGACGCAGAGACGCAGGACGCGCGTCCAGACGCAGGACGCACCCCGTATTTTTTTTCGGGCTGACCGAAAAAAAAAATTGCCCCAACGTGAAATTGACTTCAACGATTTCGATGCGACTGTCAATTTCGCGTCATGTCGACCCCCCCTAACCCATTTCGACCATCAAAAACACCCTAGAGGGTTTACCAAGACAATTCTCCTTCGTAAACCCTAAACCCTGAAAATTTGAAGGGGACGATTTTGCCTCAAATGTGTGCATCGTCGTTCCCCCCCCCTTCCCATACCCTATAACATCATTTTTCGGCTGCCCGGGGGTTTTTTTGCCCTGCCCGGGCATGCGTCTTTTCATGCGTCATAAAGGCCCTCCTCTAGCGTCCTGCGTCTAAGACGCTGCGTCTGGACGCAAGCGTCCTAGACGCAGGACGCGTCTTTCTCCACTCCTCGCTACATATGGACATGCCCATGCACAAAGTGCACGGGGTCTTGGAACGTGAGTGTCTGGAAAACTGGAAGTTGGGGATTGGAAAGTGGGACTTAAGTCTTGCTTGATCCACCTGCGTCTCGCCCTAGGTGTTTGTTCCTCAGTCTCATTCTTCTGTCACTTCTTCCCTCTGAATACCCCACTCGTTCTCTTCCTGCTCGTCTGCCCGATCCATCCCCCTTTTGAAACCCCCCAGCCTGCCTCCCTCTGCTGCCCGAAGCCGACCTCTCGCACCTGCAGCTGCCCGAACCTCTCCCCGACACAGTAGTGAAGCGCCTTCGCTATTATCACATGGACGAGGACGCAATCGAAATCGAGAGCACACTAGGTGCCAGACAGGGCCAGCTGGGGCGAACGGTCCAGTTGGACATGTTCACAGGGAAGCAGACGATGGGCGAGAGGGCTAAGAGCTTCCGGGTACAGGAGAGCATGGAGGTGCACTGTGGGTTTGCGGGGCCCAACACGGGGTTTACGGTGGCAGAGGCGGACCAGCGGTGGCTCAAGCGGTGCCAGGTGGCGGTGGTGACGGCGATATTTGGGGGAGGTGACATCCTGGTGCAGCCGATCGGGATGACACAGGAGTCTTTGGAGAAGGTGCGTGGGTGTGTGGGGATGGTGGGATGTGGGGAGGATGAGGTGGGTAGTAGTGCGGGTGAGGGTGAGGATAAGGCTATAAGCCTTATTGCATGGCATGAGCCGATAATAAGCATGGGAAGCCGGGAGGGATAGGGGCATGGGGATGTGTATGGGTATGGGTATGTGGATGGGTAGAAGGATGGGTCTGGGTATGGGTTTGAGACGAGCTGAGCAGCATGTACGTATGTCTTCACGCAACCATGAAGGGACCCATAACGCGTGTCCGTTTCTGCCCCTGACATACCTTCAGGTGTGCTACGTGGCGTTTTGGGACGATGTGACAGCAGCAGCGCAGGCGGAGGCAGGAGTGGTGCCAGATGCAGGCACCATGAGGGTGGGGCTGTGGCGCATTGTGATTGTCAAGGACCTGCCATTTGTGGACCAGCGGAGAAATGGAAAGATCCCCAAGGTGAGGCACTTAATGTTAGGCGCCTCGAAAAGCAGAGGTTGGGGTGGTGCCAGATGCAGGCACCATGAGGGTGGGGCTGTGGCGCATTGTGATTGTCAAGGACCTGCCATTTGTGGACCAGCGGAGAAATGGAAAGATCCCCAAGGTGAGGCACTTAATGTTAGGCGCCTCGAAAAGCAGAGGTTGGGGTGGTGCCAGATGCAGGCACCATGAGGGTGGGGCTGTGGCGCAAGGACCTGGCGTTTGTGGACCAGCAGAGGAACGGAAAGATTTCAATGGTGAGTGCACCAATATTAAATGGGTTTTCAATGTATGGCTCTCAGATGCTTATGTAGGTTGAGCTCTAACAGCTACACGAATTCTCACCCCACAGGTATCAAAAGGATTTTTCACTGTAATAGTGACAGGAACAGAGCTACTGGGCTATCTGATGCAGCACTGCAGAGGTCCAACCGTCTCGTTAAAGCACATATTTCCACATGACACCGCTGTAACCTCTCCTTTCACTCGTCAGACATGCACTTTCACCCATCTGAACCGAACCACCTGTCACTTCAGCCCTTCGTACCAATTCGCTTGTGATTTGATCCGTAAAGTCACTCCACGACCTCCATGCTTGTTGCCTTGAAACCTCCTTTCGATTCCTTCATCGTGCCGGCCCCCTGTTGCTCCCGTGCCCCCTATGCCCTCGTTGCCTGTCCCCTGCGCCGCGACCCCCTGGGAGTGCTCCACTCACTTTTCCCATCTCTCACCCTGCCCCCTGTGCCTCTGTGCCCCCCTGTGGCCCCTGCATCCCCTGTGCATGCCTCCTGTACCCCTGTTCCTCCCTCCTTATACCCCATGTCTGCCTACTCGCCGTGCACATCCACTCACCATTGCCATTCAACAGATCTTGACTCATCGCCTCTTCCCGCGCGCCCGCTTCTCCATCTGGGTCGACTCCAAGTACCAGTTCCGCCGCGACCCCCTCGGGGTGCTTGACACGCTGCTGTGGCGGCAGCAGCCGCGGGCAGAGTTTGCGATATCGGAGCACGGGGCAAGGAGCTGCATCTATGCGGAGGGGGAGGCGATTGTGAGGAAGCACAAGGCTCAGCCGGAAGAGGTTGCAGTGCAGCTGAACCAGTATCGCACCGAGGGGCTCCCGGTTAATGCCACTTATAATGGGAAGAAAGGTGAGGGGAAGCAGATGATTGTGGTGGTTTGGAAGAATGGGCTTCTTGTTGGATATTGGGGGGCATGGGACAAGGAGTTGCATCTATGCAGAGGGGGAGGCGATTGTGAGGAAGCTCAAGGTGCAACTGGAGGAGGGGCTCCCTGTTAATGCGACTAATAATGGGAAGAAAGGTGAGGGGAAGGAAATGAATGTGGTGATTTGGAAGAATGTTGGATCGACGGTTATTTCGAGTACTGATCTCTTTCTCTCTGTTTCTTTTGTTTGTGGGGCATCCGACCAACATATGTTCTCTTCCCTTTTTACTATGCAGCTTTGGCAGAGGCATCCATTATAGTGAGAGAGCACACGGCAGCCACGAACCTGTTCATGTGCCTGTGGTTCAATGAGATGGTGCGATTCACTGCGCGTGATCAACTCAGTTTCGGCTACACGCTCCGACGACTCGACCTGGTGAAACCAAACATGTTCCCAGTGTGCACACGACGGGCGCTGGTGAACGCTCTTGGCCACAAGCGTAAGGCAAAACCGCTTGCACATGGAGTGTCCTGAATATATAGGTGCTAAAAATCTACATTAGGATTATAAGTAGGTATCTATTGCAAATGTTGTCAGTGTACGTCCATTTGAATAAGCGCCCCCATACCAGTTCAGTTTTGGAGGTCAGGGGTGGTTGGATTCGGCGACGAGCTTGCGATAGCATGCTGGAAATCCATTGGTTTAGCAGTTCCCGCCAAGAGCTCGGGAGTGCTCAGTTCTGCCTCGGGATTTCCAAATGAACCTCGGCCATGGATCCACATTCAGTTTGGCTTACCCAATCTAGCCACGACGCGAGGCTCGACAGACGGGAGAACAAGCGAGAGGTCACAGAAGGCACAGAGGTTCGGCGCGGGGATTCACTCGCAAATCCCTGTGTTTGTAGCCGAGGCGTCAGCCTGGGCTGCCAAATCTAGATTCCAGAGATGGCCTTCCCGAATTCAAAGCACATGTAGTCCTCCTCTCATGACAGAACACATGATCAGAAAATATTTCCTGTTTTCACTAGCTCGTGCATATCAGTCTTTGAGCGCGTTCCGTGTCCTCTTGAGGAGCGGGCTGTGGCTCGAAGTAGCTTTTCGGACCAACTACTTCTTATTGAACGAGGCTCTTTTCCGCATTAGTTTTGTGGCTCTCTGAATTTCTATTATCTTAATCAATCACACCATTCACCCCTGGCCTCGTTCGGGGTCACTGTCCTTGGTAAGTTTTGATTCAACATTGGCAACAGCTTATTTGTTTTATTAGTTAGAGAGCTGATTGTCTTTTGAAAACGAATCATGGTCTTCGTAACGAAATTCGCACTTGGTTAGAACCGAACTCACCGTAACTTATTGGTATTCTGAGAAAAGAGGATGAACCAGTGCCTTTCCAGTGCCTTAATGACGGATCTAGCCTTTCTGGCTGCGACCCTTAAGAATGTATTCGCATTGTGGGTGAAGCTGGATTCGCCAGGTTTCTGGGTTTCTCAGGCCGCTCGAATTCCAGATATAGCCCATTCTAGTTCACAAGTAACACTTGATCAAGCAACTCACTTGTAACGTCTCTGCATGCTCGGCTTCCTGGCCTTTTCCCAACGGCTACAACTCTATTACCCCAGCCAGAGAATGCCAGCTCTGGAGGCAAGCGATCCAGTCGCCATGGACACTCAGCCTCCAAGCGTCGGCGGTAACAGTGCGCTGGGTAGCTTGAAGGGGAGACGAAAGCTGCAGCTGGTGCAGCCTTCGTCGGCAGACGAAGAGGCGAAGGTGTTGAGGGAGCTGATGAACACGGCAGATGCTGGGATGAAGGAAGGAGACACATACAACCTAGTAGACGCTAGGTGAGTACGTGTATGATTAGCACATCATTGAATAAATTAAAGGGCGTGTTACGTGCACGAGAAACGAGGTGATGAGGGAGCTGATGAACATGGTGGATGCTCGAATGAAGGAAGAAGACAGGTGCAACCTGGTAGACGCTAGGTGCGTAACTCGGACGAGGGCGCGAGGGGTGGTGGGACGAGATCGCGAGGGGTGATGGATTCGGCCGCGGGTGCTTGAATGAAGGGAAGGAGATGCTAGGCTGTTGTCTTCGAGACGTTTCACAATAGAGCGTGCAGGTTGATTGCAGGTTGATAGGAGGTAGCTGAATGTTCCTCCTCCATTCTCCCTCTCTGTCACTCCTCTCCCTCTCTCGTATGTGTGGCGCCGTTCACTCGCGTTGTTTGTGTTGACTCACGTTGACTCGGTTGACTTGTGTTGACTCGTGCAGATGGTGGCGAGCTTGGTCCAGATACTCGGGCTACTCGGAATCAGAGAGCGAGTCGCAGAAGCTTACTGTGAAGCCGCTACCCATAGACAACTCGAGCCTGGTGGATCGGGAGGCGCAGGACAGGTTCGGCAGTGCTGAGCCTCACCTGCGGCTGGAGCTGCAGGAGGATGGGGACTACGTTCTGGTGCCGCAGTCAGTGTGGCGCGTGCTGCACTCGTGGTGAGTCTCGGGTTAGCAGCGCTGCACTGATGCATGCGTGCTATCCTGCTTCAGATGAGAGGGAGGAAGGAGCTATCAGCAGAGTTATGCTGGTTCCTCCTTTGTGCTTGTGCGGTCTCAGCTGTCTGTGTACTGGGTATACAGAGGAGACACATCAAACATAGTACCATACAAAAAGGCCACATCACCTTCTGAGGAACAGAGCGGCCCTACGCAGGAGAGGCCCCGCCAGAAGCTTCCATCCAGTTTTCCTCCCCCATACTCCACACTCCTTCCATTTTACATCTCCCTTGTCCCCGGTGCAAATGCTAAGGCATGGAGGGGGCCCAGTGGTATCCTGCCACGTGGTGCGCATGGGAGGCCGGGAAGAGCTATCAGTGGAGGTGTACCCGCTCTCCCTTGAGCTCACCTACGTCTCTGCCGCCTCCTCATTGCCCCTCACTTCCTTCCCTTTCCCAACCACTCTAGGTATGGGGCCGGCCCAGTGGTATCTCGCCACGTGGAGGGCATGGGGGGGGCCGGAGGAGCTATCAGTGGAGGTGTACCCACTCTCTCTCGAGCTCTCCTTCTCTCTGCTCTCCCTCCCCCCCCTCTCCCCCCCCACCATCCTTCCCTTCCCTAGGTACGGGGGCGGGCCAGTGGTGTCTCGCCACGTGGTGCGCATGGGGGGCCGGGAGGAGCTATCAGTGGAGGTGTATCCGCTCTCTCTCGAGCTCTCCTGCGTCTCTGCCGCCACCTCACTGCCTCATCGCGTGGAGTCAGTGGTTATCAGCAAGCGTGCGACTGTGGGACGGCTCCGGCACCGTGCGTGCGAGCTGTTCGGCCTGCAGCCAGAGAATGTGGGTCTGGTGACTTGGGAGAGATGAGGGAAGGTGACGTGTGTGTGGTATTGGGTGTGGAGTCGGTGGTACCAGCAAGCGCGCGACTGTGGGACAGCTCCGGCACCGCGCGTGCGAGCTGTTTGGCCTGCAGCCAGAGAATGTGCGTATTAATGACTTGGGAGTGAATTGTGATAATTTGTGGAATTGGGTGATCATCAGCAAGCGCTCGACTGTGGGGCAGCTCAGGCATTGTGGTCTTCTCTGCTCTGAGTCTGCCAATTCGCCTACCTAGGGCTGTTCCATTTGCGTGCTGATTGCAGCAAACCAAACGCCTCGTTCCGCTTCACGAACTCCTGTGTGTGTTTCTGTGTTTGCTTTACTCTGTATGTGTGTGCATGTGTTTATGCGAATGCGGCATGTGGCATGTGTGTGTATGTATGTTGCATGTGGCCATGCCGCATGTGAGAATATGCACGTGTGAATGTGTGTGTGCATGGGAGCAGGTGCGGGTGTGGGACAACTACGGCGGCAAGCGCCACAAGGTGTTGAGTGATGAGGGCCAGACACTGGAAGACGCTGAACTGCAGATGGGCAACCAGGTGAGCACCAGAGATGAATTGATCACAAAAAAAAAAAAAAAAAAACAACAACAACAACAACAAAAAAACATCTAACCTGCTTTCAAGATGTAGCCTGGTCGTAATAGAAATGAATGATTTTCCTCCCTATTCGTCTGCCCTCCACTATGTGTCAGATACTGGTGGAGGTGGGGGATAACGGCCAATGGCCTGCCCAGGCCGTGCATCTAGAGTCCTCCTCCTCCCCCTCCTCTCCCTCCACCCCCTCCCGTACGTCCAAACCTGCCGCCACCTCCCCATTCCACACCTCCACCTCCCCCCGAACCTCCACTCTCGCTTCAGCCGCCGAACCTACCACCGCCGAGCCTAACGTCTCCATAGCAGGGGGCCCTCTGTCGCACTATAGCAGCGTGGGAGCTGCTCCCCCTCCTGGCGCGCTGTTCATCACCTCGTGGCCTCCCAACCCTGCTGGGGAAGGAATGGAGGGAGCAGGAGCAGGAGCAGAAGCAGAGGCAGGGGTGGAAGGATCGACCTGGTCTCCGGTCAGAGAAATGACTGATGCAGAGGCGGCAGGGGGAGAAGAAGAGGGCGAAGGGGGTGGGACTGCTGCAAGTGGAGTTTATACCAGCGCTGCTGCTGCTGCTGCTGCTGGGGGGGGTAGTGCTGGTGACGTGAGAGGGAAGCTGAAAGCAGCTTTCCCAGCAGATGTGGGACCGGCTAAGAAGCCCACGTCTGGGCTGACACTATCCATTGCACCCCCCCCTTCCTCCTCCTCCTCTATGGCTATTGTCCCCGTGCCTAGCGCTGAGGAGAAGAAAGGCTCGGGCTCAGGCTTGGGGTTCCCGTTCAGGTTCGGGTTCGGGTTCGGTAGCAGTTCGAGTGCCAAGGCAGCAAGTGCGGCAGCAGCGAGTGCAGGAGCTGGAGCAGGGGCGCGAGCAGGGGGGTCGCAGGGGATCCAGGGCGGTCCAGTGGGGTTGACAGGGTTGGTGAACCTTGGGAACACGTGCTTCATGAACAGTGCGCTGCAGTGCCTGGTGCACACTGTACCGTTAGTGGAGTATTTTATGGCGGATTATATGAGGGAGATCAACAGAAGCAACCCCCTGGGAATGGAGGTGAGTGGGGATTCAATAATTAACCGGATATTCAAAGGCTTGGTGCACACTGTACCGTTACTGGAGTACTTTATGGCGGATTACTTGAGGGAGATCAACAGAAGCAACCCTCTGGGGATGGAGGTGAGTAGCCTTCCTGTATTGGATTCGCAAGTCTGTGCAAACTGTACCGTTGGTGGACTACTTTATGGCGGATTATATGAGAGAGATCAACAGAAGCAACCCCTTGGGAATGGAGGTGAGTGGGATTTGAAAGTCGACTCAAAGTCTGGTGCACACATGCTGTGCCTCAAATAGTATATTCCATGGCGGGTTAGAGTGCCGTCAAACTTACTGAGTAGAGTACAGCGCTTCCCATCCCAGTCCCCCACTCCTACCCCTGTCTTATTGTCTCCAATCCTGTTCCCCTTGCTCGCCCTCTCACACTCTCCTTTCTCCCCACATTGTTTCCTGCTTATTCACATCGTCAATCAATCACGCTTGCCGTCTCTTTCCTCTCATTCCCACCCATACCAGGGTGAGATGGCAACAGCCTTTGGCGAGCTGCTGCGCAAGCTGTGGGCGCCGGGCCGGGACCCCGTGGCTCCCAGGGCCTTCAAGGCGCGCCTCTCGCGCTTTGCCCCTCAGTTCAGCGGCTACAACCAGCACGACTCGCAGGTGCGTCACAATGGGGCTACAGCCGGCATGACGTGTAGGTGGGGTTACAACTGCCACGACTCGCACGGCCTGCACGAGGATCTGAACAGGATGATGCGCCGGCCGTACATCGAAGTCAAGGACGCCGATGGTGCACCTCTTCCTCCCACACCCACCCTTTTCCACCCTCTCGCCTCCCTGTCCTTATCGCGCGCGGCCACTCTCAGGAACTTCTGGCTTTTCTACTGGACGGGCTACATGAGGATCTGAACCGCGTGATGCGCAAGCCATACATTGAAGCAAAGGATGCTGATGGGAGGGCGGATGAGGATGTGGCGCGGGAGAACTGGGAGAACCACAAGGCGCGGAATGACTCCATCATCGTTGACAAGTTCCAGGTGTGTAACCGTGTGGTAACCAGGTGGTGATTATGTGGTAAACACGTGATCAGCCTCCCTGTTCTAATCAGGAGTACCACAAGGCTAGGAACGACTCCATCATCGTTGACAAGTTCCAGGTGAATGTGCTGGTAACCATGTGGTAACCATGTGGTAACCATGTGGTAACCAGTTACTTGGTTACCAGGTGGTATGTAACATGAAACTGGTGCATTCCTGTCAAAAAATTCCAAACTCCAACCTCTCTTCTCCATCCTTCTTCCACTCCCCTCTCCCCAGGGTCAATACAAGTCAACGCTGGTCTGTCCGCACTGCAAGAAGGTCTCGGTCACATTCGATCCCTTCATGTACCTCTCGCTGCCGCTGCCCTCCAAGGCCACTCGCTCGCTGCACCTCACACTGCTCTCCTCGTTCGGGGACCAGCCCCCCCGTGCGCTCACTGTCACGGTGCCGCGTACAGGCAGGATTCTGGACCTGCAGAGAGCGTTAGCTGAGGCGTGCCAACTGCCTCCAGGAGAGAGACTGCACGTGGCTGAGGTGAGCTGCTCTCCCCCCACTCGCCTCTAGAGACCAGCCGCCCCGGGCGCTCACTGTCACGGTGCCACGCACAGGGAGGATTCTGGACCTGCAGAGAGCCTTAGCTGAGGTGGGCCAACTGCCTCCAGGAGAGAGACTGCATGTTGCTGAGGTGAGCTGCTGCTACCTAAACCCCTATTTAGAGCTGCTCTCCTCGTTTGGAGACCAGCCCCCCCGTGCGCTCATTGTCACGGTGCCACGCACAGGCAGGATTCTGGACCTTCAGAGGGCGTTGGCTGAGCCGTGCCAACTGCCTCCAGGAGAGACTGCACGTGGCTGAGGTGAGCTGTTCTCCCCCCCTCTCTCCTTTGGCGACCAGCCCCCCCGTGCGCTCATTGTCACGGTGCCACGCACAGGCAGGAATTCGGACCTGCAGAGGGCGTTAGCTGAGGTGTGCCAGCTGCCTCCAGGAGAGAGACTGCACGTGGCTGAGGTGAGCTGCTGCTACTTCTTTTTCCCGAGAACCCTTATGAATCTGTTTTGAGGGTCAAGAGGAGTGGGGTCGTGCAGAGGGCACTGGTTGAGGCGTGCCAGTTGCGTGCCGGGGAGAGATAGCACGTGGCTGAGGTGAGCTGTCGTTTCCCCTCTCGCCTCACCAGCTGTATGCGCTCACTAGTGTTGTGCTGCACACAGAGGCGAATAGCCCCTCATCGATTCTTTATGCGCCTCAAAAACCGCCTCGAAATATTCTGAGGCGCTGCATAAATCACCTCTTGCCTCACCAGCTCTTTACACTCACGAGTGCTGTGCTGCCTAGTTTTGAGGCGCCTCAAAACTCGACACCTCACGAGTGTGCTGTTCTGCACACGGAGGTGTCTAGTCTCCCCTCTTGCCTCACCAGCTTTACACACTCACGAGTGCTGTGCTGCACACTGAGGTGGATAGCCTCTCATCGCCCTTCCTCCTCTCCCCCCCCCCCCCCCGTATTCACCCCACCCACCCTCTCCACCAGATCTACAACAACCGCATCTTCCGCTCGTTCCCACCGCTGGAGCAGATCTCGTCCATTGAGGACCGAGACAGGCTCGTGGCTTACCGCGTGCCGCGGGGGTGTGAAGCGCCCGTTATAGTCACACAGCGAATCAAGGAAGTGTGAGTGTGCTTGTAAAGGGGAGGTGGGAGGCGGGTAAGGGGGAAGAAGGGGGGGGGGGGGGTGGGAGTGGGGTTGGGGGGTAGAGGAAGGAAATAGGGTTTAAGGATATGTGAGTGTACTATGCGAGCGAGGAGGTTGTTATATCCTCCCTCTTTCCTTCATTCCCTCCTCCCCAAACTCTGCCCGCCTCTCAACGCTTTCTGCTCCTCACATTTCCAGTCACAAAATCTTCTTCTGGCTTCTTGGCGCCCCTCTCCTTCCCTCTCCTCCTCCCCTCTGCTCATCCCCTCTCCTCCCCTCTCCTCCTCCCCTCTCCTCCTCCCCACTCTCCCTTCTCTCATCCCCTCTCTCCTCCTCCCCTCTCCTCCTCCCCGCTGCTCCTCCCCTCTCCTCCTGCCCGCTGCTCCTCCCCTCTCCTCCTCGCCTCTCTTCATCCCCTCTCTCCTCCCCTCTCCCCCCCTGTCAACAACCTCCCTTCTTACCCACAGCGTCACACTCACAAACGCTTTCTTCTGGCGGCTGCTTGCCGCCCCTCTACTCCTCCCCATCATCCTCCCCGCTCTCCTCCCTTCTCCCCTCCCCGTTATCCTCCCCACTCCTCCTTCCCCTCATCCCCTCTTGTCCCCTCTCTCTCATCTCTTTCCCCTCTCTTCCCTGTCCTCTTTTCCTTTTGCTCTTTCCTCTTTTCTCCTTTCTCTTTCCTATTTCTCTTTTCTCCTTTTATTTTTCCAATGGATCCCCTCTCCTATCCGCAGCTCCACAGTCACCAACGATTTCTTCTGGCGGCTGCATGGCGCGCCGCTCCTCCTCCCGGTCTCCCGCTTTGACATTCGCTCCGGTGCCGACCTTTACCGCCACGTGCGCACTGCTCTCAGGCCCTTCCTGCGACCAGGGGTATCCAAGACCAAGACCTCACTCTCTCTCTCCCCTGCTGGGAACAGTGCTGCATCTCCAGCCAATGCCGCTTCTCCTGCTGCTGCAGCTGCTGCTGATGGTGGTGTTGTTGCTGGTGGCACAGCTGAAAGCGATGGTGCTGGTGCCAGTGGTGCTGATGCAGGCGTTGGTGGTGCGGCTGGTGATGGTGGTGCTGGTAGTGTTGGTGCAGAAAGCACAGGGGACAGGGATGTGCAAGGGAAGGATGATCCTATGGACGAATCTGCAGGGAGGGATGCCAATACGGGTGATGCAGCAGCAGTTGGTGAGGAGGGTGACGGAGAGACTGGGGCGACTGCAAAGGGATCTGCAGGGGCTGAGGATGCTGTGGGGCAGGAGGGAAGAGAGGGACAGGCGGTAGCAGCAGACGAGCCGCCGTTTTTGCTGTCTGTCACGCGAGCGCATGTTGAGACTTCTGCTGATGCTATTCGGATCCCTGATGGCACTGATTTGCCCAAGGGATTCACTCCAGATATGCTTTCCAAGGATGGACTTGCGCTGCTTCTGGATTGGTCGGTCAATGGGCTGAAGGAGTTTTATGATGTCGGGCAGCTTGAGGAGCTGCCCGAAGTGAGCTCGGGCAGTGCGGGGCTGCCCATGAAGAACAAGCGGCAGGAGGGAGTGACGTTGTTCTCGTGCCTGGATGCGTTCATCAAGGAGGAACCCTTGGGCCCTGATGACATGTGGTGAGTGATTGTTCTTCTTTTCATCACTTAGCATTCAGCGGTGAATTGTTGTGTTTTGATATTTTTTTTTTCCCGTTTGTTGTGATTGATTACGCATTTTGCTGCTTGCATGTCCATTGTGCCATGTGCCATGATACCACACCGAGTCATGATTTCTGATGACGTGGTGTCTTGTAGCTTCTCTGTTTGCTTGCCCCACGGTTGCCTGATACATTTAATACCTTATTTTTTCCGTTCTCCCTCACCACTTTTCTCTGCCCCCTTATCTCTGCCCTCTTTCCTCGCTCCAATCAGGTACTGCCCACAGTGCAAGGAGCACAGGCAGGCCACTAAGAAGCTTGACCTGTGGCGACTGCCGGAGATCCTAGTGGTGCATCTGAAGCGCTTCTCTTACAGCCGCTATTTTAAGAACAAGCTCGACACGCTCGTCACCTTCCCCATCCATGACTTCGACCTCTCGCCGTACCTGCCGCCCTGCAACGCTGAGGGAGGCGGCAACGTGTATGAGCTGTATGCTATCAGCAATCATTATGGTGGTATGGGTGGAGGGCACTATACTGCATATGTGCAGGTGAGTTGGGAGACTTGGCTGATGGGTTTCATTTCATTGTAGTCTTAAATCTGCACTCCACTCCATGCACTGTGATTCATCAGTTCCGGTGTGTGCTCTCTCTCTCTCTCTCTCTCTCTCTCTCTCTCTCTCTCTCTCTCTCTCTCTCTCTCTCTCTCTCTCTCTCTCTCTCTCTCTCTCTCTCTCTCCCCCTCTTCGCTTCAACTATGAATGCAGTTGGGCAACGAGCGCCAATGGCACACCTTCGATGACAGCTTTGTTTCTCCTGCAAACGAGTCACAAATTGAGACGCCTGCGGCTTATGTGCTCTTCTACCGGAGAGTTGGTAGCTCGCACCACTATGCAGCTTCCCAGAACGAAGCAACAGGTGATGGACAAAATAACTCCACAGCTGAGGCCACTGATATGGACCGTGACTAGGTTGATTTGATATGGTTGACATGACACTGCGTCTTCAATGAACTTCATAGAGTCTTCTTTTATTGTTTAGTAGATATAGCAACAGAAAGGAACATATCCTCTGACGCTGGGAAAAACAAAAAACATATTCAGGTGTATGTTGTTGTGGCTATGTTAAGACTTACAACATTTCTGTCTGTAAAGGATTCCTCGTGTATAATCAGTGTAAAGCGTGTACAGTATGTTCATTATGTTGAACTACGTAAATAGGTGAACAAAAGAACCAAAACGAGAAAATGTATTGCCAAGGCTAGCTAAGTGTGAAGTGGAATGGTCAGATGGATTGTCACTCGTCAGCAGGCTTCTCTTCCTTCTTCTCCTCGGCTGCAGCGTTATAAGAAACAGCACATTTAGTTCCCGTTGTAGATATCCAAGAACGGCTGGGCAATCAACGTGTTACTCACCAGGCTCATCCTTGGCGGCGGCTTCGTCCTGGAGATCAGATGTCCAGAGCGTCAGGTTGTCACGAAGAAGCTGCATGATGAGGGTACTGTCCTTGTACGACTCCTCGCTCAGAGTATCAAGCTCGGCAATCGCCTCGTCAAAGGCTTGCTTGGCCAATTGGCAGGCCCTGTGAAAGAAACAAGGTGTTAGAAGCAAGTTCTCGCAGGAGGAAATGTCCGCACGATGGAGAAACTACGTACTTCTCTGGTGAGTTCAAAATCTCGTAGTAGAACACAGAGAAGTTCAGGGCAAGACCGAGGCGGATGGGGTGGGTAGGTGCAAGGTCGACAGTTGCGACCTCGGAAGCTGACTGGTACGCCTTCAACGACTGCTCAGCGGCCTCTTTCCTGTCAGCGCCCGTCTTGAACTCCGCGAGGTAGCGGTAGTAGTCACCCTTCCTGAAATAGAGAGGATAAGATTATAACAGAATTCTGTATGCAACAAGATTATAACAGAATTCTGTATGCAACCATGCTTGGGCATGCAAGACAATGAAAACGCACATTTTATAGTAGAAAACCTTCGACTCCCCAGTGCCAGATGAGGGGATCAAATTGCTGTCAATGATGTTGAGGATGTCTTGGCAGATGTCGGAAAGCTCCGCCTCAATCTTAGACCTGTACTCCTTGATCCTCGCCACATTTTGTTCGTTGCCCTTGTTCTCCTCCTGAATGTAGGGGACAAAACGGAACGGTAAGCAACAACGAATAAAGATTTCTAGGGATCTGACATGCAAGTTACGCGAAAAGGATTTGCTATGTATTTTGCATGTCGGACCTTCTGTTCGATAGAAGACATGATTCTCCATGAAGCCCTGCGAGCTCCAATGACGTTCTTGTAGCCAACGGAGAGGAGGTTGCGCTCCTCAACGGACAGCTCGACGTCGAGCTTGGCAACATCCTTCATGGATGAAACCATCTCTGAGGAGGATAAGGGAAGGCGTCATGAAAATAGACAAGAAAAAACTACAGATCTGTGGTCGCACAAAACGTGGAAAATAAAGGAATCCATTCAAGAGAACGTAATGTGCTCAGCTCCTGCATCTACTCACCGTCGTAGCGCTCGGCTTGCTCCGCGAGCTTAGCAAGGTAGACGTGGTTCTCGCGTTCCTTCTCCATTTTATGAAAGTATTAACTGTAAAGTAGACAGAGACACACTATTAAGGAGGAATCGCCAGAACCTAGAGCTTTGTGGGAGAAAACAGCAGCTAACACAGAAAGCCACTGAACCTGGCCTGACTTGTAACACACCTTGGACGTTGGAGGAGGACTGGGTAGTGGAGAAACAGGTGAGCGACCAAACGGAAACTGAGACAGGTTCTGAAACCTTCATAAAGGATGGATACTTCAGGAACCTTGATCTCTCAATCTCGACAATCAGCCGACGCCACGTGGACCTAGGTTAGGAAACCGCGAACCTCCTATGGAGCCTAGGTAACTGCCAGCGGAGCTTAGGCCCCAGATTACCGCGCGACTGAACGGTTCGGATGGTTCGATATGCTCAAGATATTTGACAAGTGCTTCTTCAACAGCGGAGGCTCGGTGAATGGCTTCGAGAACCGAACCTCCGCTATCATTGACATGGAATTTGTACACCGAGTATGATCTACCGGTAGTGGTACCATGCTTGGGGAAATATTGTTTAGTTATTTTTACCTCCACCTCATAGAGTGAATTTGAGGAACTGAAAGAACCGTCAATATAAAAACCTGACAAATGGCTCACTGAACATGTTTGTTACTACAATCCTTGTGATTTCTCTTTCAGCCACGCCAGCACATCCTTCCACACCTCTTCTCTCTCTGGCTCTGGTTCGCCTTGAAGCAGCTGGTGCCAAGCTGATGGATATATATGGAGCATCTTATCTTTACTTGGAGCCTTCTCATGCAAGTTTCTGGACTGGTCTGGATCTGTTACACCATCTGATCCCCCATGCATGATGAGGAATGGCAAATTCAGGTTTGGAATGGAGGCTGTAACAGCATCGGCGAAACGCAGGAGCTCAAAGGCAACGCCAAGGCGTGGGTTACCACTGTAGCGGCGTGGGTTCTTCAGAGCAACTTCAAGTTTTGCAGGATCCCGGCATGAGAGACTGGATTGCCCATGGGACAGAAGCAAGCGACGTGGAAGAAGGGGGACAAAAAAAACATAAAATAAAAAAACACTTGGAGCAAGGTGCAGTGCAGTAGAGTGAAGTAGGTGCAAGAGAATGATGGCCAGACAGTGTAACGAGCTAAGGCAGGGAATAATTTTGCCAGAGAAACAGCACATAGTCTTACCGGATCAAGTCACCCTTGGTGGGCACAAAGGCACTGTCAGGAATGATCGTTGCAAGGACTCGAAGAACTTGCAGAGCAGCCCAGCTAGGCTGCAGCTCCTCCTTTATACGTAACATGGGAGACACCATGACCAGCCCAGTCCAGCTGTCAGGATCACGCCTGAGAAAAAAAAACATAACAAAATCGAACCACGTAAGGCTCACAACACCATTACAAACTTTCACAAGTGCAGAAGGAACTAAGTAGGATAGTCACTGATCCTGTCATTGAGGCAAAAAATGGGACGAAAAGTACAGTATGAGAGCCACAAGAACCAGGAGGAGGTGCTGCTGGCTTCTTACAGTGCAACGGTCATGGCGATTGCGCCTCCCAGCGACTCCCCGTACACGAACGACGGCAGCCCGGCGAAGTCAGGCTTCGCCTTGACAGACGCGAAGAAGGCGCAGCAGTCGTCCACCAGATGCTCCGCGGACCTGAACGAGCATCTCAGACCGTCCGATTTGCCGTGGCCCTCGAAGTCGATGCCAAACACTGCGAAGCCCTCCGAGGCGAATCGGACGGCTGTGAGCTGTGAGGATGGAGGAGAGACAAGATGAGGCGGAAATGAAGGTAACTGGTCGTGACAGGACGGTCGGACCCAGGGAATAAATTGTGAATACTAACTGGAGAGGGGATGTCTTGCCTGCATCAGCCAATTGCAGCAGTTGGCGTAGCCATGGCAGAGAAAGAGGAGGGCCGACGGCTTGCGATCAGCTGAACGACGAGAAGGTTTGAAGGACGCAGATCATGGGAAAGAAATGGGAATGGCAGAACAAAGAGTTCCGATCAGGTACCGAGCACAGGAACGGGACGACGAAGATCAAACAGAAAAGCGGGAGGTGGAAGCTCTCATACAGAGTTACTGATTTGAATTCAGTCGAGCCTAACGTTTGTGATTCTTACCAGGCAGCCATGACTGCGTGTAGAGACCGATGTTTCTCGAATTCGTGATGTATTCCGCGGAGTGAACCACTATATACTGCTCGTAATAGGCCGCTGCGCTCGTTCCGAAGAGGTTCCTGTCGAGTTCCTCCTCAGTAGCCTCCAGTGGCTGCGCGGTAGCCATAATTGCGAGCAACAGACTGGAGTTTTTGTGACTGAAGAATGATAGAAGCGGGATCGGGTTTTACGAACCAGTTCGCAGGGGGATGTACGTCAGATTGTTGAGCGCTCGCTAGGTGCGGTGTAAGGATTTACTAATCATTACTGAGGCACTCGTTAGCGAGGTCATCCCGAGGTTCACGCGACGAACCTGTTCGTCCTATTTCGTCGCACCGAACCACCCCCGAGTCGGCCTCCGCTCCAATCGCAACCATCACCGAACCATCTTCGCCCTACCTCTTCGCCTAGCTAGGACTTCCCCTATTTAGGCCTCGTCACTTTGTGTGTTCATTGTATCAATTCAGTACTCAACAATCCTCGTTATTTGTTATTCTGCTCACTCTGCAAGTTCATTCATAACATGCGGGGAGTCGTTTCTTCCTCTAATTCTTACAGTGAATTTGAGCAACTCAAATACTGACATAAAAACAGCTTACAAATGGCTCACTGAACATGTTTGTTACATTTATCCTTGTGATTTCTCTTTCAGCCATGCCAGCACATCCTTCCAAACCTCTTCTCTCTCTGGCTCTGGTTCGCCTTGCAGCAGCTGGTGCCAAGCTGATGGATATATATGGAGCGTCTTATCTTTACTTGGAGCCTTCTCATGCAAGTTTCTGGACTGGTCTGGATCTGTTACACCATCTGATCCCCCATGCATGATGAGGAATGGCAAATTCAGGTTTGGAATGGAGGCTGTAACAGCATCGGCGAAACGCAGGAGCTCGGCAAAGTTTACCACAGTAGCGGAGTGGGTTCTTGAGAGCAACTTCAAGTTTTGCAGGATCCCGGAATGAGAGACTGGATAGCCCATGGGACAGAAACAAGAGAGGTGGAAGAGGGGGGACAAAAAAAAGAGAAGGAGCAAAGGTGTAGTAGGTGTGAAGTAGGTCCAAGAAAGTGATGGCCAAACGGTGTAACAAGCTAAGGCAGGGAAGAAAACTGCCAGAGAAACAGCACATAGTCTCACCGGATCAAGTCACCCTTGGTGGGCACAAAGGCACTGTCAGGAATGACGGTTGCAAGGACTCGAAGAACCTGTAGTGCTGCCCAGCTAGGCTGCAGGTCCTCCTTTATGCGCAGCATGGGAGACACCATGACCAGGCCAGTCCAGCTATCAGGATCACGCCTGAGTAAACAGGACCAGCATTGAAAAACACAATGTACGGAGACTCACAACACAGTTAAGAAAACATGTAACCTAATGAATTTGGGCATGATGTAGAAACTGTCATTTGAACAATAAATGGAACGAATCAAATGGTTCACAGGACACATGAACCAGGAGGAGATGTTGCTGGCTTCTTACAGTGCAACGGTCATTGCGATGGCGCCTCCCAGCGACTCCCCGTACACGAACGACGGAAGACCTGCGGAGTCAGGCTTCGCCTTGACTGACGCGAAGAAGGCGCAGCAGTCGTCCACCAGATGCTCTACGGACCTGAACGAGCATCTCAGACCATCCGATTTGCCATGGCCCTCGAAATCGATGCCGAACACAGCGAAGCCCTCCGAGGCGAATCGAGCGGCTGTGAGCTGCGAGAGTCGCAGGAGAGATGGAATGAGGCGGAAATGAAAATAGCTGGTCGTGACAGGTGAGAGTCGGATTCAGGAAATGAAATGTGAAGAACAAGCTGAGATGGGGTGCCTTGCCTGCATCATCCAACTGCAGCTGCTGCCGTAGCCGTGGCAGAAGAAGAGGAGGGCCAATGGCTTGCGACCAGCTGAACGACGAGAAGGTCCAGAGGACGCAGATCATGGTAGAAAAATGGGAATGGCAGCAGGAAGTGTTTCGATCACGCACGGAGCAAAAGGAAGCGGGACGAGGATAATACAGCAGATGAGAGGGATGTGACGACAACTGGACGTGCTAGCTCGCATGCAGGGCTACTTGCTGATTCTCGAATTCAGTCGAGCCTAACGTTTGTGATCCTCACCAGGCAACCATGACTGCGTGTAGAGGCGGATGTTCCTCGAATTCGTGATATATTCAGAGGAATGATGCACTTTATTCTGCTCGTAATAGGCCGCTGCGGTCGTTCCGAAGAGGATCCTGTCGAGTTCCTCCTCACTGGCTTCCAGCGGCTGCGCAGTAGCCATAATTGTGAAGAACAGACGAAAGATATTGAGACTGCAAAACGATAGAAGATTTGTTTTTAAATTTATACGCTTGAACTTGGCAAACAAGGGGATGTAGCTCAGATGGTAGAGCGCTCGCTTAGCATGCGAGAGGTATGGGGATCGATACCCCACTTCTCCAAACTTGCGGGGATAGCTCGGTTGGGAGAGCGTCAGACTGAATATCTGAAGGTCGCGTGTTCGATCCACGCTCACCGCAGAGTTTTGGATCTCCGAAATTTTAACGATCCACTCCTGGGGTTCATTTGGCTTTCTCATCTCACTCATGCGCTTCTGCTAGACAGCCTCTCGGTTTGGTAGCATCAGAACCCAAATTCACCACCACATGCAGCTATCGACACAACAACATCGTACGTAACCTAGGTCGTAAGCTGCCACTGGCAGTGGCAGTCATAGATTAAAGCAGCATCCTGCAGCCTTATTGTTTAGGCCTCGAGTGCAGTGGTGTTAAGGCCTGACCTCGAGTGCAGTGGTGTTAAGGCCTGACAAGGTCACGAATGAAGGTCTCAACATCATTCAAATTATCACTAGCCACGGAGCACTCAGCAAATGTCACAGGGTTGATGCAGTCAGCAAACCGGAAGGCGCCTCCACTGCCCTTCAGAACAAGCCCTTGTGACCCTCCGTCCTTGCTGGAGCCAACAGGTTCCATGGAATGGCGTGACGAGCGCAGCTTCTCACTGCCATAAGATAAAGAGAGAAAAGTGTGTGACACATAATGCGCGAGCGCAGTGGTGCATGGTAAAACAAGAAAACGGGAGGAGGAATGCATGTCATGTCACTAGTAAGGTAGCGGTAATGCTGGCGGTGCTGTTTGATCCAGGAATGAATAAACAAAAGTGGCGCATGTGCACGTGACTCACATTTCCTTTTCAAGTTGCTTCCGGATGAACTCCACCGAGTGTGCCGTCACTTTCTCCATCTTGTTGCATGCCAGCAGCAGCGGTACCCGCCTCTGTTGCACCGCAGCCGATGAGAGCAGCTCATACAGATACCTGAAGCAGAAGCACAAAACGATAAGCAGAGATAACATGATATGATAAGCTCGATTGCATGAAATGTTCAGCATTTATGCATGCGAACGTGCATCAGACAATAAGCGCATGGCACACAGGCTGACAGAGCACCTACTCTGCGTTAGGTCGGATGTTGAGAGTGAAATCAAGGGCATCCACCAGGAACACGATCCCACACGCGCGGGAGAGGAACGGAGCCCCCAGGGAGCGCAGGCGGGGATGGCCAGGCAAGTCCACCATATGCACTGGACGGGCCCTGGGGTTCTGGAAACACACAACCGGATGGAGAGGGACGCATTGGTGTGGAAAGGAGGACGAGGGAGGTGATAGAGCAGAACAGAAAGGAACGGATGAAGAATAAAGGAGTAAGAAGAAGCCAAGATGGGATAAGAAGAGAATGAGCATTATGAAGCCTGACTAGATTCAAGAACGGATAACAGAATAAAGAGCATTATGGAGCGTGGCCAAAATGCTGGAAAAGGGGACCAGGGATTGGTGGAAGACAAATAGTAGAAAGAGGTAGTAGCATAATGTTTTCCTATGCTTCCTGCGTGTCGCTGACCATGCACTTCCAGCTTTCCACCTTTGATTTACCTTCCTCAGCTCCGCATGCAGGGGGAACTTGTCTTGTTCACTGTTTTTAAAGCGACCAGAAATTTACCTTGCTCAGCTCGGCGTGCAGCGGGAACTTGTCATCGTTGACTGCCATGGACGTCACTGTGCCGCCGTGGGTTGACCCATCCCGTAGCTGCCACGTGCGGGTCAAGGAGAGGGGGGTAGTGGAGGGTGGAGACAATGATGGAGAAAAGGCTTCTGGAAGGACAGTTGAAAAATCTGATCGAACTCTTGGATCCTTATTTCCAAGAGATTGTGCTTTCTATATGACTCGGAAGTGAAAAATCAAGAGAATGGTCCTTGTGCCTCTTGACAGTGTTTGGGATTCAAAGGCGGGCGCTACTCAGCACAAGGTTGCGAATCATTATCCCATTCGCACCTTGTACCAGAGGGACGTCTTGCCGGCTCCGCACAGGCCCAGAAGCACGATAGTGTTGAATCGAGGGCCCGCGAAGGCCAACCGCACGGCTGGAGCGGAAAGGAGGCACGTGAACGGAGCGAATTCGAATGATCAGGATATGCAAGGAAAGATACGGGCATGTAAAGAACGAGCAGAAGCACGTGAATTCCTTGAAATGATTTGGTATAATCTCTCGTACCTAGGAGGAATATAAGAGAGGCCAGTAGGACGCCGATCGTCGACAGCAACAGAGCTGTCTCAACGCGAACATTAAGAGCTCGGCTTATATCGAGAAATACGGGGGATTCTTGCACTACAGGTGGAAGCACATTCCAAAGGGAGGTCTCAGCCTTTGAGAGGTACTCGAGAGCTAGAGTCTTAAGTTCCTCTGCTGACGGTAGCTGCTCCATCGCTATGGAGAACGTGAATTCCGCAACACACGAATTCAGATGGAGAAAACGCTAGGAACTTGGAGTACGACCACCTGGCCGAATCGTCGGGAGGACGCTTAGGGCGATGCGCTAGGTGAACTGTTTGAGGACTGAGGAGATAAATCAGTTCGCATTCGTACTTAGTGGATAAGAACCCTGTCAGATCCAGGTCTGCAAGCTGGTGAGATGAGAAGGGTACGGGGGAAGGGATTCTGAAAGTTTACGCGTTATTGAACGAATCAGTGCGATCAATTTGTTTTAAGGAAGAAATACTAGCTTGTGAACAAGATATATTTAATATTTCGAGATGGTATCGAGGTTTGTCAGGCACCGCAGAGGTCGAAAGATGGCGGGAGGGAATCACGGCGGCGCGGGCAGCGTGGAGCCAAAATACGGCGTGAAGTGCGGGCAAGCTTCATCACAACACTCCGGCGGAACAAATCGTGGCACGAAGTCAATTTCCAGAGGCTGCCCGGCCCGAAATGAAAAGCAAATCCCAAGAGGAGGCACACCAAGGGAAACAAGCACCCCTACCCCAACACCCCACTCCCTCCATGTCCCCAGTCAAGTCCCAACCAACCCAACGGTCGAATTTCAAGTCTGCAACTCACCATACTTACAGGCTCTAGTTGATTTTTGCTGGTTGTTGTTCTCCTGCCTTGAGATCTCTTCCCTTTCGCGACCTCGTCTTTCTCGTCTCCTCGTCTTTCGGACTAGCTGGTTGTCCTGTCCCGTCAATAGCTAGATTGACCACCAGCCGTCGTTCCACAATCGTGGCTCCTTCGCTCCTCACGGATTATATTATATCAGCGTAATTAATTTAGCCCGACTTGGCCTAGCAGAGCTTATGGAATAAGCTAATCTCACGCTCGTGCGAGTATAATCCACAATCACTCTATAACTGCCAGGTCCCTAGCCATGGCTATCACGCAGTTAATCGAGCCGCAGCCCCTGCAGACTAGTAAGGTGGCGCTAAACGACGTTAAGAAGAGCCTCCTAGTGGCGCTCGGGAAGCTCAACGATCGCGACACGCAGCAGAACGCCGTTGGGGATCTGCAGAATATCGTCGAATGCCTGCCGCCGGAAGGCATTCCCGTCTTCCTCTCCTGCCTCTACGAGACTGACAGCACCCATCGCACCTTCGTCCGGAAGGAATGCCTCAGGTAACCCGCGTGTGATGAGTTTATCTTTGAGTCGACTCTAAGTAGACTTATCGTGGAGTGCCTGCCGCCGGAAGGCATTCCCGTCTTCCTCTCCTGCCTTTACGAGACTGACAGCACCCATCGCACCTTCGTCCGGAAGGAATGCCTCAGGTAACCCGCGTGTGATGAGTTTTATCTTTGAGTCGACTCTAAGTAGACTCATCGTGGAGTGCCTGCCGCCGGAAGGCATTCCCGTCTTCCTCTCCTGCCTCTACGAGACTGACAGCACCCATCGCACCTTCGTCCGGAAAGAATGTCTCAGGTAACGCCTCCACCATCGTCACCAGAAATGTAAAAGAAGAATGCCTCAGGTGGCGCCTCCACCAGCTGCTTACAAGTATGAAACGACGACGACAAGTATGTTTACCGTGTCGCAGGTGTTATACGTGTTTTGTATGTCCGCTTCTCGCATGCTGGTCGAAGAAGGATGCCCCTTTACGAGTGCGTTATTGATGATGGTTCTGGCCGTCACCTCTTGAACTTCCTGTCAGCCTTCGTTGACGTTTTTTAAAAGTTGCCGTCGTCCCACACACGATTAATGGGAACCTAGTTTATCCATGTTGTATCATGGCTGGTATATCGTTCTGCAACGTACACTGTTTTCTCCTTTCCATTCCACCTGAACAACCATACCGCACACCTTCGCCGTCGCAGACAATTTGCCATCCTTGCTATGACCTTCGGCCCGCTCCTGTCGCCGCACCTCCCGAAGATCGTCGCAGCGGTCGTCCGTCGCCTGCGCGACCCCGAATCCACCTTAATCGAATCGTGTGCAGAAGCCATGGCGACACTCGTTCAACACGTACCCCCACCTCCCCACGATACCGTCCCCGGGGCTATTCCCGTCGGCGGCTTCGGAGCCATGGGTGTTTACGTTCGGCCGTTGCTCGACACGCTCGGCGAGCAGAGCCGAAACTCTCAGGCAGGTGCGGCGATCTGTCTTGACCGCGTTTTCCGGGCTGCCCGGGAGAAAATGGAGCCGAGTGCGGCGCGCGTGCTGACGCGTGCGAACGGGATGCTTTCGCGGCAAGGGTTTCAGGCGAAGGCGCAGCTGCTGGGGGCCGTTGCAAGCCTTGCCGAGGTACGTTGACTTGCGAGCCTTGCTCAAGCTTCTGATACTTTGGCGAACTTTCTTCCCGCATAAGTTCACGGGCTCGCAAGGCGCTGGTGCGCGCGCGCGTCTTTCCGACATGTGCGGACCCACCACTAGCTACCAGGAATAGACTATCTCTCGCTCTCAGCAAAGTGCTCTTAACACATCCCCCCTAATTTTCCGCGTCGTCGCTACGCGCAGGTGTGCGGGGAGTCCATGGGCGCGCAGGTGCCCGTGCTGGTGTCCGCCGCGACCGCCGCCGTGGCGTCCGCGGACTGGGCCACGCGCAAGGCGGCGGTGGACCTGCTGGGGCAGCTCGCCATCAACCTGCCGGCGGAGTTTCTGGGGGAGAGCCGCGCGGCCGTCATGAAGGCCCTGGATCAATGCAAGGGCGATAAGGTAAGGAGGGGGGGCATGGGAAGAAGACGGTGAGGGCGGCGAAATAGAGGGGAGATAAGGTAGAGTGGCCATCATAGGAGAGGAGAAAAACGGGAGGCGAGATGGAGATAAAGTACGGCGGCAGGGCACGGGAAGTGGGGCAAAGGGGAAATGATCGGGCCGTAGGAGGAGGGTGCAACACTGCAATGGTGACTTGCTGCGGCAGCTAAGTAACTCAACTTTACCGCATCCACATCCCTCCAATCCCCTCCAAACCCTTACATTGAAACTGCTTTGCAGGTGAAGAATGTGCGTGATTCGCTGGCGCAGGCGAAGCAGGCATGGGCATTCGTGGAATGGGAGGACCCGCAGGCAGCAGGGCAGCACCAAGTGCTGTCCGTGCCGTCCCTCTCGTCGGAATCAGCAGCGACGGCAGTTCAAACTCCGTCGCTGTCCTCTGCTGCTGCTGTTGGCAACGCATCCGGTACGGAGAGACGCGTATGGAGGTGTGTGAGAGGCGTGTGTGGGAGTGTGAGACGCATATGAGGTGGTGTGAGACGGTAATGAGGTTTGGGACGTGCCTTTCAACTCATGATGATGCTTCTGTCTTCTCCAATACTACATGGCATCAGGTTCTATTATAACCAAACAGTATAACACAGTATACGACAACAATGCTCCTGTTGTTTGCTCTCACCTCTGTGACGGCACAAACATAATCGTTTTCGCATTCCTGTCCGTCGCCCCCCTGAACCTTCTAGGAAGGCGCGCCAGTTTCTCACCTGGTGGAGCAGAAAACGACAAAAGCATTGGCAGCCGCTCACTCAAGCTTCAAGGCCGCTCGTCCTCGCTTGTGGCAGATCCGTTTCAAGGCACTCGAGAGGCAGCAGAGGCAGAAGAAGCAGCAGCTGCAGCAGCAGCAGCAGCATCAGCAACAGCAGCATCAGTATCAGTAGCTGCTGCCAGTGCCACCCCTGCCGTGAAGCGGGGTGGAGTGGGCAGCATATTGGCTCGCACGTTCAGTGGCCTGGGTCGAGCCCGAGCTAAGGAAGCAGCAGCAAGTGCTGCTGCTGCTGCAGGAGAAGTGGCAGGCGCAGGAGGAGGAGCAGAAGGGGAGGGAGGAGATGAGGGCGGAAGGAAAGTGGGGGTCAGCAAAGGGGGGATTGGGTCCCATGCGTGGGCTGCAGAACTATCTCAGGCAAAACCTGGGGAAACTCACAAAGGAGAAGCTACTAACGCGGATAATGGAGCTGGAGAGAAGGCTGCTCGGCCTAAGTTTGAGCGGCAGCCGCTTCGAGGAAACCCTCTGTTTTTCAAGAAGGCGGGCGCAGGGGGGAAGGCTGGGGGAGGTGACGACTGGTCCGTGGAAGTGATGGTTCCTAAATCGAAGGCCGGGGCAGTGGGGGAGAAGGGTGACAGTAACGGGGGGCCAGGTGAGGGCAGTGGAGGGAAGAAGGGTGATGGGAAGGGAGAGGGCAGGCAGGGGACAGGGGCGGGCGCAGGGGCAGGGGCAGGTGCGAAAGAGAGTCGAGCGCAAGCGGATGGGGCGAAGATGCGTAGGCATTCGACTTCAGGGATTGCTGCTCTCAAGGCTGCGGCCGCAGCTGGTGGGAGAGGCAAGGAGGGCGCAGGGGGAGGGAAAGGAGCAGGAGCAGAGAACGATTGGAATGTGGAGATTCTAGTGCCTAAGACACGTGGCGGATGGGGCAAGGGCGGTGGCGAGACAGAGGAGAAGCGGGAGGTGAATGGAGAAGGAGTGAAGGAGATGAACGGAAGGGACGGTTTGGGCAAGGCTGAGTTGCAGCAGCAAGAGGAGGCGCAGAGTGCGATCCAGCAGCAGCAACAGCAAGAGCAAGAGCGGCAGCAACAGCAAGCGCAGGAGCAGCAGTATCAGCATCCGCAGCAGCAGTATCAGCAGCAGCAGCAGTATCATCATCAGCAGCAGCAGCAGCAGCAGCAGCAGCAGCAGCAGCAGCAGCAGCAGCAGCAGCAGCAGCAGCAGCAGCAGCAGCAGCAGCAGCAGCAGTATCAGCAGCAGCAGTATCAACATCAGCCGTATCATAATCAGCAGGTGCAGCAGCGAGATGAGGAGAGGGAAGAGCACGAGAAGAAGGAAGTTTTGCAGCACATGCTTCGCGGGATAGATGGACAGAAGGATACAGGAGGGAATACTGAGTCTATTGGTGCTTATAACGGCGGGCAGGAAGACGGAATGGGGGGGTTAATTAAAGCTAGGGGAGGTTCTGCAGCGAGATATGCTATTGGGGTGGAGAGTGAGGAGCAAAGGGAGGAGGAAGGACAGGATGGTTGGAAAGAGAAGGTGGGAGATGGGGAGGGGAAAGAGTGCGAGCAAAGGGCACCAGACAAGGAGAAGCGCGATGAGGAGTCTCAAGGCGCAGAGAATGGCGCTTATGGTTCTAGCGAGTCTGACAATGACGAGGATGTGCATCAACGGGGCGGTAGGGGAGGTGATTGGGAGGAGAGGACGGGTCGGAAGGCAACAGGGGGCGGTGATGTCGTGGGAAGGCAGAAGTGGAGCAAGGGCAGGAACAAATGGAAGGAGGGGCAGGGGCAGGGGGAGGGGGCGGGGGAGACAGAGGAGGAGAATAGAAAGAGGGGGGAGGATGCGGGTAGAAGGGGTAGGGGCGTGGGGGATACGGGGAGGGGAGAAGGGGGAGGGGAGCTGGGCCAGTCGTATGACTGGGGGGGCGCGGGGAAGGCTGGGAGAGGAGGCAAGGGTGGGGGAAGAAGGGAGGGAGTGAGAGAGGCCGAAGAGAAGGGGAAGAGAGTGGGTGGGGGTGTGAGAAGGGAGAGGGGAACGTGGGGAGAAGGAGGCGGTGGTATGAGGAGGAGTAATTCTTGGAGCAGTAGTCTCTCTGTTGATACCACCGGTGGAGGGAAAGCTAGGGTAGTGCAGGGTAAAGGAGGGTGGTGGGATGGGGAGGAAGAGGAGGGTGAGAGGGTGGAGAGAGGGCGAATGAGGAGAAAGGAGGGTAGGGAGGATGGGAGGGGGAGGATGAGGTATGGGTCACTGAGCAGTCATTTGTCTTCAAGCGAGGAAGAGGAGGATTATGGGGAGTCTTTTCCTCGTGCTCGCATGAGGCGTGGGTGGGCTAATAACGAGGATGCTATGGATTCGAGTCCGAAAGGAGGCCGCAGAGACGGAAGGTCCGGTGTTGGGAAGGGTGTGAAGCAGCAGCAGAGGCAGGGCGACACGTGGCAGAAGCAGGAGGTGACACGTCAGGAGGAGAAGCTTGGGCGGAGGAGGGCGCAGCAGAGTCAGCACCAGGGGCAGCAGCACCAGTCGAGGCAGAGCGGGTTGAAGAAGGCGGATGGAGAGCAAATGCATATTAGACGCTCCTATGACTTGAGTCAGGCGTACCAGAGCATGCAACAGAAGCAGCAGCAGCAGCCACCGCCGCGGGAGCGGAAGGGGAGAGGTCGGAGGGCGGAGTGGGGAGGACAGGCGGCGCAGGTGGTACTGATGAGCGACTCTGGCAGTGGCGTGGGGCCGTGGCCTCGAGGCAGGGAGAGGGAGAGCGGGGTGAGGGGTGTGAGGAAGGGAGGCGGTAGGGAGTGGGAGAGGGGTGATGAGGAGGAAGATGAGGATGAGGATGAGGATGAGGGGGTGATGGAGGGAGAAGAGAATGGGCTCGGGGGAGGGCGGAGGGGAAGGGGAAGGAGCAATAGAGGCACTTCCGCTGCTGCTGCTGCAGCTGTGGCGGAGGCAGTGGAGGCAGAGGTGCAGAGACTGAGGCAACGAGTGGCTGATATGGAGCGGCAGCAGGACAGCTACCAGGGCATGGTGGAGGTGAGTGGTTGTTTGAATGAGTCGTGAGGGTATATGAAGTGGTGGATATGGAGCAGGAGCAGGACAGCTATTGGTGCATGGCGCAATTGAGTGGCTGCTCTTACGCATCTGCGCTTTTCCCACATGTTCCCTTGCTGCCCTTCGTTCGTTTAAGTAGCATGAGCACCGTCAGTTGAACCTTCACAGCCTCGAGCTGCGAATGACCAATGCTTCTTATGTGCCTCTGTCTCTCTCCCTCCTCTCCCCTTCTTCACAGCCCCGTTTTGCTCTCCCTGCCCCCTGCTCCTCAGGGTTTCACGAGCGCCACCAGGCGAACCATGGATAGTCTCGACCTGCGAATGCTCAATGCTTCTTCCACTCTCCCCTCCCCTCTCTCCCCTCCCCTCTCTCCCCACCCTGCTCCCCTTGCCCTGCGCATACCAGGGTTTCATGAGTGCTACCAGGCGAACCATGGATAGCCTCGAGCTGCGAATGCTGTCCCTTGAAGGCTCGCTCTCTACCCTAAAGTCTCTGCACCACCACCAGCAGCAGCAGAACCAGCACGAGCAGCAGCAGCAGCAGCAGCTGGCGTTTGCTGAAGCAGAAGCGGTGCAGTTGCAGCAGCAGCAGCAGCAGCAGCTGGCGTTTGCTGAAGCAGAAGCGGTGCAGTTGCAGCAGCAGCAGATTCAGCAGGCTTACCACGAGCAGCAGCAACAGCTGCAGCAGGTTAAGCTGTCGTACCTGGAGCAGCAGCAGCAGCAGCAGCAGCAGCTAGCACTGAGAACCACACGAGCTATGAACAGTGTTGCTGCCTCTCCAGTGGTCGCCTCTCTCCCTTGGACCTCCAATGCTGCTGCCTCCCCCTCACCCCACGCTGTCCCCACCTCTCCTCACCCCATTTCCACCACCACCCTCCCAACCATGCCCTCCCCTTACCTCCCTGCTCGCATACGCACCTCTGCTGGTGGTGACAGCAGCAGGGGGCTCACCCCTGGACGAAGGTTGTCGTTGCAGGGAGGAGGGATTGGTGGGATAGGGAGCAACGCAGGGGGGATAGGCAGTGGGTCTGGGGCCGGTGGATTCGTGCAGGCACAGCCATTCTTGGGTGGGTTTGGTGGTATTGGAGCAGGGAATGAAGCAGCTTATACGGAGGATGATTATGCTGCGGCTGCTGCAGCTGTGGCCGAAGCAGCAGCGGCGGCAGCAGCAGCTGAGGCGGCACGTGTGGCTTCATTCCAAAGTCAGCAGCACCAACAGCAGCAGCAGCAGCAGCAGCAGCTGCTAACTCTAAGGAGAACCTCTTCCTTGAACCGTGGACAGAACACCACTCCTCCCACTGGCCCTCCCCGCACTCCTCCCCAATCCTCTACTGTCTCGTCCCCTCGCCTGCCTCTCAACACAAGCATGAATACAGAACACCAGCAGCAGCAGCAGCAGCAGCAGCAGCAGCAGCAGCAGCAGCAGCAGCAGCAGCAGCAACAACAACAGCAGCAGCAGAAGCAGCAGCAGCCGGAGCAGCAGCAGTTGTTGCTGCAGTGGCGAGGCAACTCTAGTCAGCAACAGGATCAGGGCGAGCAGATGAACCTTCACCAGGCTCAGCCCGAGCAGCAGCAGCAACTCAGGGCAGAGACGTTGCCAACAGCAGAGGGAGGAGGAGGAGGGGGAGGAGGAGGAGGAGGGAGGGGAGGCGGGGGAGGAGGAGAAGCTGAAGGTGCAAAAGCAGCAGCAGATAAGCCTCTAGGGCCGCTGAAGCGCCACGTGGCACCAGCCAATTGGTCATGGGCCGTGGCTTTAGACGAGCTCAAGGCAGGGGGGTTCGAGGGTGCTTATAAAGAGGTGCTGAAGGCTGCAGATGCGGGTGCCATGGTGCGGCTGATGGGGCGAACGGGGCCTGTGCTGGGGCATTTGTCGCCTGATACCGGGGCAGAGGTTATACGGCGCATGGTGGAGCTGCTTATAAGGGGGACGTCGGTGGAATACCTGCTGCCGTGGGTTCGGCAGGTGAGATTAGGGAGGGGGTGATGTGCTATGCTGAGATGTGTGCTGTTGGTGGGCGGATGCATGGAGGCGGGGGCACAATCTTGCTTGGCTTGCTGATGCACTGCACTGTGTGGTTCGGGCCATCACAACCGTTCGTTGTGTTCTCATCTGCGTCTGCATGGCAGCGAACCCATGTGTGGAGCAGTGCATGTTCGAATGTGTGTTTTCCCATGCTCCCCTGCCCCCACGTTCATTTCCCTCCCATCACCCTCCCAGCTGCTAGACACAGTGCCAGGCGAGTCTTCTCTCCCATGCAGGGCGGAGGGCGTGGCAGTGGATGCGCATCTGAGGCACCGCGTGCTTACACCCTCCTTTTCCCCAACCCTGTCTCCCCCTCCCATCAACCCCCCCAGCTGCTAGACATAGTGACGGACGAGTCTTCTTTCCCATACGGGGCGGAGGGTCCGGCAGTGGACGGGCATTTGAACCACCACCGCGTGCTTGACAAGCTGACTCTCCCCTGATGCTGATACTCGTTCCCCCCCTTCTCCCCCTCCTGCTAGACATAGTGACGGACGAGTCCTCTCTCCCATACGGGGTGGAGGGTTTAGCAGTGGACGGGCATTTAAACCACCACGCTGACTCTCCCCTGATGCTGATACTTGTTACCCCCCCTCTCCCCCTCCTATGCCCCTCCTCTCCCCCTCCTCTCCCCCTCCTATGCCCCTCCAGCTGTTGGACATAATGACGGACGAGTCATCTCACCCTTACGGGCATCTGAAGCAGCACTTTCTGGCAGACTGACTTTCCCCCTCACTTTGCTCCCCCATTCTTCCCTTCCCATGACCCCCCCCCCCCCAGCTACTGGACATAATGACGGACGAGTCATCTCTCCCATACGGAGCAGAGGGTCCTGCAGTGGACGGGCATCTGAAGCAGCACGTGCTGGCAGCGCTGCAGCAGGTGGTGAGCGCCGATGGGGGCAGCTGGGTGGGACGGTCTGCAGGCGATTACCGGCGCCAGCTGGCTGATGCGTGGGGAATGTGAGGCATATAGGTGTTGTGGGGAATGTGGGGAATAAGATACGATAGATAGTGAGTGTGAGATGCTTCAGGGAGCGCGAGCTGCTGTGGCAGCTGGGTCGTAATTTCGTACATGTGCTCTGAGGGGCATAGCCTTGGGGTATTGAACTTCAAATTTGAGTGGGTTAACCAGCAGTTGAAATGGTGTCTATTCTTGACTCTTCGCTTTTGAGCTTTGTTCCATTGTGTTTGGATTGCTGAGTGGTTCCGGTAGTGTCTCTGTGGTTGCCTTGGTAGTGTAAAACTCTGTATTGGTAGTCTGTTACGGCTGGATTGGTGTGTATATCTCAAATAAATAGCATGCAAACAAAGAATTGGCCAAATACTATCCAACCAATGATATGGAGCCTCCCTCACATATCACCCGTCAGCGGGAGATGGGTTGCACCACGAGGGGAGAGCGCACTTTGTGGCCCTGGTCGTCAGCCCACACTATATACCCGTACTTGAAGTCATTACTGGGGGTATCCACCGTGACCGTCACCGTGTAGGTGGCCTTCTCCCCGGGAGCCAGCGTAAGGCTCATAGGCCCCACAGTCACCTTCACGCCCTGCGGGGGCTTCCCAGATACGCTGTATGTGGACCGGGACTGCCCCACGTTGGTGACGGTGCGTGTGACCTGCAGGGAGCCCTGCAGGCGAGGCAGAGTGATGGTGGGCAGGTTGAGGTTTCGAACAGCCAGAGGAGAGAGCGCCACCCCTGGGAACTCCTTTTTCGCGCGGTTGAGGTCCTGCCCGGCCAGGAAATTCTGGTAGTCGCGGTCCCGGGCATCGTAGGTAAGCCCGGGGTCGAGCATGGCCGGGGGGAACACGTGGCCTGCGCCCATCTCCCACGGGGTGGCCTCCCCGCCCGTAGAACTCTTGATCGGGCTATTGCTTGTGTCCGTCACCCGCGCCGTCGTCATCAGCGCTGACATCACCTGCGCCGGGGTCCAGTTGGGGTGCTTCTGGATTATTAATGCGGCTAGCCCGGCTAAATGCGGTGTGGCCATGGAAGTGCCCGACGCGACGAAGACACCACCGACTTCGCCGGGTTTCTTCCCGGGAGCAGCGGCTACGAGGTCCACTCCGGGGCCGATGATGTCGGGCTTTAGGATGGCGTTGCCTGGCTTGGGGGGCTGGGCCGTTGCGGAGGGCGGCAGCAGGGGGCCGCGGGAAGAGAAGTCAGCCACCACCGGGGCGGAGGTGGAGTAGGAGGTGAAGGTGATCCCGCCGTCGGCAGTCAGAACCGTGCTGCTGCTGCCGCCCGTGCCGTCCGCGCCGTTGCTGCTGGTGTTGGCACCAAGAGTGAGCGACTGAGCGCCGGCAGTAGAGGAGGCGAGGGAGGCACCGCCTCGGGCGATGGTGCTGGCGCCAACAGTGAGATAGAAAGGCGCAAAGCTGTCAAGCGTGCGGTAGTACCCTCCACGCCCGGGAGGCCCCTCGTTGCCGGCAGCAAAGGTGACAAACACCCCGGCAGCATTGGCACGCATGAAAGCGAGATCGTTGAAGTAGTTGTCTTCGGGATCGGGAATCTTGCTGCCTAGAGACAGAGACAGCACATCCACACCGTCCGCCACGCCCTGATTGACGGCTGCGATGATATCTGACTCCGACGCGGTTACCTCCCCGTTGCCGTCCGTCCAGAAGATCTTGTATACCGCAATGCGCGCTGCTGGCGCCATACCACGCATCTGCCCGCCGTTTTGCATCTTCACGGGGTTCCCCGCGGCTGCCCCCGCGCACCATGTGCCATGGCCGTTCGCATCTCGCGGCGTGAGCCAGTCATTGGTCAACACGGGCCGGCCGAACTCCCGCTGGAAGCCGGCATAGAAGGCCTTGGCGCCGATCACCTTGTTGTTGCACCGGAGCGAGCTCGACTGCTCGCACTTGCCCTTCCACCCCGCGGGCAGCTGCTGTTGTAGAGGACTCTCCTCTACTTTGCAGGAACTGGGAGTTGTTCTAAACGATAGAGCTCTGTCTTAGCTTTCCAACGAGCCGTCAAACACGTCGATCGCCTAAGTATTCTCCGAGATATAGGCGTTCACGTGCTAGGTGGTGCTCTTGAATGCAAGTGAAGAAGCTCTCTGGAATTTGTGTTCGAATGTACCTTGTACAAAGAACTCTGAGTTTCACTATGATGGCATGCAATACAAAGAAAACAGATTTATAGCATGCAAACAAGATCGAATCGCACAAGTAACCTCGAACCGCTACACTCGCGAATGTTCGAGTAACATCGAAAGGGTGAAATTCGACTCTCGAATTTCACCGATCCGAATTCTCCTTGGGTCTCGAATGTTCCTGGTGCTGCCATGTGGCACCGAATCGAATGGGTCTTCCGAAGTCAATCCTCAACCCCACGCAAACCTGCAACTCACTCGAAGGTGAGCACAAGTCACACATTCGGTGGGTTGGGGGCATACAAACGCCCCACCACCACCTTGCTTCCAACACACGTAATCTCCAACACTCCCCCTTGCACCCAACCCACTAGGTGTGCAAACCAACATGCTCATAGCATGCACGGGATGAATCTTTAGGGGGTGGTTCCATGAGAGATTTCGCGTGTTCATCATCACCCTTGGTTGCGAAGCAAAATGCCGCGCCCTCCTTATCCGTCTCCCCAACGGCTACCGTAGCGTAGTTGTTGTACTTGGAGGGAGGACGAACCTCACGACGCTCGTGGGTCAAGGCCAATGGTAGGGAGGAAGGTGTGGAGGTAGTTGCCGCCTCGGTTGGTGACACCTCCACGACATCATCAATGCTCTCCTCGTTGTTCGCTCCCCCTCCATCGGCTTCCTTCTCCACTTGAGGTGGAGTCTCACTCTCTTCAACCTCCTCTCGTGGCGGAAGGATGAAGGTGAGTTGTTGAGTGGGTTTCTCCTTCGACGGGAACTTGTCTTCATCGAAGACCACGTCCCGAGACGTGACGACGCACTTGTCGCCCAAGTCCCACACTCGCCACGCACGCTCGTTCGCCGCAATTCCCAAGTAGATCACCGCACGAGCCTTCGGTTGCAACTTGTGGCGAAGGGGATCCGGTACATGGTAGTAGCAAAGGCACCCAAAGGTGCGAAGGCGGGATAGGTTCGGCTTCGTTCCGGTCCATGCTTCGAACGGAGTCATTCCCGGGAGCACCTTCGTCGGCAAACGGTTGCGAATCCACGCCGCTAGCGAACTCGCCTCGCCCCACCACTCTTTCCCAAGCTTGGAGTGTTGAAGAAGAGAACGAACGGCTTCCACCAACGTGCGATTAAGCCGCTCCGCCGCTCCATTTTGTTGGGGTGTGTAGGGTGTTGTGACGTCGTGCTTAATGCCCTTGCACTTCATCCATTTCTCGAGCTCCGCATTCACGAATTCGCCACCACCATCGGTGCGAATACACTTGATCCGCTTCTTGTCATCGTCGCAAACTTCGAGCGCCCACTCTTGAATCGCCTTGACCGCATCTCCCTTAGCCTTCAAAAGTCGGGTCCAACACATCCGCGTCGCGTCGTCGAGCATCACTAAGAGGAACCGCGCTCCTCCCTTTGATGCATGCCGCATCGGTCCACACACGTCCATGTGAACAAGTGCAAGCGGGTCCTTAGCGAGGGGTGACGTTCGGCTACCGAATGGCTTGCGAGCCATTTTTCCTTCGACACACGCCGCGCACACGCCCTTCTCGTCGTCGCCGGCGATCACGTCGACTCCCTTCGCAAGTCCTTTGTTGGCCAACTCCTTGACCGAGTCGTAGTTGGCGTGCGCAAGCCGATTATGCCACGCCTTGAGAGTCGCCTTGGAGCCTTGCGCCACGTTGGATGAAGCCGCTCTCGGGTACGTCTTGAGTTGGTAGATATCTCCGTTGAGAACACCTTGCGCGAATTGCTCCCCCTTCCAAAAGAGGTTCATTTTCGCACCGTCGATCGTGGCGATCACTCCCTTCTTCGCAAGTTGCGGGACGGATAGAAGGTTCACCTTCACCCCCGGGACGTGAAACACGTTCGTCACGTCCACCGGACCGCTATCGACGATGAGGCGCGTACTCCCAACTCCGACCACCGGTAGCGATTCGTTGTTTCCGAACACGATGCTCGTGACGTCTCCCGGAGCGCCAATGTTGTTGAGGAGCGACGCCGAGTGCGTCATGTGTTGCGTTGCGCCGGTATCGAGGAACCACGCGTCGCTTGGAGTTTTGTTCCCGTTGCCGGCCACTAACACGAGCGACTCCTTTGAATCATCGGCCTCGCCGGATGCCGTGTGCGCGTTGCCCTCTTGGTCCCGCGCCATCGATGGAGTCCAATCGCTCGGCCGCTTTCGACACTCACGCCAAAAGTGTCCCGGTTTGCGGCAATAGTGACACTTGCCGCGATGCTCGCTCCCACCGGACGATTCCTTCGTTGCGTCCTTGCTCCACTTGGACTTCTTTCCGGAACTCCCTCCGGAGTACATGGCGGCACCCTCGCTCTCATTAGCGAATTGTCGGCGACGCGATTCTTCATGGAGAAGCCGACCAACCACCATTTCCTTCGTCCAAGTGTCTTGCACGCTATCGAGTGTCGTAATCACCGTCGACCACTCTTCCGGAAGGCCGCAAAGCAAGGTGAGAATCCAATCCTCCTCCGTGACCGTTCCACCGAGGTCCATGAACGTTTCCCCGAGTTCCTCCACACGAGTCGCAAACTCGTGCATCGATTCGCCCGCGCGCATCTTCACCGTGTAGAATGCATTCCGGGCTAGGATCTTGCCGTGGAGAGTCTTGTTCACGTGGATGGTCTCGAGCCGCTTCCACGCTTCATGCGCCGACGCTTCGAGCTTGATGCACATGCGCACCGAGCTCACGAGATTGATGCCGATGCGCGAAATCAACGTAGCGAACGCCTTTTGGTCCTTCTTCTTCCATGCCGCGATGCCGCTCTCATCGTCCGGCTTCTTCTCCGTTCCATCGAAGAAACCCCAAAGTCCCCGCTCCATCATGAGCACTTGGAACTTAAACTTCCACGCGGAGTAGTTTTGTCCCGTGAAAATCGGTACCGCCGACGTGTCGAACATCGTCACGGTTGCCCAGGGTTCGCCGGAATTTACAACGACACCATCCAAGGAAGTGCGGGAGGCCTCGCTTGAAGTCATCATGCGTGCTCCTTGTCGCGCGCGTAGACTCCTCCGACCAGCTCTGATACCACTGTTGTAGAGGACTCTCCTCTACTTTGCAGGAACTGGGAGTTGTTCTAAACGATAGAGCTCTGTCTTAGCTTTCCAACGAGCCGTCAAACACGTCGATCGCCTAAGTATTCTCCGAGATATAGGCGTTCACGTGCTAGGTGGTGCTCTTGAATGCAAGTAAAGAAGCTCTCTGGAATTTGTGTTCGAATGTACCTTGTACAAAGAACTCTGAGTTTCACTATGATGGCATGCAATACAAAGAAAACAGATTTATAGCATGCAAACAAGATCGAATCGCACAAGTAACCTCGAACCGCTACACTCGCGAATGTTCGAGTAACATCGAAAGGGTGAAATTCGACTCTCGAATTTCACCGATCCGAATTCTCCTTGGGTCTCGAATGTTCCTGGTGCTGCCATGTGGCACCGAATCGAATGGGTCTTCCGAAGTCAATCCTCAACCCCACGCAAACCTGCAACTCACTCGAAGGTGAGCACAAGTCACACATTCGGTGGGTTGGGGGCATACAAACGCCCCACCACCACCTTGCTTCCAACACACGTAATCTCCAACAGCTGCGAGGAGAGGCCCTTATCGCTGAAGGACGGGTGTTCGGGCCAGATACCCGAGTCCACGATCCCCACCACCGTGCCCTCGCCCGCCTTGCTCTGCCCGCCCATTGCCGGCCACACCTTCCCAGGCAGCCCCAGGAACTGCGGAGAGTCGGTCGTCTGCTGGCGGAACACGCGGCTGGCGCGGACGGACGCCACGGCGGGGTGGCGCCGCAGCCGCCACGCCTGGCGCGGCGTGAGGCGCGCGGCGAAGCCGTTGGACGTGTGCTTGTAGCTGTAGAGCAGCCCGTCCTTGGGTACGCCCGCCTCAGATGCCACCTGCGCCTGCTGCCGCTGCAGCAGCCCCGCGAACGCCGCCACCTGGGGGCGGTCCATGCTCAGACTCAGCCGGTGCCGTGGGCACCTGTCGCCACCGTTACGACCGCCGTTACCGTTGTCTTTACCTCCGCGACCGCCGCGACCGCTGGGAGTAGCGGCGGCGGCGTCAGATGTGCCATTTTGGGGCGGCGCGGGCACAGTTGCGTTGGGGAGGAGGTGGTCGCCGTCAGTGTCGTCCAGGTCGACGGACTCGCCTCCTGCGGTGGCGACGGAATCGCCGGCGGAGAGAATCATCTGCGGCACGGCATCACTGTCCTCCTCGTCGCTGCCATCGTCCCACGTGGCCGTCGCGGGGTAGCCCGCAAATCCGCCGCGATATTCGGAAAGGGGAGGAGCCGATCTCAGGCGGACGATGTAGACGGCGGAACCTTCGGCTGCTGGAGTTGCAAATTTTCCGGAGTTTCCGCGTAAGGGCGCCGCGAGGTGAGCATTCTCCCCGCCGTTCCGCCATGCTCGGTTCAGGTCGCGCCAAGATGCTCGGCTTGCACTGGATGGCTGCGCGGTTATGAGAAGTGCACACAGGAGCAGCAGCATCACGATCTTTGGAGCATGCCTCATGGTGAGTGTCAGCCTTTCGCGTGCAGGTAGTGAATGTAGCACTGCGTAACGGTTGATTGCCGTCGCTTTGCTACGAATTGAAGAGGAACCAATGGTTGTAGAAGATAGGATGTCGAGTTTGTTGTGAGTGCTTGAATTTGTTGATGGTGGTTGGAGTGAGGTTGTGCTGGTTTTGTACTCACCAGCTCACATGCGGAGCCGCGCATTTGGCTGAGGCCTTGTCGCGCCACGATGCACCTGCTGGGATGGAATGCTGGACTTCACTTTCGCGTGGCGTTTGTGCGTCTAAAATACTGGCTCGCGATCTTCCGCGAAGGAATATGACCGCAATCCCGTTGAGAATTCCTTCCCGAAACACTACGGCGAGATTCCAGCTTCATGTCGGTAACACTGTCGCAAGCCAGGTCTTTCCTCGTGACAGGCACGCGAAACTTGTTCGCTCAGCAACCTTCCAGATTGACTAGGCAAGAATTGAGGATTTGCTTGAGGTACAAGGGCAACATGAACTAGACGGGACAGACGCGAGCCGTAATTCCCATTGGCTGCGAAAACCTGTTTGGAATGGACACTGTATGGTTACATCTGGTTGCTGGAGGATCACGGAACCATGTTTTCGTGATCACCCGGCGAAACACGTCAAGATCTACAGTGGGAGGAGGGGCATGCAGGGGAGAGCAAAGGAACGGACAAAACAGGACAGCTGGTGGGGACATTTGGAGAAGGATGAGGCTCGGGTCGGGTGATGAGGAGGATCTACAGTGACAAGAGCAAGATGAGCTGGAGTCAAGGCTTCAGGGAAATTTGGGAGGATCCGATGTCCCGTTATAAGCCGCCATGAATGGAGGCGGGAGGGTAGCAGTGTTCTATCCCTGTGATATCCCCTCCCCCCAGAATCAGTTACTGACTGACGATGTATGCATGCCATGTAATACAACACACACACACACACACACACACACACACACACACACACACACACACACACACACACACACACACACACACACACACACACACACACACACACACACACACACACACACACACACACACACACACACACACACACACACACACACACACACACACACACACACACACACACACACACACACACACACACACACACACACACACACACACACACACACACACACACACACACACACACACACACACACACACACACACACACACACACACACACACACACACACACACACACACACACACACACACACACACACACACACACACACACACACACACACACACACACACACACACACACACACACACACACACACTCACACACACACACAAGTGATCACCCGGCGATGTTCGTCTAATTGTAGTCGTGGAAGTCAACAAATCGTTCATGTGGTTTATGTGAAATTGTAACAAGAAACATATATTCCACACCAGCAGTGAATCCAGCCTACGGTATGGACAGCATGGCAGCGAAATATCTTGGGAAAGACTGCCATGTGTGGCCTAAAAGCCTATTGTAACGTTGCAACGTTGCAATGTTGCTCCTGGGTTTGTAACGTTGCATCTTCATTCACACAACAAAGCTGTGTCGGTAAGGGCTTAGCATAAAATTATATGCAGGCAGCATCCCCAATCTAAACGAGCTGGCCAAATGACAGCAAGGCGTCACGAAACAAGGCAGCAAACTCGTCAGCTGCTCCTGCCGCCCCCTTCACCTTGCCACTTGCCGTGGCAGCACTTGTGTTCACCTGCAGCTCCACTAGAAACATGCCACCTGGCGCCGCATCGGCCTTCTGCGCGTAGAAGAAGAATCGGAAGGCAGGGCGTTGGCCACCTGATGCCATGCACTGGATGTTACTGTGTGCCATGTGCCTTAACAGAGGGGCTGGCGCTGTCAGTGCAGTGATGAAAGTTCCAGGCAGCTTCTCCTCCTGCACATTGGCATGAGAAAACGAGTGGGACCAGGTTGGCAAAAATCCACGCAACAAAGGGACTCATGACCTTACACAGTGACATGCAAAAGACAAAAGACAAAAAAAAAAAAAAAAAAAAAAAAAGGTGAAACTAGCCACCAACAACACGAAAGGGAGAGGCACTCACGAGCGTGGCCGCGACAGGCAGCTGGCTCCACGTGCGCTGGTAGGACGGTGCATCCAGGGACGCCTTGGCACTCAGCACCAGCGCCAACACTGACTCTTAACACGTCTCACAAGCCAGCCAAAGACACACGAGAAGGTGAGGCAAGACGCTCACAAGAGTAGCAGCGACAGGTAGCTGGCTCCATGTGCGCTGGAAGGACGGTGCATCCAGGGACGCCTTGGCACTCAGCACTAGTGCCGGCCGCACAGGTGCATGCCCCCCTGACAGCATGTCCTCCAATCCCGCCCCGCCACCTGGCGCTGGCGATGGCGCTGCAAGGCCCAGCAGGCTGTCTATGGAGTCGAACCTGCTGCTGCCTCCTCCCGTGGCTCCTGCAGGGGCTGCTGGGGCTGCAGCAGCAGATGCTGCAGGTGTTGTGCTGGCTGCTGCTACTGCTGCTGGTGGTGGTGGTGCTGCTGGTGGTGGTGCTGGTGTTGCACTGGAAGCATTTGACTGAGCAGGTTGCATGCTCGCTAGCTCTGCGAAGGGGTCCAATGCTGCTACAGGAGGAGCAGCAGGAGCGGGAGCAGCAGCAGGATGTGCGGGCCCGTCTGATAGAAGATCCAACGGCAGCAGAGGAGCCGCTGTTGCTGCAGCACCACCAGCACCAGCGGCATGACCGTTTGGGACAGCAGCGGTGGAGATGAGAGGTGAGTCAGCGTGGTCCCTGTCAGAGGCGTCGAGGAGCGAGGCAGCGGATTCACCCTGTGAGGCACGGGCTGATGGGGCAGCCACAGCGGCAGGAGCAGTGGCAGCAGCCGCAGCAGCAGAAGCAGCGGCGGCAGCGGAGGCCACGGAGGTGTATTCGGCGTCGAGCAGGCTGCGCTGATCCTTGTCGAGAAACAGGTATGCTGGCTGGATGGCATGTAGGTCGGGAGGGAGGGATGGCAGCAAGGGGAGAGAGAGGATGGGTGCTTTTTAAGTCGGATAAAAATTAGCAGCAGCGGCGGCAGAGGCCACGGATGTGTATTCGGCGTCGAGCAGGCTGCGCTTGTCCTCGTCTAGGAACAGGTATGTCGGCTGGATGGCATGTGGGTGGAGGAAGCAGCAAGGGGAGAGGGAGGATGGGTTGTGGATTATACTGAGCTCGTGCTGCACATGATGCAAGTATCCGTGCCTTCAACCCATGGGCACATGCATGTCATAAAAAAAAAAATCCCGGAAGTCAGTTTCACATTGTGGTGTGCACCTTGTGGTCCCAGGCTCACACCTTGTGGTACACGCCTTGACAAGCCCCATGAGAACACACACACCTTGTGGTACACGCACCTTTTGGTAAACAACGGAGAGGGAGTTGAACTCATCAAAGATGCGGTCGCGCGTCTCACTGCCCTGCGAGTCCACAAACACCGACACCGGCTGCTTCTCTGGGTTGATCACCTGCTCTGCCACGCCCACGCCTGCCCGCAGCAACCGGTAGTACAGCAGCGCGCGGTCATGCACGTCCTGTTGTTCTCAAGGAAATGGGCAGATGGGGGTATACACACACACATGGGTCATGCGCGCGGTCATGCACGCGGTCATGCGCGCGGTCATGCACGCGGTCATGCACGCGGTCATGCACGCGGTCATGCACGCGGTCATGCGCTCGGTCATGCGCGCGGTCATGCGCGCGGTCATGCACGTCCCGCCCGCAGCAAGCGGTAGTAGAGGAGAGCCCTGTCATGCTCTCAAACTAAGAAAACGGGTACAAAGCTCCAAGCTCGGTTCGACCGACCTGACTAATCTGATAAAATCACTGAGTAGTACTAGCCGACTACACGTGTTCTCGCCTAATACTACTCAGTGATTTTATCAGATTATTCAGGTCGGTCGAACCGAGCTTGCAGCTTTCTACCCGTTTTCTTAGTTTGAGAGCCCTGTCATGCACATCCTGAGGTGGTTTTGACAGGGAAGGGCAGATTGGGAGGTGCTTGCATGGGGCAGTGATTCAAGCATGATTCATGCGATGCAACGGTGCACGGTCATCCACTCGCTGTGGGGTTTGAAGAATAATGGCAGATTCAGAAATGTTGTACGGCCTAGGGCGTATTCCTGGCTTCGGGTCATCCGCTCTTTGAGGCATTCGAAAATATGGGAAGACCCGAGCTGTAATGATGCAGCTCGGGTCAACACGCCAATACTGCTGGCGATTTTTTCGGGAAGAAATTTAGATGGATACAAATTTCCGTTACTCTGGTCAGTCTGATCTGCGATCACCAGAGCAATCTGGCGAGCGGTTACGATTCTTGCGCGACTAAATTCATGACTGAAATGTTCAATGTTTCTGCACACATTGAGCAAATGTTGTCGTGCTATCAGAAATGTCGCACAGCAGCTCGGCGGAAATTTTTCAAGGGCCAAACTCATTTCGTACACCCAGCTCGCTGAAGCTCGCCATGTCCCGAGTCGGAAAACCCGAAGCTCGAATCGGAAAACCCGCAATTCGGGAAAATTAATTCGGGATGACCCGAAGAGCGGATGACCCGAAGCTAGGAATACGCCCTAAGGATCCAGATAGTTCATATTCCGACCTTCCATAACTCAATTCAGCCCGTATCCCCACCCACTTGCCACAACCGCATCCCACCAGTCACAACCCCACCACACCTGCCATATCCCCATCCCACTTGCCAGAACCACGTCCCACCTGCTGCGACTCAGCGAGCCCGTGGGCGAGCACAGCACCCAGCATCTTCTGGCACTCGGGGGGGCGCTTGAAGAACAGCTTCGCCACTGCTGTCAGCAGCTCCAGGCGCACCTGCAGGGGAGACCATGGAGAGGTGGTTGGTAGAAAAGGAGAGAGGAGATGAGAGGTGTAATGTGGGAGGGAGGGCGCTTGAAGAAGAGCTTCAAGACAGTGGGATGGGAAAGCAGAAGGGGCATGCGTGGAGGGGAATGGCGACAAGGAGGGGGGCACTTGAAGAAGAGCTTTGCCACGGCTGTTAGCAGCTCCAGGCGCACCTGCTGCAGGTGGGTGGGTGGGGAGGTGAGGGGCGTGAAGGATTGTGGGGGAAGTGTTGCAGGGTAAGGAAAAGTGGTGGGGAGGAGAGGGGGGCTTGAGGAACAGCTTCGCCACTGCTGTCAGCAGCTCCAGGCGCACCTCCACAGCAGGGCAGAGGAAAGGGATGTGGGAGAGTGTGGTGTGGAGGCTGTTTAAAGAACAGCCTCGCTTTCTTGAGTCGACTCAAAGAGCAGCTCACTGAGCTATGTCTGGATCTCCTGTGGAGGCTGTTAAAAGAACAGCCTCGCTTTCACCTGGAGAGCGTGTCAACAGCTTCAGCCGCACCTGGAGAGTGTGTCAACAGCTTCAGCCGCACCTGGAGAGTGTGTCAACAGCTTCAGCCGCACCTGGAGAGTGTGTCAACAGCTTCAGCCGCACCTGGAGAGTGTGTCAACAGCTTCAGCCGCACCTGGAGAGTGTGTCAACAGCTTCAGCCGCACCTGGAGAGTGTGTCAACAGCTTCAGCCGCACCTGGAGTCTACCATCAACGTTCATCTCAACCTTCCATTTGTATCACGGACGCCTCAAAGCACGTATCAGCTCAGCAATAACTCGAAATTGCTTTTCTCCTCCCACGCGTTGACGAAACCCTCGAGGGCATATGGAGCATCCCCCATGTGCTGCCCGTAGTCCCCCAGCATCACCCATGTGCTGCCCGTACTCCCCCAGCATCCACACCAGCGCCTCGGTGGCCCGCTGGTCGGTCACTCAGTCAGAACCAACCTAGCATTGCCTCGGCGTTCGTTTCCTCGTCCCACGAGTTGACAAACCCCTCAAGCGTGTAAGGAGCATCCCCCATGTGCTGCCCATACTCGCCCAGCATCCACATCAGCGCCGCCTTACCTTGGCCCGCGGGTTCGTCACTCACTCGATCAATACCAACCAAGCCGCTGTGCTGTCTCAGAATTACCTCGGCGTTTGTCTCCTCCTCCCACGAGTTGACAAACCCCTCAAGCGTGTAAGGAGCGTCAGACATGTGCTGGCCATACTCGCCCAGCATCCACACCAGCGCCGCCTTGGCCCGCGGGTCGGTGACGGATCGAGAGCTCACAGAGCCCACCACGGCTATGCAGTCCTGCGCCCACTGGGGGTACTTGCGTAGGAGATCGCGCACCAGCACCTGGGGGGAAGGGGGGAGTGGAGGGGAACGGGCAGGGGACGAGAGGGATTGTTTGAATTGGAGCTAAAGGCGTTGCGAGAGCTCACAGAGCCCACCACGGCTAGGCAGTCCTGCGCCCACTGGGGGTACTTGCGTAGCAGATCACGCACCAGCACCTGGGGGGGGGGAAAGAGAGGAGGGGAGGGGAGTGGTGGAAGCGGCAGACTGGAGTACTCCAGGCAATGCAGCAGCCAGTCCCACTGTCAGTCAGTCCCCCTGTCAGTCAGTCCCACTGTCAGTCAGTCCCCCTGTCAGTCAGTCCCACTGTCAGTCAGTCCCCCTGTCAGTCAGTCCCCCTGTCAGTCAGTCCCCCTGTCAGTCAGTCCCCCTGTCAGACAGTCCCTCTGTCAGTCAGTCCCCCTGTCAGCCTGTCCACCAATGCCACCTGTCTGCTGCCCTGAATGCCATGCGAATACCCTTTTAGGCCAAAACACCCACCAGCGTCCATCTAGAGGAACTCCAACAGGCGGCCCACCAAGCGGGTTATTGAGAATTCTAAAAAAAACAGGCGGCCCACGAAGCGGGTCTGTTGGAGTTGGTCAAGGTGGGCTTTCAGTGCAGTGCACCCACCCGCATACACCCTGACTTTTGAGACGTCTCAAAAGGCTTTCAGTGCAGTGCACCCACCCGCATACACCCTGACTGCTTTCGCACCCATACCAGAACCCTGACCCATACCATAATCCTGATCATCATCCAGATCCAGCCACAAATGAACACACCAGAGTCTCCACAGTGACATAATCAGTGTCCAGCTCTTGGAACTGCAGCAGGCGGTCCACAATGCCCCTCATGTACTGCTGCATATGCACACTCCCATCCCCATTGTGACCCCCCAAACCCCAACAAGCCCACATCCACCAAGGTCTCCGCAGTGACGTAGTCGGTGTCCATCTCAAGGAACTACAGCAGGCGGTCCACAATGGTCCCACCAGAGCACCCACCGTTGCACCCACCCACCAACACACTCACTGCTAGGGCATCTGCTTTCCGTTACAATCACCAATGCATACCCCGCCCATACCAGAGTCTCCGCAGTGACATAATCAGTGTCCATCTCCAGGAACTGCAGCAGCCGGTCCACAATGCCGTTCACATCGTAGCTCTGCAGCGCTATCTGCCCCACTGCCCTGATCGCCTCACGTGCGATCGATACATCCACGTCCGCTGCATACTCTGTCAGCTCCGTCACTGAAGGTGGCGGGTGGGGGAGAAGGACAAGGGATGTGAATGGGCCCGCTACACACACCAATGCCGCTCCAACTGAAGGCCTCGGCAGTGCTATCTACCCCACCGCTCGTATGGCGTGTAATGGACACATCCACGTCCGCTGCATACTCTGTCAGTTCCGTCACTGGGCAAGGAGGAGCGGGGTGGGAGAAGAGAAGCAGGAAGGAGGGGTGAGGGGCATCATAGCTCTGCAATGCTATCTGCCCCACCGCTCGTATGGCCTCCCGTGCAACGGACACATCCACATCCATAGCGTACTCTAGGGATGAGCAAGGGGCGAACACGAACATGTTCGTGTTCGCCCCTACACGAACACATCCATTTGCCGAACCGAACGCTTTAAGCAAAAACAGGTGTTCGCCGTTCGCCTGTGAAGGCGTGTTCGGGCGAACCTCGAACACGTTCGTGTTCGTCGCGGGGCAAATTGCAGCAGCGGCCCGAACACGTTCGAACACTGTTTGGCGAACAATTTAAGCAAAAAAAACAAACCTTCGAGGCGAACCGAACAGGTGTTCACCCTTGTGCTCATGTCTAGCGTACTCTGTCAGCTCCGTCACTGAATAAGGAGGAATGAGGGTAAGGGGTGGAATGAGTCAGGCAACGTCACAACATCACTCTCAGTTACACTCTCAGATATCCTCCCCTCCTTCTGCTCCACAAACCCACTCCACCTGCACTCCCCCCACCACACCTCCCACCTGCTCCTCACTTTCCCTCCCAGCCCTCCCACACTACACTTCCCTCCCAATTCCCCTCAAACCCACTCCAACCCCCGTCCCTCTCCCTCCCAACTCTCACCAATATCATATGTGTTGCTGTCATTCGCGATAGCTGTCAGCATGTGCAGCTTGAGGCGCTTCACATAGGGCGGGTCGCGGACCTTGCAGTACAGATGCTTGTAGTCCCCCGCGAACACAGACGGGCAGCGCGAGACGAGCAGGGAGAGGTGGCAGAGGACCGCGTATGATTGCTCCGTGCTGCACGTGCCCACTAGCGTCAGCAGCGGAGTTTTGATGCGCTCGTACACCTGAAACGGCAGGGAAACAAAGTGATTGTATAGACGGATGGGAAGGGTGAGACGAGCAGGGAGAGGTGGCAGAGGACCGCGTAGGACTGCTCTGTGTTGCACGTGCCCACTAGCGTGAGCAGAGGGGTTTTGATGCGTGAGTATACCTGGCAACGCAACGGGGAGGCATATATGGGGGACAGAGGCAGGGAGAAGCAGTAAGTGTGGCTGCCTTGAAAGAGGGAAAAAGTGGGTCAGGAGATAAGCAGAGAGAGAGAGAGAGGTGTCACCTGGTGTCACCTGGTGTCACTGCACCTGGTGTCACCTGGTGTCACATGGTGTCACTGCACATGGTCTGGGACAGCAAAGGATGAGTGCTCGTGTGTGTGCCGCACTGCGCACGGTAATTGGTCTGGAAAGCAGGCATTCGAGTTGTTCATACCTGAGGAATCAGTTAGCTTCCTGGGAAGCGGGAACAGGTGGAAGAACCAGACACACAGAGAGCAGCGCATGCAGCCAAACCCACACCCACCTACTCACCCACCCACCCACCTGGAGGCGCACGACTGGCATAGAGAGTGTGAGGCGCAGGAAGAGCTTAGCAGTGGCGAGGACAACGGTGCTGTTTGCATGCTGCAAGGGTGATGTAGACACCCTCACAGCACACACACACCGCCACGCGCACTCAGCAAGCCACACCCTCCCACGCACCCACCTGGTGGTGAACGTCTGGCATGGAGAGCGTGAGGTGCAGAAACAGCTTGGCAGTGGCGAGGACAACAGTGCTGTTGGCGTGCTGCAGGCGGTCCTCGAGCAGATTCATGAGGTCAAAGGCCTCGCACACATACAGCACACACACATACAGCACACACACATACAGCACGCACACATACAGCACACACACATACAGCACACATACATACAGCACACACACATACAGCACACACACATACAGCACGCACACATACAGCACACACACATACAGCACACACACATACAGCACACACACATACAGCACACACACATACAGCACGCACACATACAGCACACATACATACAGCACACACTCATACAGCACACATACATACAGCACACACACATACAGCACACACACATACAGCACACACACACACAGCACACACACACACAGCACACAAACATACAGCACACACACACACAGCACACACACATACAGCACACACACATACAGCACACACACATACAGCACACACACATACAGCACACACACATACAGCACACACACATACAGCACACACACATATAGCACACACACATACAGCACACACACATACAGCACACACACATACAGCACACACACATACAGCACACACACATACAGCACACACACATACAGCACACACACATACAGCACACACACATACAGCACACACACATACAGCACACACACATACAGCACGCACACATACAGCACGCACACATACAGCACACACACATACAGCACACACACATACAGCACACACACATACAGCACACACACATACAGCACACACACATACAGCACACACACATACAGCACACACACATACAGCACACACACATACAGCACACACACATACAGCACACACACATACAGCACACACACATACAGCACACACACATACAGCACACACACATACAGCACACACACATACAGCACACACACATACAGCACACACACATACAGCACACACACATACAGCACACACACATACAGCACACACATACAGCACGCACACATACAGCACGCACACATACAGCACACACACATACAGCACACACATACAGCACACACACACACAGCACACACACATACAGCACACACACATACAGCACACACACATACAGCACACACACATACAGCACACACACATACAGCACACACACACACAGCACACACACATACAGCACACACACATACAGCACACACACATACAGCACACACACATACAGCACACACACATACAGCACACACACATACAGCACACACACATACAGCACACACACACAGCACACACACATACAGCACACACACATACAGCACACACACATACAGCACACACACATACAGCACACACACATACAGCACACACACATACAGCACACACACATACAGCACACACACATACAGCACACACACATACAGCACACACACATACAGCACACACACATACAGCACACACACACAGCACACACACATACAGCACACACACACAGCCACGCGCAGAGAGCAAGCCACACCCTCCCACGCACCCACTCAGCCACCCACCCACCAGGCCCCCACCCAACCCTCCCTCGCGCCCACGTGCATACCCAATCATTCACCCACCTGGTGATGCACGTCTGGCATGGAGAGTGTGAGGTGCAGAAACAGCTTGGCGGTGCCGAGCACAACAGCGCTGTTGGCGTGCTGCAGGCGGTCCTCCAGCAGATTCATGAGGTCAAAGGCCTCGTCTGGGTGGGATGGGGTGTAGCGCGATGCCAGATCGAGCACCGTGCACTGCGCCCACTCACTCATCTCCTTCATGCTGGAGTAGGGTGTGGAGGAGGGGGAATAAAGGTGGAATGGGAGAGCAGAGAGAGAAGGGAGTGGCACCAGCAATGCCTCAAAGACTTAGCCAAGTCCAGCACTGTCCACACCCACTCACTCATCTCCTTCATGCTGCTTGCCACCCGGGGACGTGAGGAGGAGAGAGAGGGCAGGAGAGAGAGGGGAGGAGAGAGAGGGGAGGAGAGAGAGGGGCAAAGAGAGAGGGGTGGTGACGGTTGTGAAGGAAGTGACTTTTGAGTCGACTCAAAAGTCACCTAGGGGCGGAGATGGTTGTGAAGGGAACGGCGGCAGCAAGGAATGTTCACACAAGGCTGATGCCAGGTCTAGTACCATGCATGCACTGCACCCACTCACTCATTTCCTTCATGCTGGGTTTCTGAACAGAAACGATTCCATACACATGCACATGCACATACACATACACATACACATACACATGCACATGCACATACACATACACATACACATACACATGCACATGCACATACACATACACAAGGGCTCACACGCTTCAAAACACAGACGAACCGGTTGAGGAGGGAGAAGACGAGTGCGCGGCCGTGCAGCATGTCACGGTCCCTCACGGCCTCGGGATCTCCATCCTCCGCCAGCGACTCCCCTGCCAGTATCTCCTGTAGTGCGCTCACACAGTTGGCCACCACCTGAGGCGGAAGGGGCAGGGTTTACGAGGAAGGGAGGGGAGCAGAGAGGAGGAGGTCACACACAGTTGGCCATGTGACCGTGTGACCATGTGACCATGTGACCGTGTGACCATGTGACCATGTGACCGTGTGACCATGTGACCATGTGACCGTGTGACCATGTGACCATGTGACCGTGTGACCATGTGACCATGTGACCATGTGACCATGTGACCATGTGACCGTGTGACCATGTGACCATGTGACCATGTGACCATGTGACCATGTGACCACATGGCTCGGCCACCATCAGGGGAGGAAGGGAGGGGACGGATCTGGAAGATAGACAGAGAAGTTCCCCTGACAGCACCTCCTGTAGTGCGCTCACACGTATGGCCACGAAGGACTTCTGAGTCAAATAACAACCACCCAACCCACCTGTGCGTCGGTAAGCTTTCTTTTGAGCATGCCGATGTATCCATGCGCGCGGCACACCACAGGCGCCAGGTGGTACAGCTTCAGCGGCCCTCTCTCTCAAGTCAAATAAAAAAATGGAAGCCACCTGCGCATCTAGATCGTCGGTGAGTTTCTTTTGAGCATGCCAATGTATCCGTGTTCCCGGCAAACGCCAGGCGCCAGGTGGTAGAGCGTCAGCAGCACGCCCATCACTGCCACTGCCCGCACATACGGATTCATGTCCCCCAGCCCTCCCTCGCTCCAATCGATAGACATATGAGTCGACTCACAAGACCTTAACCAACCTGCGCATCAGGGTCGTCAGAGAGTTTCCTCTTGAGCATGCCGATGTAACCATGCTCGCGGCACACCCCAGGGGCCAGGTGGTACAGCTTCAGCACGCCCATCCCCGCCACAGCCCGCACGTACGCACTCACGTCCCCCAGCCCTCGCTCCAGCGGCCCCACGAGATACTCCACCAGCCCGCGCACCCGCAGGGCGCACAGGTTGCGCAGGGCCAGGCCTCGAATCATGGGATCGTCGTCCTGTGATGTGGGGGGAGAGGGGAAGGAAGTGGGGGGAGACGGGAGGGGAAGAGCGGGAGGAAGCGACAAGATAAAGGCCAGGTTGGAATTGCAGGGGAAAGGGAAAGGGGAGAAGGAGGAGCATCTCAGCCGCCATTCCAGCGGCCCCACGAGGTACTCCACCAGCCCGCGCACCCGCAGGGCACACAGGTTGCGCAGGGCTAGGCCTCGAATCATTGGGTCGTCGTCCTATAATGTAGGGGGGAAAGGGGGGGAGGTGGGGAAGGAGGTGCAACCCAGCCCTCGCTCCAGCGGCCCCACGAGATACTCCACCAGCCCACGCACTCGCAGGGCGCACAGGTTGCGCAGGGCTAGGCCCCGTATCATCGGATCGTCGTCCTGTGATGTGGGGGGGGAGGGAAGAGAAGTGGGGGGGGAGGGGGAGGAAGAGGGGGCAGGGCAAGGGAGGGGTGAGTGGGCAAGAGAAAGGGAGAGAGGGGAAAGGGAAAGAGGAGGACATCAGCCCTCGCTCCAGCGGCTCCACGAGGTACTCCACCAGCCCGCGCACCCGCAGGGCGCACAGGTTGCGCAGGGCTAGGCCTCGAATCATTGGGTCGTCGTCCTGAACCGCAGAAAGAGGCGGGGAGGGCAGTGGGATGGGGGAGAGAAGGTGGGGACCGAAAATTACGGGGGTCAGTGAGAGGGCAGGGAGAGAGGAGAAAAATGAGAACTTTTGGAAAAGGAGCGTCCTCCAGCCTTTTCTCCAACAGCCCCACCAGATACTCCACCAGCCAAGGAAAACACGGAGTGCAAGAGAAGGGACAGAGGCGGAAGTGCAGCACTCCACACCTTTCCACACCTGCCCACACGTGCCCACTCCTGCCCACGCCTGCCCACACCTGCCCACACCTGCCAGCACCGCACCTGGCAGTCGCGCTGCAGGAAGTTGATGGTGAGGAGGGCGAGCTCGGGCTTGAAGAGACCCATGGCGTACGTGACAATATTCACACCTGCACATTCCTGCGCACACCTCTCCGCACCTGGCAGTCGCGCTGCAGGAAGTTGATGGTGAGGAGGGCGAGCTCGGGCTTGGTGGCGGCGTAGGTGGCAACGTAGAGGTAACACATCTTCTTCACCACCAGGTCCGACGCTGCACTGCACATCACCATCTCGCTGCATGGTGGGGTGCGGTGATACGATGTGATGAGCGGTGATGAGAGGTGATCAGCAGTGAAAAGAGGTTGCCATGGAGAAGAAAATGGAGTGTTCAGTGAGGCTCTGCTCGGTGGTATTCATCCCTTGCAAGAACACAGAGTGTAGACAAGTGAGCCGAGTGCATGAGTCTGTCAAGTGAATGATGTGAATCATAATGATCATGACAGGGGTCGGAGTGGCCGTACTGTAACGTGAGCCAGAAAGGCTAAAAATGGCTACGCCTGTAAAAGCGAGCACTGAGTCACAGGGTGGGTGTGACATGACGCTTACCTAAACTCAAACAAGACGTCAATCCCCATAGCCATCTGCTCTTTAATCGACTCAAAAGTTCATACTTGAGTCGCCTCAAACGATGACTTCCGAGTCACCTCAGGGTGGGTGTGACGCGTACCTGAAGACGGACGAGACGTCAATCCCAATGGTCATGTACTGTTGAGTGGACTCAAAAGATGACTTTTGAGTTGAACCACGAGCCATCGAGTCACAGGGTGGGTGTGACGCGTACCTGAAAACAGACGAGACGTCAATCCCGATGGTCATGTGCGATATGACCTTCTTAAAGAGCTCTCGCCGCATCTCCGCCGCTCCTGGCGCCCTGATAGGAAGATGCGAGGGGAAAGAGAGGGAGATGGGAGGAAGAGGAGGAAATCAGGACTGCGCCACAGCCTGAACACTCTCAATTTCCCTTCCACGGATTTCTGATTCATCCTACCCATATTGACCTAATCTGATCCCCATTGAGGACTGTCGCCCGCGAATTGACCCGTGGGACAAAACAAAGAGCAACCGTCTAAAGTTGGTGGAATGATCTCAACCGTCCCTCGGACGGCGATACCGTCCTGATCGTCGCACGCGACTGACCTGCTTCCCGCGAGTTGACCCAGCTGCATCTTCACGTCCGCCATCTCTCCCCGTCGATTGTCCGCGTTCATCGTGCTGGTCGCTCTGGCGCTAAAGCAGACTAAGCGATCACGCAAGCAAGGATCAGTTTCTGAAGAAATAATTTTCATGCGGAGGAGCACGAAGCATTTTGGAGAGACACGAGGCACATCCAAGTTGACACTGGGAATGTTAGGCTTATTGAGTGTCCTTATATGTTTCTATAATAGCCTATTGACGTTCAATTCTTTATAGCAATACAGTAAGTCTTGATGACTGCTGAATATTGTATGGTACCACACAGGGCCTATTCTATCAGTGTAAATTAACCTTGTACACAGATAATCAGGGTAGTTTTTTTGGGTCGCACTTGTCACCCAGGGTTTCTTCTCAAGGATTAGATTTTCCGTGATCTATTAGAGTAATGAAATTTGTCACATTGGTACATCAGTGCAGGGTCATCCCTAGGTTTTGAGCCTGCCTGATGCATCAGATGGCGTGGTTTTTTCTGTCTGATGCATCAGACTTTCCTTCAAAACATTTCTGCTGAAACAGAAATTTTTAAAATTCAATTTCTGATTGCTTTTCTTAGAGCCCTCCTCATTTCACAGTGTTCTGTACCTTTTAACAACTGATTTAAGCGCCTCTGTCGTGTCGAAACACCAAGCCAAAAGCGAAGCAGAATATATCGAAGCATCGGCGAGTCAACCCTCGAAGGTTGAACAACTGTTGGAGGTTACGCGAAAGTCAAAGGTCAGTGACCTTTGACCTGACAAATACAGCGCGACAGCAAGGACAAACAGCTGCCTCGATACTGAGCAGTTGCCCGAGTCGACACTGTATCGAACCGCAACAGCAACAGTAAAACAGTTATTAATCGTATCTCTTCATATTCCTTGTATTCTTATAAAAGCTTGTATCTCTTTGTTATTAATCAATCTACTTTGCCTTCACATACCAGCGCAAGGTGGTTCACAAAGTCTTTACTTAACGCTTCCGCTATTACATCATCCTACCCTTGAATTTAGTCCTGCAAAGATCCTAAGGGCTTTTTCAGCCCAACATGGTATGAGAGCAGTCAGGACAAATTCGACTACTATCAAGATACCTACAACATCACAAGACATGGCAACGCAGAAGGAGAGAAGCTCCTCTAACGGCTCTCCCGGTACTACTCCTACTCCACCTCCTGCCTCTGGCCTACAGACAGAGGAGGGTACGGCAACAAGACCAAGGGCATCATATTCGGAAACTCCCGCAAATCAAGCTGCGGCCTTCGATCCAGACATGATGGAGAAGTTCTTCTCCTTCATGTCCTTTTACGAACAACACCAGCAAGAGGCACCTGCACAGTCAAACAACAGCAACAACAACAACGCAACACCGATGAGCCTCGACGGTTCATCCTACGCACGTGGAAATCAACAGCAACGGCCTACCTTTGCTCCGTATGAACCCCAGCGTGGCTCCGTCAGTTTTATGCCACACCCGCAGCCTGCATCTGGACAAGAAAGGACACTGGATGCACTTCAAGTTCAGTCGCAGTTCGCGCATGTCTTACAACTGCAAACGACAAGGCCTTTCGACGGAAAGGATTTCTTTACCTGGTCATTTGAGTTCAAGTTAATGATGGAAGGCGCGCAAATTCTTGGCTTCTTCGACGGGTCTCTGCCATATCCAACACACGGCACACAGTACGACAAGCAGCAGTACACGTATCAGTCAATGATGGCGTACACAATACTGCTGAGAAATATCACTCCGAATCAGCAGCAGAATATACGGTCTTACCGGGGATACGGCAACTCTGCAGAGCTCGCGTACAACCACCTGAAGAACCTCTATCAAGCAACAGACAGCGTAAATCAAAGTCGATTAATGGCGCAACTGACGACAGTCGAAATGAAACCAGGCGAAAAAGGGATGGCGTATATCAGCCGTTGTCGCGAATTGCGTGACAAACTCCTTCGATGCGGAGGGTCAATTTCAGAAGACGCCTTTGTCACAGTCATCATCGGCGGCCTCGGTCCTCAGTGGCGCTCCACCCGCGCCATACTCCGAGCGCACGGAAAGATATCAGAAGCAGCACTCTGCGCCGAGATTCACGCTGAGCAGCAAGATATGGGCCTGCAAGAAGAACGACATAAAAGGAAGACATCAGTACCCGAATTCGCATTCCACACTCAACGGCGCTACAACAACAACAACTATCAACATCAACCGAAAACAGTACCTCCATTCTGTCACCTTTGCAAGACGTCAGGGCATCCTCGCACACACTGCCCCAACCGGCAACAGTCAGTACCAACGCAGCGGCAGCTTCGGCCTTCAAGCAGTCAAGTTGCCTCAACGCAAGCGAATTCGACATCTCAAGAACAAGTCTCAACAACATCGACGGGACAACCTGCACAAGGAACAAGAAACATCGTCAGTTGCATGACACGGCTGACCGATTCCTGCATCACTGAGTCACCACCATATTACTCACCGGAAGAACAACTCGACAACAGCACGTCTCGCCGCGAGTCACTTCAACCAAATCCGACTTATGCAGCTATCGCTCAAAGCGAACCGTCCGGAAAAGATACATGGTTCTTGGACAGCTGCTGTGGACAACATATGTGCTCTTCAGGACGTTTTGTTCAACGTGAACACCAACTTCAACGCGAGGTTGTCATCCCCGTCGCCAACAATCAAAACCTGCGCACACGACGACAAGGCGTAGTGCAACTTCATTCACGAGAGAAAAACGTCATACTGCAGATGTCAAAGGTCTTAATAGCAGAAGGACTCAGTTACAACCTACTGAGCGTCAGTCAACTGATGACGAAGGGCATCCACCTCGAAGCAGACAGCACCACTCAGGAGTTTAAGTTATACCATGGGAAAGACGGTCTCTACATCGGGAAGGCGGTCCTGAAAAACAACGTTTTCGTCCTCGACTTCGTCCCAGATCTTGGTACTGCCGACAGCGACGGGATCGTCTCCTTCACCTCTTGGACACATCCACCAGATCTTGACCCCGACTTCAGACCAGAAGGCTTCTGGTACTCGCACACCATCCTTGAAGCAGAACGAACAAGAGCATTAGCAACGATTCAACACTCGACAGCAGCAGAAACAACATCGGCAGCAGCAGAACCAACATCGGCAGCAGCAGAAACAACATCGGCAGCAGCAGAAACAACGGCAGCAGCAGCAGCAACATCGACACCAATCGCTGGTCCTTCAACTGCATCACCTCAAATCGACGACACTCCACCGACTCCTGCACAACAGCTTCAACCAAACACACGAGAAGTACATCGAAGTGCAAACCTTATCGCAAGCTTCTACTCCAACTCCGACTTGTATCGTCGCTCACCCGGACATCGCGCTAGCGAAGACATCTGGCACGCACGAATGGGACATCCAAGCAATACGGTGTTAAACAACACAATCAGAGCAGGCGTTCTCGACAAAGATTCACTGCTTCTAACCGATGGAAGCGAACTTCGACGAGCTCGTGGAACGTGTTTTACCTGCCCCGAAGCTGACTTACCACATCGCCCATTCACCTCTCACCACAACCCCAGCGCTCCAGTTTACGCACCACTTGAGAAAGTGTACAGCGACATCCTGTACAATCGCGAACCTGGACAAGGAGCATACAGCTACACCATCACGTTTATCGATGCCGCTACGCGTTACGTTTGGCACCTCAACCTTCCGAGCAAGGACATGGCTTTCGAAGCCTTCATCGCTTGGCTCCCAGTAGCAGAACGAGAATCGGGCGTGAAGCTAAAAAGCTTCCAGTCAGACGGAGGAGGAGAATACACCTCACAGAGGTTCAAGCAGTTCTTGGCAGAAAGGGGAATCAAGAGACTCATCTCGCTTCCCTACGCCCATCAACAGCAAGGCGTGGCGGAACGGATGAATCGAACTCTCCAGAACACCATGCGCAAATTACTGCGTGGCATGCGACTGCCCAATCACCAGTGGCCTGAAGCGATGGACCACGCTGTCATGCTGCACAACTTGCTTTCGTCGTCATCACTACCGAACAACGCATCACCGCACCTGGTGTGGACCGGAAAACAGGGCAGCACAAAAATGTTAAGAGTTTTCGGCTGCATGGTGCAGTATCGACCCCCATCTGCACGAGCCGGCCGATTTTCCCAGCGCGCACAGTGGGGACTACACCTGGGCATCGAAAGAAATTACAACGCGTGGAAGATTTTCGACGTCCACTCCAAAGAAACAGTAGCAGCACGTGACGTCCTTTTCTACAAACGACTCACCCTTCCGACATATCTTGCCAACCTGGAAGAAAATCGGGATCCCACAGGTGGCTTCCATGGTGACCGACACTTCTGTCAAACATTAATCTCATAGCCTGTCTAGGCTGTAGTGGGGTAGACACTATGGGGTACAGTTTTCTAGGGTTTCACATTTGTACCCAACTCATTTTCCTAGTCAACCATTCATTCCTGTTTCTTCACATGGTATAGAGCGGGTTCCCTAGCGGGACCGTTCCTTCCTAAGGGCCCACCGTCAATTTTTTTTTTTTTTCCTACCTGCCCGAAGCGCGCTTCGCGCTCTGCCCTACCCTCGATCTTCGCGGCCCCCTAGCGGCCTGTCCTGCCCTACGCGGCCCCCTTTGCGGCCCATTAGCGGCCCCCTTCGAGGCCCCGTTGCGACCCCGCCCCGGCCCTGCCCCGTCGCCCGAAGCCGCCGCGTCGCGGCCCGGCCCGTCGCCCCGTCGCCCGGCGCCCCGTCACCTCGGCCCGGCCCAGCCCGTCGCCCCGTCGTCCCGGCCCGGCCCTGCCCGTCCCCCCGTCGCCCGGCGCTGCCCTGGCCCTGCCCCGTCGCTCGTCGCGGCCCTGTCGCGGCCCGGCCTCGGCCCTGCCCCGGCCCTCCCCCGGCCCTGTCGCGGCCCTGTTCCGGCCTGTCGCAGCCCTGCCCCGACCCTGTCGCGGCCCTGTCCCGGACCTGTCGCGGCCCTGCCCCGGCCCTGTTGCGGCCCTGTCGCGGCTCTGCCCCGGCCCTATCCCGGCCCTGCCCCGGCCCTGCC